TTTGGGCAGGCATTGTTGATGATTATTTCATTGGGCCATACTTTCTACCGGAACGGTTAACAGGACCTATTTACCGGCGTATCTTGGAGGTGGTTCTTCCAGAACTTCTTGAAAATGATCCATGAACGTTCGACAGCAAATGTGGTTTCAGCATGATGGAACGCCAGCTCACTTTGCTGTAGAAGTACGTGAGTATTTGGCTCAGCGGTTTGGGCACCGTTGGATTGCCAGAGGTGGAGCAGTTTCTTGGCCTCCTAGGTCACCCGATTTAACGTCGCTAGATTTTTTCGTGTGGGGACATGTAAAGTCTTTGGTTTAGAAACAGAGCAAGACTTAATTGAACGAATTACAGCAGCATTTGAACTCATTTAAAACGAGTATCAAATTGTTAGTCATGTTCGTCGTTTAAATCGGTGTATTCAGGTTGGAGGAAGACATTTTGAACAATTGTTGTGATGATATCCTGTTCAAAAGGCAACAATTAAATGCATGTTACACTGTTACACTGAATAAGAACTAGAAGTTTGATCCCTTAGTTCTGAAACACCCTGTATAGTACTTGATGAAAGGTGGTATAACATCCCTTCTTGAAATATATTATCATGCTATATTGATTAGCATTCAGTAAAAGAACAAATCAATAGAGCCTGTTCAAAATAAAGTACAAGTTTAATTTAATGTAAATGTTGGATTATATGTAAAAGTCGTTTAAAGTAAAAAACTTTAAATCTCTTAATAGTGTTGGTAACAAAGTTACTCATAAAGCTGCTGTTACATTTTCAGGTACTTACAATTTCTGGGGAAAAAGCTTTACGTTCACGACGTAATGAATGAATTTGTACATGGTTTTGAAGATTTCTTGCAGAACCCTTTACAGCCTCTTACAGAACATTTGGAAACAAATATTTATGAGACGTTCGAAAAAGATCAAGTTAGTTTTCATGATATATGTATTGTAGGATCTAATCAGATCATTTCAATTTTAGGTGAAATATGATACGTACCAAAACGCAATGTACAAAGCCATTGCTTATTGCAGTGGTGGGGAATCTGGAGATGAACCGCCTGTTGTGATGGTAGTGGGTGCAGGCAGGGGACCCTTAGTCCAGGCTGTTGTTAATGTTGCCTACACTCTAAACAAGTAAGGGTTATCTACCGTGAAGAAATATTTAGGTGGTATTTGTGATGTGTGTTGTAAATCAATAGTTCCAACCGTTGGAGAACCAAATTCGCTGACAGATCCCCCTTACGGTATCTGTCACAATATCGGTGATATTGCTAAACTCATTACATATGATTGAGCACACCACACACTCTTTTCAGGAGAAGTGGAGCCGTGTTTTGGATTTGGAGTCCTCGCAGGCCTTGGTGCCGACGCTAGAAAACTAGTACTTTGATGTATCAAAAGGGCACTTAGGTTTTTGTCTCGTGAATAAATTATAGTTTAAAAACATCTATAGAAAATCGAACAAAAAAGAAGTCATTTTCGAAGGGGTGTCCCAAAATCGGGATAGATCATATGAGGAAAATCGCGATCGTGAATAAATCGTATCGCAAAAGATACTTACTGGAAATAAATAACAACTGTCCTATTGCCATTCCCTTACGTCCTTTGCCACCCCAAAATGTGGAGTCTTAATTAAAACTGCCATCTTAGATTATTTCTGTCAGATGTTCTACCTAAACATAGATAAATCGACAGTGTCCTTACATTTTAGCAAGAATTTGCTACCGTCTAGTCCCGCCTTTACACTTTTAAAGCCAAACAAGAATGAGTTTGGCACTCAAGCCCAACGCCGCCAGAAAATGTAGCAAACAGATCTTGGTCTAGACAGACACCCCCTTATGATATCTATCACTATATCTATGATATTTCTTAATCCATTACGTATGATCCAGCAGAAGTTGAGAGAAAATATTTGCTTTTCTCTGAGGCACTGGACCCGTGTTTTGTATGTGGGTTTCTCACCGGCCTCGGTGCCGACGCTAGAAAACTATTACTTTGATGTTTCAAAAGGGCACTAAGCAGTTTGTCTCGTGAATAAAATTATAGTTTAAAAAAATAAATCGAATTAAAAAATAGAAAATAATTTCTAAGTATAGGGAAGTTTGTGTTACTGCAATAGGAAGTCCAAAAATCAAGTATGACTAATTAATTGGAAAGAGAACAACATCAAAATTAAGTTATTAAGAAATCACTCAATTATTATTTTTCCAAGATTAATGTATTGTGATCGGCTTTTGACCTCTGTGCAAATTTTAAGCTTAATCAGACTTCTTGAAATTGGTCAATATTAGATTGAAATGTTAGAAAGCAATGAAAGACACAACAATGTAGCTCCAAGGTGGTGAAGCAGACATTTAGCATTATCCATTAGTAGAAGAAAACCTTGAAAAAAAAATTCAGTTGATTTGAAAAGTATTGACTAGACATTTCATTGTTTGTTTTTATTTAGAACGTTTAGGTTAGTGGGGTATAGATTCACTTGATCTTTTTCCAATAATATCTACCCACCTTCATCGTAGGTAGCAGTTTTGACACGTTGATTGCTTTCAGGAAAGTTAAAATATATGCGGTTGAAAAGAATCCTTTTGCTATCAACACCTTGCTCGATCGTGTGAAAAACGAATGGAACAACCAGGTAACACTTGTTAGTGAAGACATGAGGATATATGAACCTCCAGAGAAGGCTGATATTCTAGTGTCGGAATTGTTAGGATCATTTGGTGATAACGAATTATCACCTGAATGTCTAGATGGTGCACAAAGGTGAAAAATAATATTTTACTCATTGATGTATTAGATATAATGTTAATTTAACGGTTGTTTGATGATTTGGGAGCATTCAGGGGAGATTTGATTTTTACAGAGTTTGATACAATTTTGAAATAGATAATATTGATTGATTATTTATATCAAGTTTACTGAGGTTAAATTAACGTTAAGCTATGCGATATTTGTGATTGAACTCCGAGTTCATCTGATAAGTTAAGAAGGCAAAATCATGTAATCTATGTAGAATCGATCCGACATATGGATATTTCTCAACAAATTTAGAAATTTCATTTTGCATTTCTTGAAAAAAAATAATGAAGATATATCGTTTTTTGTAGAAGTATAAAGTTTTACTTTAGTGAGGTTCATTGAAAATGCAGGTCCTCCAAATTTTTGTGTATAACATGTAGAAAAATGACTTAAAAACTATGAAATGAGGGAATGACTGATAGGATGGGGGAATGATTTTTACAACAATTTGATGCTGAATTTCAATAAAAAAACTTAAGTTAATTTATTAATAGATGTATTGGGATTTGTTTTATAATACTAATAATAATAATGCCTTTATTAGCTGCAGTGAGGCGAAGTTTAGCCAGACGGCTACTCTTACACTCAACCCCACAACAGAAAAAAAAGAATACTTAAACACATAAACAAAATAATAACATACAAAAAAAATACAGTTCATAAGCATGACAACATTGACTGCACGAGACAAATGCAGATAGTATTGTGAGAGTTTTAAATTTGAAACAAAAATAGTAGAAAATAGTAAAAAAGCACATGAACAGAAGAAAAACTGAACTAAATGGACTCCAGCAGCTGACTTTTCATTAATTTCTTAAAAGAAGCAACCTATTTGGATCGATAGCCACTGTTGACTACATTGTAATGCTTGACAGCATTATTTATTTATTTATTTTAACGCTTACAAACATATTTGAATGTAGTTACATGTAGGAGTACTTACTGGCTAGTAGAGAAACAGAGAATACACAAAAACTTATAACTAAAAATAACGACAGAGAAAAACTATAAAAATTAACTAACAAATAAAATGAGATAAGTCTTAATTTGCCTCACAGTAGTCGAAAGGAGATCCACATCACAATTTTGTATATAACTATTACACTCATACATCATTCTATTGATAGAAGAACAACTTACAGGTGAACAGTGAAAGAGTTTGTTGCCTCTTATTCTCAAGTTGATTCTACGAACAGCAAAGAATATATTATTTATTAGGGAGCACTTCTTATATTTTAAATTATTAATTATGTAATAAATGAACAAGATATCATTCAAACCACGCCTAACGCTCAACCGCACAATTTTAAATTCTGTTAGCATACTATTATAAGAGATCATGTATGGATAAGCATTGTGTGTCCTTAAGTACAGATATCTTAAAAATCTTTTTTATACCCGTTCGATCATATCAACATGCACCATTGTTTTGGGTGCCCAGACAACAGAGGCATACTCCAGAACAGGTCGGACCAGTGAGTTGTACACAATTATTATAGACTTATTTTCCTTAGAGTGTTCTGTATGCCTTATCACAAAACCCAGGATCCTATATGCTTTGTTTACAATAGTTTCATAATGCTGATTACATTTTAGGTTAGTCTGAAAGCAGACCCCAAGATCCTTACATTCACTTTTCCTACTTAAGAATAAGTTATCAATTTTGTAATTAAAATCTATAAATTGTGCTTTTCGTTTAAAAGTTAAACTATGACATTTGGCAATATTCAACGACATTTTATTCTCCTTGAACCACTGGGACACTGAACTTAAATCAGTTTGCATCTCAATACAATCTTGAAGGCAAGGCATATGCTTGTATATTTTAAAATCATCAGCAAATATGAGACATTTGCCATATTTTACACAGTTTGGAAAATCATTCAGAAAAATTATGAATAATAGAGGCCCGAGATTACTGCCCCAGATGTTATTATGGTCATCTTTGATAAATGCTTACCAACTTTAATCTGCTGTGTCCTTAAGGTTAGGTATGATACCATAAGCTCACATGCACTTTTTGAGAACCCAGATTTACCCAACTTGTTCACCAACAGACCATGATCAACCCGATCGTTATAGGTGTAACCTCTTTCAAAGATTGTGAGGAGGCATGTTAAAATTAGCATTAAATCTAAGAGCTCTGGTAACAAAACTACCACGGGGAACTAATTTGCTAGCAAGGTAAGCTGGTCTGTTAGATAATGGAACTTTATGCGTGAAGACGATCAAAAGATATAAAATAACTTATTAATTCGCAACCAGTTGAGTTCTTTGATTTTATCTGAGACGCGACTAAACTTGCGCAATCCAAAAATAAACCTACAACAGCTGTTCTGAATTGTCTGGATAGTCTAAGCATGGGTAATAAAGAACAAGAGAGTAAGAAATGACAGACAACACAATGTATATATATATGTATATATATATATACTTAGAGAGCTTAGATAATCCTTCTTCGCTGGGCATATCCTCGTATTTTTATCCTTTTCTAAGAAATGAACAACATCACCCTTAACATTCAGCAGTTTGGAACTAACTTTACGAGTACAGTTCTTTTTGTACGTATCGTTTTGAAAAATGATTCGATCTATATAGCACTTTGTATCTTTTGTACTAATTGCAGCTTCAAGATTTTGTAATATTTTTTCTTTTCTCCATGTTTACTTCCAAGATTTTCATAGATATTCTTGAGGTCCGTTGACAGTGCTTCTCCGAAAATGAGTCTTTTTCTTTCAACGTTAGGAACTTGTACATTCTTTAAAAGCGAAGACACTTGAGTTGCTGGAGAGTCAGGGGCAGTATTTTTAGTTTTCAGTCTCAAACACCTCGTCTTATATTTTTCGCTAAGCTTGACTGCGTTCCTTACTTTATTTTACAAACTTTTAATCTTCGCGTACAGAATAGTTCACCGCTTGCGCATTCTACGTCTATTGAGATCAGACAAATTCTCTACTCTGTGCTGTAAAGATGTTGCAGGACTTGGTGGGGGTGTTTCGTCAACTGTTCTCTGTAAATTTGTTTGTAATGTTACTCGTTTTAGTTTTCATTTGTTCTCGCCTCTTTCTGTCGTCATCCTTCTTTTTTAATTTCTTTTCTTCTTCACTTAACCTCTTGATTTTCTCCATTCTTGATATACGGATATCTGTTACAATTGAAAACACATGCTATACAACCTGGAGTTAAACAATAACACCCAAACCAAAATTTTATATATGCAAAAATCATTTCCTCATATAATTTTCATTGCCTCACTTCCTAATCTAGTGAGGGAATGACGGATTTGCATAAATGACACCGTAACATCACCTCAAATTGATTCAGCATTTTGTGAATGCATTTTACTCCTCAAAACAATGAAAAAATCATTAAAACATTCGAACGATATAATGACTTACCTTTTAATATAAACAGTGAGGTAATGACACAGACAAATGTAATGTTCCAATTATTGAAATCAAGGGATATAGTTTAAATTATTTTTTAGCAATGAATGCTTGACCATACTTATTACCAAATATTTTAGTGATATTCAATTTATAAGAATATGAACAGTTTTGATTGTATATTTATTTTATTATGAATTTCAGACCCAGGGACGAGATGATGGAATGACTTTTAGATTATTAAATTAATCGTTTTTTTTATCAATATATTATCTAGATTTTTTCTTTTAAAATATTAGTGTTGATACTTATTGATATAATAAAATTGTTAAAATGACGATAAATCCATGCAACTTAGCATCAATGGCTCAGGACATGAATTTCGAAATTTGCTGAGAAATACCCATATATTCATTAACTGTATCTTTGATGCTGTTGGTAACTTCACGAATCCCTTCATTTGATGTTTCCAGATTTTGAAGAAGACTGGCATATGCATTCCTCAATCTTACACATCATATTTAGCACCATTGCAAAGTTTGAAAATGCACAATGAAATCAAAGTGAACAGAACGGCAGACAAGACTCTGCAACAATCTTTTGAAACTCCATACATCGCTCATCTAGCGAATTTCTACCAAATAGCAGAGCCTCAACCACTGTTCAGGTTCAATCATCCGAATTGGAGCGAGAATATTAACAATCAAAGGTGAGAAACTCACTGTTATTGTTTCCAACTGTATATTGCATGTTGTACTCATTAAGGTTTTATTATTAAAAAAAATGGCGTCAAGTAGGTTGCGACTGCTCTGCTATCGGTAGTACCATCCATCTAGCAACGTCGCCTCTCATCATACCTGGCACGCCCACCAGTGAATGCAAAGAGCCGAAGCAAGGACGCGAAATATGTCTAACAAGTGCATGGAATTACTGAGGTTGAGAGCGTATAAATATTCTCAAAAAATGGCGTCAAGTAGGTTGACCCTGCACTTCCTACACAACCCCATTATCAATTCTCAAAGGATTAAGGTCGGATCATTTCAAATTATCGAACACGTGCAACAGCGAAATTGAACGCATTATCCAAGTCAAACAAGGTCCATACATTTAGTCCATAGACATCCTTTCCTATTGTTACTGTCCACCTGGCAACGTTGTCCCTTTCCATATCAGCGCTGCAGCGAATTATCGTTTATTTCGTGCGTGGTGTATATGGGTCAAAATCAGAGAGGTGAGCATTATGCTTCTGACATGGTTTTTCCTAATAAAATAACATAATATCACTACATTAATCATTTCAAAATGTAGGTACTGTGCATAATTACAAGGAACTTAGCATATTTATTTTTTATAATAATGTTTACTTGATTTTAAACAAAAACAGGCCAAAGTAGTAATTTCGGGAACGCGTCCTTATACCATCTGTCATAGTTCAGACAAGTCAAAAATGATTACAGTTACGAACTAAAACTGTCATATTTTTATATTAGCTTTGAAAATCATTAAATTAAGAATAATAATAAATTAAATTCATATCATTTTAATTTCTTCATATTTTGGCTATTCAACTGCTGTCTGACATTTATCAAATCACTCCGTGAACGCGGTTGGCGTTCGTCGATGTAATTAAAACAACAAACAATAGGTGGCGTTAGGGAGCAGCTCCTTGTCTTCTCCGTACGATGTACCAGCATCAATATCGTCATTCTTTTCATGAAGCCGATCTGAAATCGTTTGGAGATTCTCGTCATCTGAAGTGTCTGAACCGTATACGGCGATGTAAATGCTTTCTCTATATGAATAAGACGCAGAAACTCTCTATGTATTTTTAAATCTATCATTTCTGACGGCGCTTGACTTGAAAATATTCCTCTACTCGTATCTTCAACTCTAAATGACAGCAGTTTAATTTCTAGCAATAGTTTTGAAAATTGATACAGTGTTATGGACACATCAGAAGCATTCTGCCAAACAGTATTTGTTACATTCATGGTTTCGGGAATAGCATCTATGTTTTCAGGTATTATGTTTGTAGTTGAATTTGTTAGTAAACGCACAAATTTGCAGCTGTATTGACATCGTTTCCTCGTAATACTTGGGCATCAGCGGTTTTCTTAGCACTCCTCCTACGCCATCCATTGGCCCCTTATCATGACCTGATTCAGTGAATGTCCACGTTGAAGCAGTTATTTACGGAAACTGCTCTATTAAGGTTTTAATCCATAAGTAAATATTACTGCGGTTTCGATACTGGGATGTGGGTCCCTCTGAAAAAACGTGAAGGGTATTTACGTGAGGCCTGGTTCTTAATATTTTCTGTAACGTTGATTTCAGGTGACCCCATACAGCATGAACCTGATGGTCTAAATTATTACTCACAGTGTTTGTAATTGACCGAGTCTCTTTTCCATCTTTTGTCATATAATCTGAATCATTATCTCAGTTTCTTTTAAATTATCTTTCAGTTCTCTTTTTGCCTCCAAGTTCTTATTCACTACCAGTCTTAACTTTCTTCTCAGCTTTCTTTCTTTGGTTATATTCCCTATCTTTCAGTCTTTTCATCTCTTTTGTTCAGGTGTCATGTTATCTAAAACTTGCTTTTCCTTGCATTAGCATTTTCACGATGCCTTTTATAAGCTATACTTTTCTGTTTTAATCGTTTTTTCGAATTATTTTTCTTCTCATTTTTATTGTTTTCCATGTTACTTGTACTAAATAGATACCTAAAACTAAAGTTTGGTATAGGTATGCTTTTTAAACAAATTAGAGTATCATTTTGTTCACAGGCAGTCATTTCGGGAACGCCCAACTCCAGTAGAAACAGAGCAAGACTTAATTGGACGAATTACAGCAGCATTTGAAATCATTCAAAACGAGTATAAAATTTTTAGTCAATTCCGCCGAAATCATGTGCGACGTTTAAATCGGTGGAGGAAGACATTTTGAACAATTGTTGTGATGATATCATTTACAAAAGGCAAAAATTAAATGCATTAAATCCTATTTAGGCAATTCATCGTCTTTCTAAATTTTGACGCGTCTTAGGGTCGTAGTGCCGTGGTGACACTTTTCCGGATATGGGTCCCTATACTCAAATGTTTCCTACTATTACACTGAATAACCCCTAGAAGTTTGATCCCTTAGTTCTGAAACACCCTGTAAAAGTAAACCATTTTTACTACGACAGTACCGACCAAGTGGTTTAACCTTGTATTTGTTGCAGGTATAAGAAACTCCGCTTCCGATGCGAGCAGCCCTGCGTGCTTACGGGCTTTGTAGGCTATTTCGACACAGTCCTCTACAAAGACGTAATGCTGAGCATCCATCCAGAGACACATACTCCAGACATGGTCAGCTGGTTTCCAATCGTATTTCCTCTCCAAGAGCCGGTTCACATTGGAGAGGATGGAATTATCGAGGTGTCTTTCTGGAGGGTGGATAATGAAGAGAAAGTGTGGTATGAGTGGTGTCTGCACTCGCCCATCCAAACAAGTGTAATGAATCCCAACGGACGGAGCTACTTCATAAGGAAGCATTGAGTTTAATATGGGAATTATCTTTCTATCCTGAATAATTTTTAATTTTTTAATAAACGTTTTTTAATTATGTAGGTTTTTTCCAAACACATGAAAAGGTCGCATGATTTCAAAGATGTTTATTATTATTATTTTAGTGACTGATAACCCTACTGTCATCATAATGGCCTCCTCAATGTCGTTTCAGAAGAAGTATACAAAGCACACAATAAAAGCAAATTTTTTGTTGGTGCAATTTGGCATCGATTGTTGGCAGTCGCAGCCGAGATCTACTGATGTCCTCGAAACTCCACCATGTTATATTCCACACAGTCTTTCAAATAAGATATCGACTTAATACCGTATAAAGGGTGTTCCAAAATTTACGCATTTTATTTATTCTGACCCACATGTAGCATTTGGAATCGAATATTATACAGAGTGTAAACGTTATGGTAGTCATTATTTAAATGGGTGATAAAGGGGGTTAAAAGAAGCAAAAAGTTTCATATAACATGGGGGTCAAAACGGCATTTTTTTTTAGAGAAAAGCGACTTTAAAATAAAATCTGACAACGCAGTGTAAATAAAGATGGAGTTGGTTATTTTTGGCTCTTAGGTATTATTTCATTATTTGATAATGTACTCGTAAAATGCAAACAATTAAAAAAACGGACTTACCACTAACTTTCTCAGCGCTTCACTTGGTGCGTGAAAGTTTATTGAACGTATTATAAAAATCCACTTATAAATAGGGTACACAATTCTGATACATACATTGTTTTTCTTTTTGAAACCCACACTGCACTTTTTTTGTATATAAAGAAGTTGTTCAAAATTTCGTCCTCCACTTTCAACACAAACTTCATTACGACGAACCCAGTTTCTTCTTACTCTAGGCTCTAGGTCTTCGAAGTGGTCCATTTATTATTTAAGCCGCATTAATTTTTTTTTTCGCGAAGTTGTCCTTCAGTTGTTATTGGACCAGCCCCACAAACCATCCATTTAAGTTCTCCCCAATACCAGAAATTCATCGGACTGAGGTCGGGAGATCTTGCTGGCCATTTTCGAGGATCAGGAGCATTTCGACCGATCTAGCGATTTGGATAATGTTCATTCAAATACTGAATGACGCCTCTAAAAATAAAATGTGTGGTGGTGTCCCGTCATGAAGAAACCACAAATTCTATCTCCGTTGTAATGGCATGTTGTCTAAGGTCTGTTCCAAAAGTTCTGGTAGGTTATTGGCTAGAAAGCTAAGATATCCTTCTCCTGACAACCTTGGGGGGTAACTCGAAAGGGCCAATTACCTGATCGTCAAGAAGACCCGCCCAAATATTTATTTTAAAACGTTGGAAATGACCTTCACGAATAGTATGAGGATTTTCTTGAGCCCACGTGTGAGTATTATGGAAATTTAGTATCCCGTCTCGCGTAAAAGTACATTCGTCCGTCGTTTTTAAAAAAATCCGGATTTTCAATGCTTTTGTGCAAAAACCACTGACAGAATGTTAGTCTGCGAGGATAGTTTTCGGGTAACAAGGCCTGCACTCGTACATGGTAGGGATAAAGCAAATGTTCCCGTAGGATTCTATGGTATGCGATAGTCCTACGCGGCGGCCTAATTCCCGAGTGCTGATATCTGCATTGATTTCCACGATATTTAAAATTTGTTCCTTCTGCTCTACAGTAACCTGTCTTTCACGAGTGCGAATATTAGCAGGCTGAACACTTCCTGAATCTCGAAGTCTTTGGTACACTTGCATAAATGTCCTTCTGTCTGGGTGTACCCGTTGGCGAAATCTGTCGCGATAAATTTGAGCTGCAAGATTTGAATTCTGACGAGCTTCACCGTAAACTAACAACATGTCGGCGAACTCTTGATTCGAGAACATTGTAAATAAACTCGACAACGTACGCGAACAAAAACTAAACAACACGCCCGATGCTCTGCTCGACAAGACGATAAAGTAATTTAAGTATGCAAAACGATAACTAACCACTGTTTGCGATCGATTGCCGGTTCGATAAGAGTGATGAAAGACCGACGCGCTGTTGACATTGTGTTTCAAGTATTTAATTTAATGAAAGTTACTGACTACAAATTTTGACTTAACTTAGAAAAACGTAATGCCATTTAGTTGTTAATTACCCAATTTAAAAACGTTTTAGATTAGATTATACAAATTATTAAGATTGTGGTCGATATAAAGCACTTAAAGTTGTAAACTATAAAGCCATTTAGACAAAAATCTATTGACTTTTGGACCATGGGTCATATGAACTTTTTGACTTGTTTTGACCCCCCCCCCCTATTAGCCATTTCAATAATGACTACCATAACGTTCACACCCTGTATAACGGGATTATCAGCAACATTGATGGTGTTCATCACTACCTGCAATCTAATCATCCCGCCAAGGTTTTCTTGGCAGAGACAAAAATCTCAGACTCTGCACAGCTTAATCATCTTAGCTTCCCAAATTTTCAGGTGCATTACAATCTGAGAAAGAACGGGTTAGTTATGGCTTTCGTCCGCAGTAGTCTTTCCTGCTCCCGAGATATTTCTTTGGAATCAGACCTGGACATTTTGAGGCTTCGCCCATATAAATCACCCCGCTTCAGAGATAGTTGTCCTCGGTCATTTCAATGCCCATAATCAGCTGTGGTTGGGCTCAAACAAGATCGATGCAGCAGACCGTGCATTTGGAGCGTTCGCTTTTACCCAAGGACTAACCCAGCTGGTGACGGGTCCTACCTTTTTCACCGCGTTTCGACACAAACAAGTAGCCTGCTGGATCTCACTCTGGCCACGCTGTGGATAGACGTTTGTTACGCTGACGTGGATGCATCGTTAACCAAAACGTTGGGATGGAGGAATATATCCCTCATATAAAGTACCTAAACCAGGGTCCAACGGCAGGTTCAATAAATCTTTCAACAGAATTTTCTTGCAAAAACCCACTGTAGAGAACAGACAAGCCGACGTCGAGTGCAGAAACAAATATAACGAAGTGGTTCGCAATGCCATAGACCCGCACAATATAAAAGTTAGGCACAGGCTTATGTCACAGTGCAATGGCAGTCGGTTTTTCTGGAAGCAGGCCAAGCAGATCGAAAGGAACCTCACAGAGTAGCCCTCCACCACTTACGTGTTAGGATGGAACGATTGTAACCGACTCAAAGGCTAAGGCGGAAGTCTGCCAACCCCATCATGGATGCCCCTCACACCCGTGCCGTCGATTCAAAGGGTTCCCTACACTATTGCGGAAAGTATAACATTCAGGCGCAAGACTGGTGCTCTTGACGCTCGACATCAACAAAGCTTCTAGTCCGGACTTGATTCCTGCCATTGCATTAAAGTGTGCAGCGGAGCTTGCTCCAGTTCTTCCGCGTCTCTTCCAGATATCTTACGGATCCGGCATCTTCTCAGAAAACTGGAAATTTGCTCATGTCCAGGCCATCATCTAAAAAAGTCTTGGACTGACCCTTACAACTACAAACCTCTAGCTCTGCTTTCTGTTTAAGTAAGGTGATAGAGGTGCATAAATCGCGAACTTTTGGATTACTTCGAACGACACGGCTTGATTAGCGACCAGCACCAGCGATCCACAGGGGACCTCCTACCTTACGTCACGCAATTGTGGAGTAACTCATCCAGTCTTATGGTGAGGCTCATGTCGTTATTCTCGATATCACGAAAGTGTTCGATCAGCTGTAGCACGCTGCCCTCTTATGCAATCTTCCATCCTATGGCCTCCCAGAGAAGCTTTGCAAATCAGTGACTGACTTTCTCTCTGGCCACAAGACAACCGCTTAGGTATCATGTAAAAAACCTATAAAACGTCAAAAAAAACCTATAAGATGTCATCTTGCAAACTAGATAGTTTTTAGGGCGCAATCAGTCATTCCACGTTTGCTCACTAGAATCGTTGTGAACGTCCATCTAAGGAGGAATCACTCAACTAAACTAAACGCATTATTGGTTGCATATGTTTTGTGAGACCAAATGTTGTGCTTTCTGAAGAGAGGTTATGTTCAAAGCTATAAATTACGAAAAACTGAGGCGAATTGCGAGAAATCATCACTGTGCCCGCGTTGTGTGTAATTACTGTTAGCATGTATATGGCTTGTAATTCAACAGTGTACAGTGAATATAATTATTTCTTATCTCTCTCATTTTTGAAATTCAGCAAGTTTGTATATGCAATTTCCAGAATGGATAAAAAGTGAATGCGCAACTATAGTCGAAATCATGAAAGATGACGATTACGTCAGCATTTTAATCTGTAGTAAAGACAAACGACAACGATTAGTGAATATTTTTAATGAAGTTTCAGATATGCTAGGCAGAGTCAAACAGAATTTTATTGTCTAAACAAACTATATTGCTAATGTGCATATATCCGACAAAGATAGACGATGTTTCCATGTTGTATGATCGATCATAGTTGAAAGATGAATAGTTGGGTTATGTTAAAGCAGGTTAGGTTGTTTTCGAATAATACTTTGGACTTTGATGGTGTTTCTGTATTCTAATCATAACTGTTTTTTTCAAAACAAAAACTTCCCGCTAAAATTATTATTACTCAAAACCATGAAATAAAATGAAAATAAAAATAATCAGTGAAATAACCTAACTTCGCAAAATCAACGCATGATGCCGCTGCGCAATGTGCCTTCCAGACAGACCTCTCTGACTTTGGCCTCCCATCCTAACCGTGTCGAACTTCTTACATCCAGAACTGGCCGATACGACCGCTCCTTTGACACTAGAGTGCCGAGATTATGGAACAATCTACAAGAGGAGGCAGTTCAAAAATCGGATTAACAAAGTTTCTTTGGGATCCTCATAACAACCGCGGTGTCCTGGCATTTAGGCTTCTGCCTGCGCGGCTGCTTCGGTGTAAAAAAATATTGATATAACGCATTCACGATTAGTTGTTGAGTTATAAGCGACTCAATGTACAAAAACTTGACAGTCTGTCAGATCGCCATTTTGAAAGATGATTTTGTACTCTGGAGTTATAAAGCAGTTATCACACAATCCCCTATTTCAATTGAAAAAACGGCGCGCAGTAGTAGATGGAGAGACAAACAAGTTTCGGTGTAACGAGCTCTTGAAATTTGCAATTCTTGGCCACGACACCAAATTGATGTTTCTCGACTTCCATCAACACTCTCACGCACTGCTTCCATACCGAGATACGAGCGGCTCGTTTTTGGACGACCAGAGTGTTTATCATCATCATCATGATTTAGTCTTCCTGAAAATCTCTTAGTTTATTCACAGCGGACTTGGCTAAATCAATATATTTTGTACGAAATTTACGAACTATTGCCGCCAAACTTCCGTTATTTTTGAAATATTGTTCAACAATGAAAATGCGTTGTACTGTCACCTTATACCCTATATTGGGCAGTACATTCAAATGTTGCATGCATTTTGGGATACTCTTTATAGTTAATTTTTTACTAATTCCAATGTTGACGCAGCCTGATTGGAAAGCCCTTTGTTCAAAAATCGGATTAACAAAGTTTCTTTGGGATCCTCATAACAACCGCGGTGTCCTGGCATTTAGGCTTCTGCCTGCGCTGCTGCTTCGGTGTAAAAAAATATTGATATAACGCATTCACGATTAGTTGTCGAGTTATAAGCGACTCAATGTACAAAAACTTGACAGTCTGTCAGATCGCCATTTTGAAAGATGATTTTGTACTCTGGAGTTATAAAGCAGTTATCACACAATCCCCTATTTCAATTGAAAAAACGGCGCGCAGTAGTAAATATGCTTTTTATGTATCATTTCCATTACCCCGAATTTCAACAGTGCAAACGGGAGGGGACCTTTCTGAAAAGCACTAAATAATTAACTTTTCTCTGAGCTGACCTCCTGGGCTTTTTGCATAAACATTTCGCAAACATTTGGCTGAATTTCGTTAATACAACGTTGAATTTCTACATTCAATAAGTGCGGGCTTGATAGCATATACCTTTGAGTTTCATAAACTCCATAACGCCATAGAAATAAATATAATGATTTGAGGGACAACTTTGATCACTGAAACGAGAGTGCATACGACCAGGAAATATCTTACGCAGCAATTGAATTGTTTCACTGGCTGACATGTGGCACCGTCCTTTTGGAACCACATGTTAGCCACATCAATATTACATTCAATTTGGGCAGAAAATACTGCGTTATCAGTCGCGATATCGAGCACCAGTCACTGCTTCGCTAGCCTCTTTTTCAAAGAAATATGGCCCAACAATGTCGCCAATCTTAAAAATTGGTTTGTCGCTTAGGATCATTTTGCTCGAAAAATCAGCATCCACTTGTTAATGATCAATAACCTATTCGACGAACTCTCTTCACTGTGCATGATCATCAGGCTTCAGTTCTCGTTTCAATTAGGTTTTTGTAAGCATGGAGATGGAGAGACAAACAAGTTACGGTGTAACGAGCTCTTGAAATTTGCAATTCTTGGCCACGACACCAAATTGATGTTTCTCGACTTCCATCAACACTCTCACGCACTGCTTCCATACCGACATACGAGCGGCTCGTTTTTGGACGACCAGTGTGTTTATCATCATCATCATGATTTAGTCTTCCTGAAAATCTCTTAGTTTATTCACAGCGGACTTGGCTAAATCAATATATTTTGTACGAAATTTACGAACTATTGCCGCCAAACTTCCGTTATTTTTGAAATATCGTTCAACAATGAAAATGCGTTGTACTGTCACCTTATATCCTATATTGGGCAGTACATTCAAATGTTGCATGCATTTTGGGATACTCTTTATAGTTATTTTTTTACTAATTCCAATGTTGACGCAGCCTGATTGGAAAGCCCTTTGTTTAACAAAAATTTTTAAGTTTCCTAAATAAGTTCGTCTTGATAATTTTCAACTAGTGGAAGATAAATCACATGATTATGACTATTAACGAGAATGTCACTGGTACAAACACGTCTAGGAATCCCATGAAACATTGACCAGCACATTATAATAATACCGCCCTAGGCGTATTTCTGAAAAATGTTAATTATTGCAATTTATTATAAAACAACACTGAATTTAACCTTGACAGTAAGATGAAGGAGAGCAACAACATCCAGGTTTTAATTCGTTTTGAATAAGATAATTGTCAAGCACGATACCGAGATTTGTCACGGAAAAAGCTAGTAGTCTTCACGCGCTTCGGTGGCTTCCAGTTCCTGCTGTAGGTAGCAGCATCACATGAAAAAATGTTCGAATGTTTTGTTGCAGTGAAAATGCTTAAACTGGGGTTTTGTGTTTTGTGTGTTATAGCAACCGGTCAGTATTTCTCATATTGTATAATAACATCCTGCCATATTATACAAGATGGCCCAGTGTAATAGTATCGTGGGCGAAATCTATTTTACTTATAGTGACATTTGCTTCTAAAGGTATGCCCGTATTTTGGATCATATTTTGAAAAAGTTGTATACAACTTGATTCATCTAATATTGAACTGCATAAACATGTTTTTTAAAATATCCATTGTGTTATTTGACTGCACACAGCAGGTAAATGAATAGGAGCTTTCATGTAGCGATTGATATCATACGAAGAGCGTTAATGATTAATTGCTATTTCAACCAAAAAATTACTACCAAAACATTTTCGTATCCCATTTTTTCATTTTCATCGGAACGAACGCTGAAGTCGCCTCTTGTACAACATCGCACTCTGTACTCATATATATTTACATCTCCAAACTCCGTCATCCATCCATTCTATACAAATATGTTCGTTAGTGAAAACGAGTTTTTGAATAATAAACGACATTCACAAAACAAAGCTAAAACATCACAATATGCATCCTTACGCTGCCTATCCATTACAACCTTGCTTTACAACATGTGCCAGGCATTTGTACAATTTGCAACATGATATGCGGATCAAGCAGTGGGCATATGGGATGCGCAATATGTGTCGCCGCATTGCCGCAGTTTGCACAATTGACATTCAAGTTTGCAACATGTGCACGGCACCTTTGTGCGGTCAAAATGTTGCAGATATCGAAGAAGATGTTCAGGATGGATATTGTGCAATATGTTCCAGATGTTTTGACAGTTGCATACGCCCAGTACATGTACCAGCAACTACGTTATATTGCTAAATGGATGCAATTCGCCATTGGAATCATTTTCAAAGCATACTATCTTATGTCTTATGCTTTTACCTATAAAATAGTTTGTAGATATTATTGCTATTGCATCGCCCTGAGACATTTTCAGGGCGACCTATAAGTTTTTTGTGCAACCGCTATCAGTCAACTAAACGAGGAAGAAAACATTCATAACGTAAATTTATGTATTATAAATACATGCTTGGTTAAAGTAATGTGGTGATGACGACTCAGAATATGTTCAAAACGTAAAGTAACTACTACCCCGTTTTAGATGCTTCGTTAAAATGCATTAATATCCCGCAGATACAGAAATTAAATTTCTTGCTTGCTAGAGACTAACGGATTCTTCTCAAAGCTTTTTCATTTCTTGTACGCCTTGAAAACTAATTTCATCGATCAAGTAGTTTTTCAGTTGTCATAGAATGGTTATAGTCTATGCTCCCGCCTTATATGTTTTATCCCAGTTCAAATACTTCAAATCACTGAGAATATGATTTGGCACGGTCATGTTTCATCAATCGCAGTAGCTGCTGCATGCAAGTTGTGCTATCTCTGTAAAGTACTTTTCAGTATCTATAACCTCCTCATTCCGTATACGGTTCAGGTAAAGACTTCACCCGGGAATACTATTTTTGCCTTATCGGTCATATTGTGTTAAGAATAAGACATTTTATTTAACAGGCAACCACAATCCTCTTTTATCGATATGCCCACGGTCTTAGGTCGCTTGAGCCCTCGAAGCCTGCCAGACAGACCGCACGGGTATCTTGAAAAGACCTATAAAACGACAAAAAAACCTATAAGATGTCAACTTGCAGTCTAGGTAGTTTTTAGGGCGCAAACAGTCATTCCACGTTTGCTCACTAGGATCGTTGTGAACGTCCATCTACGGAGGAATCACTCAACTAAACTACGCATTATTGGTTGCATAGTTTTGTGAGGCTGAGTGATCCGCACGGGTATCACGTATCTTGAAAAGCGACATTATGCCGATTTTTTTTGACATTATGCTGATTTTTTGACATTATGTAGGTTATTCTACAAGATATTAACTTAGCACTTAGTTGTACGTGTTGCCTAAACCTCATAAGGCTTGTTATCAATCTTTGGCTCTGATGTGATGTACAATCTACTTCTGAGATGGCATTACTGAAGGTCTAAGCTGTAAGTTGTATGTGTTGATGATAATTACATTGAGTTCTTAACTCAAATACACTTACTTGAGATTCAAAGCTAGAAATTAGTTGCGCATCCACTTTTTCTTATCCATTCTGGAAATCACATATAAGTACAAATTTGCTGAATTTAAAAAATGAGAGAGATAAGAAATAATTATATTCACTATACACAGTGGAATTACAAGCCATATACCTGCTAACAGTAATTACACACAACGCGGGCGCGGTGATGATTTCCCGTAAATCTCCTCAGTTTTTCGTAATTTATAACTTTGAACATAACCTGTCTTCAGAAAGCACAACATAAAAATAACCCGTTGGGCACAGCCAATAGATGTACTTCATATTGGCAGCATATTCAGTAATGATTTTCTCACACAGCAAATATCACGGATTTTATACACATGCAGACCAATATACATAATCATCCAGATGCGATCTTGCTATTCAACCAACTTTCTTCTCAGAGATACCTAAAACTACAGACAAGGGCCATTTGGCCTCACAAAACATATGCAACCAATAATGCGTGTAGTTTAGTTGAGTGATTCCTCCTTAGATGGACGTTCACAACGATACTAGTGAGCAAACATGGAATGACTGTTTACGCCCTAAAAACTACCTAGTTTGCAAGATGACATCTTATAGGTTTTTTTTGACGTTTTATAGGTTTCTTACATGATACCCATGCCGTGCAGCTTTACTTTGTTTATACTGCTCAATGATGTGGAACAATTTGTATGTTGAGTCTTCCTCAGTTATACTTGCCTTAGACAGTTCAAAAATGAGATTAACACATGTCTTTATATCCCTCGCAAGACTTACGCCTTCCCTCAATGTACTCCATAAGCTATAAAAATACACATCAAGGGCATACCTTGGTGGAAGTTCCACAAATCATATCTACTTACGTATGATATTTTACTTACTATTTGCATTTCATTATTTTATCTATTTACATAGAGTCTTCCACGCTAATTTCACGTTTCATATAGATATGGAAAACTACTAAGATTACTTTTTTTAATCATTCAAGCAAATATTGCACGAGATGATTTTTTAGGTAATAAGTTAGTCGTTTGCAATACTTGAAAGTAACATATGGCAGAAAAATACTTTAATCGCGAAAAAACTTGAATAATAATTTTCAGATATAACATAGCATGTACATTTTTGTGGGGTTCGTCAGTACAGGCAGGAAAATATTTTTAGTTTCTGTTATTCGGCCCTGTTGCGATAGAGTAACCGTCAAAAAAAAAACTAATTTTGTTCATTGGTCCTTCTATAACTTGGAAAGTATCACTGGATTTTGAAGAAACTTTGAAAGGTATGTCTAATGGTACCAGTATTATGAGAGAGAAGACAAAATTCAGAAAAAAGTTAAGTTTTGTATTGTATTGTATTTTAAGACGTAGTCAAGAGTCTATTTGAAGGATTCGAAGTTTGTAAAATTCGGGAAAGCTCGTTATTCAAATTCTAATCATCCAGTCACTCTTGTATAACTCCAAACACAGCAACACGAGGTGTGCGAATATATGTGGAGTGAATCTGCGTTAAAAAATCTGGAAATCGCTGATCCAGAAACGTCACAAAAGAAATTGTACAGAAGGATTTATATATTCTTTAGAGTGAATATTAAGGCCCCTCATCGCCAAATAAAAAATTCTGGGTAACTTTTTTACCAGACTTTGAAGTTATGTCTATTGAACAACTGAGAAAGAGATGAAAACACCGTCAAAATGAGAACTAATAGGAAACTCCAGTTCGTTACAACGGTTGATTTGTTATTGCAAAAAAATTGTTCATTGTTTGCCGAAAAGAGCACAATAAACGTAAATATTAAAAAGTGAACAAAAGTTTGTTTTGTGATTAGCATAATAAAATCTTTGAAGCCGGTGAAGCTATCCAGCGACATAACTGTTGAAAAAAATTCATGACTATAAAACTTAATCGAAAATGTTACAAAAGTTATACTACTTGGAACATAACACTCCCTACAGGGTGATTCATATCGAAATGACAACAGAAACAATTTTTTTATATATACTAATACTTGGAATGTCATATAGCCACAAATAGCTTTATAGAATATGTAGGAGGATATGTACCTAGGTTGTTCTAAAATGATTTGCGAAACAAATTTGTCATATTTTCATCATAGTGATCTAGGAAACAGTAACAGATACGGTTGAATGGTTGCAAAGTTATATATTTTAGAGAATGCATTTGAAAAGTTTTGACGCTTAGAGTATCTCCGGAGATGCACGGAATAGGAAACGAATCGTTTCTAATGCTTTCTGAATTTATTTGAAAATAAACTGCACATTAACACTGCCGCCTTTTGATCTCTGCAAGATGGCGTAAATAGAACATTAATATGGTTTATTGTCGTTTCTTATCCCACGTCTCAATTGTGTTTTTTCTCATGTATGTCATTTTTGAATAGGCGAATAGCTTTCAATTCTGATTACAAATATTATATCATGTCATACAATGCCAAATTGGTTAAGGCTTTCGCGGCCAGCTGATAAACTGCTGTCTTGATTCGGGTCTAAAGGCCGTCGTCGGTTGGATTTCTTCCTAACGTTTCGCTAGCACGATTGGCAAGCTTCTTCAGAGGTCCTTCCATTTCCGATGCTGGATGTAGACTGACGATTTCTCTTGCGCAGGTTGTATTTATACCGGAGGGTAGGTGACGCGGCTTGTTCCGCTTCGGTTGACTTCGGGATGTCGATCGGCACTGCTCGGGCGTTTCTGAGGATCCTGTGCCAGATCGGGTTGAGTCTGAGGGTATCTTCCTTCCTGTTGAAGTTATCTGGATTGGATGTTTGTGAATCTAGATAGCTTCCCTGACCGGCCTATTGTGATAGCCGTTGTCTGATGACAGCAACCTGCAACTCCCAAAGTGTATCCTGAGGTCCCCATTGCTTAGTGCATGTTCAGCTACCGCATACCACTCAGTTTGTCCTAGCCGGCAATCTGAGTCCCGTTCCTATTGATCTTTTCGTAGTTGAACCCGACGACATCCTTGTGAGCTTCGATGTCGTCTCCTTTTTCACCAAGGTAGAGCAGAGAGTGCCTGGATCTGGTGAGCAGGATCTTCCCTTCTGACATCTGCAAGCTCTTTGAAATCTATCTCACTGGAAGCTTCTTCGTATGGAACGGGGGCTTTTATGAGCAGACAGACGGAGTGGCAATGAGAAGTCCACTTAGCCCAGTCATAGCCAACCTTTTTATGGAACTTCTTGAGAAGAAGGCGGTTGAGACATTGGAGAACGGACCAGCAATTTGGTTCCGGTACGTGGACGACACCTTTATGATTTGGAAACATGGCACGGACAGGCTAAACGAGTTTCTGCAGCACCTCCACGATCGGCATCCAAGCATACAATTTACCATGGAGATAGAGAGTGACCAACAACTGGCCTTCTTGGACGCACTAGCCAGGAAGCGAGGTAACAAGCTGTCAGAAGTATGGAGTCATCAGAACCCTGACAGAACGAGCTCGAAAGATTTGCGAACCATAGAACCGCCAGTGAGAACTTGAACACCTGAAAACCGCGTTCGACGCAAATGGCCACAGCAAGAGGGACATCGAAAGATCAATGGGCTCGAGATCAGCCAGGCCACGTGAAACCAAACAGCCTCCCACCACCTCTCAAGCGGAGCTTCCATTTGTGGACAGGATTAGCAGAGTCCTGAAGAGACATGACATTAAAACAATCTTCAAGCCTGCGAAGAAGATCCAACAAACCATCAGATCGGCAAAGGACAAGAAGGACCCACTCTCAACCGCAGGAGTTTACCGCATACCGTGTTCATGCGGCAAAGTATACATTGGAACCACGAAAAGATCAATGGGAACGAAACTCAAGGAGCACAAAACAAATTGCCGGCTAGGACAAACTGAGAAGTCTGCGGTAGCTGAACATGCACTAAGCAATCGGGAACACAGGATACACTTTGGGAGCTGCAGGTTGCTGTCATCAGTCAACGGCTATCACAATAGACTGGTCAGGGTAGCTATCGAGATTCACAAACATCCAATCCAGATAACTTCAACAGGAAGGAAGAGACCCTCAGACTGAATCCGATCGATCCTCAGAAATGCCCGAGCAGTGCCGATCGACCTCCCGAATTCAACCGAAGCAGAACAAGCCACGTCACCTACCCTCCGGTATAAATACAACCTGCGCAAGAGAAATCGTCAGTCTACATCCAGCATCGGAAATGGAAGGACCTCTGAAGAAACTTGCCACTCTTACTAGCGAAACGTTAGGAAGAAATTCCAACCGACGACGACCTTTAGATCCGAATCAAGACAGCAGTTTATACAATATTATATATAAAATTTCAAAGATGATAACATGTTTTGCGTTGATATAAAATTTCAATACCTCATATAGTTGATTGAAACTCATCGAATGAAGAACATAACGTAACTCATTTATATAATTCAAGAGTAACAATGAAGACATCGAAAACGGTATAATTTAAAAAAAAACTGATAAGTGAAACGTCAGATCAAAATTCTAATTATGCCACCGTGTAGAAGAGAAAAAGTGATAATGTTATTGTGTAATTTGTTTTAAATTTGTAGACAATGTGGATGCTTGAAAAGTTTTGTTTCTGACTAAAGCGAGGAAAAAATAAGAACGACTTAGAGTAAATTCGGAAATACTTTGCGTTTCCAAACTACAAGTTCCATTTTCTATTTACACGCGCAACTTTGCTCCCATAAAGTAGTCTTACTCTTTTAGGTGGATGTCACAAGATCAGTATTTACTATAATCCTTCAATATACTAGTATTTGTCATGAGATGTGATGTTTATTGACTGTGTAGCCTGGACGTTAGTAATCACTGATGCAAAATGTTACGTAGAAATCCACTGACGGTACGGACTACAGTAGATACTGATCGCGTAACATTCTCTTTACCGTTTCCGAGATCCCAAAGGCGAGATTCGAATTTGAAACACACGTAACATATATAGCGCTTTTAGAAAAATGAAGTATATATCTACATAGATTTCAACTAATCCTGGTAGTTTCTCATCTAATAGATATCGATTCAGCATGTGGAGAACCCTGCACATGGATAATTTAATTTTTGTAAGAAATGTTCGCATCAGTTGATTTTGGTCAATCTAGGGTACGCCTTTCAGCATGTTCAGCATTAGTGAAGCATACTGAAAGTCTATTAAGATAAAGTGTAGAATAAATATATTTTGCAGTGTATGCTACACCAATTGATGATAAACTAGACTTTGGTACCGACAAGACTAGTTCAATCATAGGTCGAAAGTCTGGGCGAACCTACTCCGATTCACCGTATCCCACAAAGTACACCAATACCGCCACAAAGCCTGTAAACGAGAAGAATCTGAACGAGGCCAGCAAAGCATGTTCACCAACTGGCTGCAACGTTACCAAAAGCGTAACCACCAAAGAATATATTGAAGGTGTGGATGGAGATGTGGTGGTCAAGATAGAAGCTAAAGTTGGTGTGAATAAGGACAATATGCCCATCGACGTCCCTGATATTCCAGTTGTCATAGGTAAACGTTTTTCTCATTTTTTTTCAAAATTATTTAAGTATACTGAACATGAGCATACTCGACTAATTTTACTAGAATAAATCGTATGATATAAGAAACACATCTCATTTCCAAAATACACGGTAATGAAATATTTTTGACCATGTATTTGTCGATCGCCTGTTGTCTGAGCAGAACAAAGCTATGCAGGTTTGAAATTGGATCCACAGGCGGTCGAATTATTAGCGCAAACTGATACATTTCTATCTGCAAAGTCCCACAGCAAAGTCCTTTTTTTGACGTTGTCAGAATTGAAAAGCAAACTTCAGTCTTCGTAACGTTTCAATATTCTGTAATAATTAGAATCTAATATGTCAAGATGCAGAGATCACTAATGATCATGATATAAGGGCGATTATAATTCTTGTATATCGTCGTCCTATGTGTTCAGGAGCAGTTTTTACAGTCACAAAACTCTTTTAAATTTGAAAAATCGGTTTCGCTTCCATTCACGTCGATTTTTTAGTAAACATCTACAGAATTACTATGAAACTCTTGTACATCAGATCAAAATTGTTACATAGGAGGTTTCATCAAAACATGGACGACATATAACATGAAATACAGGGTGTAAACGTTATGATAGTCATTATTTAAATAGATGATAGAGGGGGTTAAAAGAAACAAAAAGTTTCATATAACATAGGTGTCAAAACGGCATTTTTTTTAGAGAAAAGCGACTTTAAAGTAAAAATTACGACGGAACGCAGTGTAAATAAAGATGGAGTTTGTTATTTTTGGCTCTTAGGTATTATTTCATTATTTGATAATGTACTCGTAAAATGCAAACAATTAAAAAAAACGGACTTACCACAAACTGTCTCAACGCTTCACCTGGTGTGAGAAAGTTTATTTAACGTATTAAAAAAATCCATTTATAAATAGGGAACACAATTTTGAAATATACATTGTTTTTCTTTTTAAAACCCACGCTGCACTTTTTTGTATTTAAAGAAGGTGTCCAAAATGTCGTCCTCCACTTTCCACACAAGCTTCATTACGACGAACTCAGTTTCTGCTTACTCTAGGTCCTCGAAATTGTCCATTTATTATTTCAGCCACATTAAATTTTTTTTCGCGAAGTTGTGCTTCAGTTGTTATTAGACCAGCCCCACAAACCATCCATTTAAGTTCTCCCCAATACCAGAAATCCATCGGATTGAGGTCAGGAGATCGTGCTGGCTATTTTCGAGGATCAGAAGCATTTCGACCGAACCAGCGACTTGGATAATGTTTATTCAAATACTTAATGACGCCTCTAAAAATGAGTGGTGGTGCCCCGTCATGAAGAAACCACAAATTCTTCTCCGTTGTAATGGCATGTTGTCTAAGGTCTGTTCCAAAATTTCTGGCAGGTTATTGACTAGAAAGCTAAGGTATCCATCTCCTGACAACTTTGGGGGTAACTCGAAACTGCCAATTACCTGATCGTCAAGAATACCCGCGCCCAAATATTTATTTTAAAATGGAAATGACATTCGCGAATGGTATGAGAATTTTCTTGGGCCCACGTGTGAGTATTATGGAAATTTAATATCCCGTCTCGCGTAAAAGTACATTCGTCCGTCGCTAGAATGTTTTTAAAAAAATCCGGATTTTCAATGTTTTTGTGCAAGAACCACTGACAGAATGTTAGTCTGCGAGGATAGTCTTCTGGTAACAAGGCCTGCAGTCGTTGTACATGGTAGGGATTAAGCAAATTTTCCCGTAGGATTCTATGGACTATGGTATGCGATAGTCCTACGCGGCGGCCTAATATCCGAGTGCTGATATCTGCATTGATTTCCACGATATTTAAAATTTGTTCCTCCTGCTCTACAGTAACCTGTCTTTCATATTAGTGGGCTGAATACTTCCTGAATCTCGAAGTCTTTGGTACACTTGCACAAATGTCCTTCTGTCTGGGTGTACCCGTTGGCGAAATCTGTCGCGATAAATTTGAGCTGCAAGATTTCAATTCTGACGAGCTTAACCGTAAACTAACAACATGTTGGTGTACTCTTGATTCGAGAACATTGTAAATAAACACGACGACGTACGCGAACAAAAACAAAACAACACGCCCGATGCTCTGCTCGACAAAACGATAAGGTAATTTATCTATGCAAAACGATAACTAACCACTGTTACCGTTTGCGATCGATTGCCGGTTCGATAAGAGTGATGAAGGACCGTCGCGCTGTTGTCATGTTTGTTTTAAATATTTAATTTAATGAAACTTACTGACTACAAATTTTGGCTTAACTTAGAAAAACTTAATGCCATTTAATTGTTAATTACCCAATTTAAAAACGTTTTAGATTAGATTATAAAAATCAGTAAGATTGTAGTGATTGTGGTCGATATAAAGCACTCAAAGTTGTAAACTATAAAGCCATTTAGACAAATATCTATTGACTTTTGGACCATGAGTTATATGAACTTTTTGACTTGTTTTGACCCCCCCGCCTATTACCCATTTCAATAATGACTGCCATAACGTTTACACCCTGTATAATTATCTTGATGTATGATTTTTTTAATATAACGTTGAAAAATTGAAAGCAAGTATGTCTAGAAATGTTGCTTTGCGAGACCTTTAGGGAAGCCTTTTATATCAGCTATATCATCACTTTCTGCAATATTTTACAAAAACGTGTTTTACTGTGCAAATGAGACAAATTCCACATTTTCGTGACAACTCATGGGTCCTTTACGTGTTTTTTATGACAATTGATCTGTTTTTAACTAATGTTGCCTGACCCCATATACATCACGCATACGTAAACTTTACTCAGTTCCTCCTCTGCCTAGACAGACTACGAGAAAAACCATTAAAAGCTTCACGAAATCTACGATTTTTTTGCACGACGAATCAATAACATACATACATGCGTATACAGACGAAAATAAGATTTTCAGAAGAGTAGCGGCGTAATATTCCGTGCGATAGATCTCTGACAGCTTCATATGAATATTCATGATTAGGAGATAATTTACTTTTTGTTATGAATTCCATTATGCTACCAGACTGTACACCTTGTGCGATTTTTATGCTAATGTTTACGATTGTTTGTTTTTGTCTGATGTTTTTAATATATTCAAATCGAAACCTACAATCGACGATAGGATGTTGGTTTTTCCAGTCTCATCTCCTATACTAGCTGGTTGTGACAGATAAACCTCGACAAACACAGAAATCAAGTTGTTAAACGTTCTAGTCAGTATTCGGGTATATCCTTATACACTTTGTGCCACTATACTTTGAAAGATCATCCCTCCTTTACTTTTCAAGCCAGTATGGAAATAAAAAGAACTTCGAAAATGAGGGTCGTATCACACTTACATCACGAAAATTTCCATCAATCTGTTTGTCTGTCGGTTTCTCTGCCGTGACCCCTCTATACCTTGGAAATTATCTATCTAATTTTGTGACAGTTCACCTACATTCTAACAAAATACGGAAAAATAAAAATCGCTAAATCTTCATTTTTAGACCTTGCGTTTGCCATCACCAACATTTTTTATAGGGGCTCAAAGTTGGGGCTTGGGATTGTAGAGGGTGGAGATGTTATCTCTTTTTTCTAACACAAGCCCGGTAATACTACGTACCTACCTAGGTGGAATATGTTAATCGATGGTACCTATTAGACATTTCACACATCATTTTTTATTTTATCCACGTCTATGAGACTATTTGACTGACTTGATCTATTTAATTTTTTGTTATATACATGTTAGTAATTATTTTTTTTTGGAGGCGCTAATTTGAGTTGAACATAAACCTGTATGAACTGATGCATGGAAAGTGCAGAGTCACCCTTCTAGACGAGATTTTTCTTGGGGTTAACGGTCCATGTGATAATTATTTGTTTAAGTGCACTCTCATGATGTCTTCTGCATGGACAGAAATCCGTCTCCACTACTGACCATCATCCGACAACGTGGTGAGGGATTTTGATAGATTTGATATTGAGTGCAGTTTTTTGATACAACTACTAGAAACTGAAAACTCATTATAGGCCAACCGATGCACTTAAACCCCCAAAACATGCATCGCACAAAAAATATATGAGGAAAGATTTTTAAATGTCATTTTTATATTGTGATGAAATATCTAATATTTTTCGTAAATATATATTTACGAAATATATGAAGCAACCGATTTCCAAGCATTAATCTGATACATATTTCCAGTGGATAGGATACAGAAAATTCGTTGGTTATTTTAGCAAAATCTGTGGGAGTGCTTTTATAAAAGGGTTTATCAAGAAAATTCATTCTAGATATGATTTAAATTGCTAGAAAAATATTATTAAAAAACATTATAATCCACTCATCTGAAAAAAAAACTTAATAATTATGAAGTATTATTGAATACATAAGCTGCTACTCACCGGTCTTTTGTTTGAGAGAGATATTCTACCTAGTACTCAACTGGGTCCCTAAAAAGCAGCTCTATAATGTACCTAAAAGGACTCCATATTTTTTTCCTATGGGAGTTTGAGATTTATTTAAATTTTAAGAAAATTTGGTATGTTATTTCAAATATCTTGATGAAAAATGTCCATGGGAACAACTTGATCCTTAGTAATGGGGCTAATGTAGCCATAACTATTTTGTGATCTTATAATTCAAGGGACAAAAATATAGCATTTTTGACTGTTGAACGCCGCTGTTGAACGTAAAAATTTGAAAATAGTTATAGCTGATTTGCCCTCTACTACGACAAAAATAATAATTATTTAAGTGAGATATTCGAAACAAGCATTTTTGATATACCTTGATCAAGTTGTGGTTATATCACTTTTCATTGAAATGTTATAAACATGTTCACTAGTCAGAAAAATTAAGCTATGCAATTATCGCAAAACTTACCCTTTTCCACAAAAAAAAACACTCAAAGAATGTAGCACTTGGAGGTACACAGGAACTATGCAATCATAGTAAAACACACAGGCAAAGTGGATGCCGGAAAACGGGTCGGCTCCGGTCGGCTTGCCATTATGCCATTGGTCCCTCGGAGTCTCTCACACACACACATGCACCATAGCCGAAAGTATTTAATGAATATTTTCTAAATAATGGAGTTTTAATATTTTCCAGTGATTAAAAAGTGAATCTTTGATAAAAATATTGAATTTAAACTATTTAAAAGATATTGAATAAATCTTTAATAAAAATATGATATTCCAAATATTTGTTTTAGATAACAAATATTTAGGTAAGATAAAAGTATTATTAAATATTGAATGAATATTTCGTGCTATCGAGGTTAGGTGAACATGCGAGGCGAGTTTATATTAGCTCGAAAAGTAAATCAGGGGACTTTTTCCAGAGTAGCGAAGCACTGAAATTATGTAGTAAAGGATCTCATGTCTAAACAGTTCGTTTGTTCTAGGTTACGCTGGAGCCGACGACACAACCTCCAACTCGGGATACGACCATGTGAAAGAAAAATACCCACCAACTAGCACGAGTTACTACCCTATCGTTCCAAACTATGCAGCTGCTTACCCTGGCACATCTGTGCCCATGAACAAGCATTACAACTACAACCGATACAACACACAAAATATCCATCAAAAAAATCAGAACACCTACGGATATGTCATGAATCCTTCCGCTGCTCGGTACCCATCTAGTTATGGATACGTCAATTACCAACCTGTCAATAACGTTCCTGTATCACGTAGCCTCCAAAATGGTTACGGGTATGTTAACTACCAACCGATGACTCCAGTTATTGGGTCTCGCCAAAATGGGTACGGGTATGTGAGCTACATGCCAATGAATCTTCATGTCATGACAATTGATACTTTGATGAAAGCACCCCATTTGAAGCCTGACTATACTCTGGACTATCCATATTCTGGTAATACCGAATACAGCTCTACTAGAGGTTCTAACTCTGCGGGGTTTCAGGGTACCAAGACCATGTGGGTTCCATCTCTTCCGATCCCTTCGAGGGTACCGAAATCATATAGGAGCGGGGTGACGCTTTCGACGTTGAACGATGAAGCTAAGGACAAAGCTGTTGGAATAGACGATAAGCTGAACTTTGGTGACAGCTAACTTTTTCTGCATACATAATAATGTAAAATATGTAGAGTTAAGAAACTATTGTTGATTTTGTCATGTCATTATTGTACAATGTTGTACAAGCTTTTACCTTGAAACCTTGTAAAAAGAAGTAAATATATCAATAGGAAAGTTTGAGTTGTAATATTCGTGCTCGCAGGAAAAATGTACTTTTAAACGTACCACAACAATTCCTAGTACTGAGGATTTAAATCTTAAGCATCTTCTGTCTCTTAAGATAAGTGTTGATGGGGACAGCATTCAGGCTCTTATATGAGTTGGTAGATATATTGGTATGAAAAGAGAACATTTCATAAAAATTATACGTGCTGCAACATTTATTCGAACATTTTTCTCATGGACTTAAAAAAAACTCGTACAAGACACTTTCGACTTGTATTGTTTGCATTGACTTTGACCTCTGAACTTTGAGAAATTACAGTTTGTGCATTGAGAATTTGTCATTTATAGATACTTAAAGGGCCAGAAGGATTAATATAAAAATATATCCAAAGCTTTTATAAAAATATATCGTTCCAGTATATATTTTGAAAATTATCACTTAAATTTTATGAAAACATGTTTGCAATTTTTAAAAAATTACGGGTTTTTTGCGGTATAAGTAGTTACTCTTCCATTGTCATTAATAGTGCTTGTTGCTTGCTGCACAGTCCTCGGCACACCGTTGACATTTGTTGTATGGCTTGAAGAAAACGTTGAGACACTTTTGAAACCTCCTGGTTGACCGCTTCCTCCAAAGCGGCTGTTGATGTTCGGTACGCCCTAGAAAAGGAAATACGTCATTTGATTTTGGTCACCTATACTCGGTTACCGCACATTTCTTTAACATATGGTGGGATATGCACACACCGACCGGGCCTTTAAATTAAATGCTATTCTGATGTCTTCCTTTTCGGTACAAGACTATAATAAATACCATAAGACAACAAAATTGACTTGTGTCATCGTCATTTAACTTAAATTATGAGTTCAGAAGTTTTATAACGTTGAGGTGTGGAAATTCGATAAATAGGGATAATATAAAATGTCAGAGAAAAGTTAACCAAGTATGTCATATAATTGATAGCAGCTTGTCAAAAAAAAATCCCACCGAGATAAACGATACTTTATCCATACTACTTTCTTCAAAGCCTTCTTCCAAAAACTATTACCACTGTAGGATTCGACAGATCAGCCCGGTGGGTGATAAACTAATCAAATAATATTCCAGAACTCTTGTTTGAAGTTTGGAAGATCTTTCAATAGATTTATTTCGGACTTCCATTGTATGGAAAAAAATTCGAGTTACACGACGTTTCGATTGATAATTGAGAGCCGAGTCACCACTGGAGCCACTAGATGCCGCCCATTCTGGTACTATAGTAGATACGGTCTACTCGCCATTGAACAAACTAGTAATATAGCTTTCGTTCGTCCGACCACAGACCTTAACCATGCTGAGGAGTTGCCAAATAGCGCAAAACAGCTGTCCTTGGTTGGCCGTCTTTGGTCAGACGAACAAAAGCTATATTTTACTTGAATTGAAAATATCTTTTAGGATTATTATTTTTATATTTTATACAAATGTCCTCCTCGATGACTATCTTTTATGAAAATCTGACTGAATTCCTGAGACACTACTGAAATTCCTCTTTCAGTGCAGTGCCTGTGGGCTTATTGAAATCCAATGTTTCTAGATCACATGATCTAAGACCCAATTTTAATCAACAAAACGAAATAATTCTACCTGGAAATGTCTCGTGTGGCATTTGAGTTATCTCATTTTCTATGGCACCGTCTTATTAAAACCACACGTTATAATATCAATATTATCCAATAAGTTATTTGATTCAAACTTTGCGTGATATCGCCTTACAAAGAGCTGTAGCATAGACAAGCCTTGTGGACGTTCTAGCTTTGCTCCAGTATTATTTCTTCGCAAGACATCCTCATTAGTATAAGCAATTTCTAATTGTTAAAAAAATAATGATTAAAATAAGTAATAAACAAGCTACTTACTGGATTCTCTGGGTAGACAGCAGCAGTTTGTTGTCCACCTCCTGGCCCAATCGATGCACTAGCTACGGCACCCGGTGCTCCTCCTGAATAGGAGAAACCACCTCCAACGGGTCCAGATCCACCGTAACCCCCTCCAAATCCTCCCCCAAATCCGCCGCCTACTGGCATTCCCCCAGAGAAGGCGTGGCCACCCCCTACAGGAGCGGATCCGGAGAAACTGCCACCATATCCACCATCGTAGCTGCCACCGTAACCACCTGCTCCAGCTCCCGTGGCAGCTCCCCCTGCGCCAGCTGCTTGTGCAGCTTGAGCTTGAATGCTACAGACAGGAAAATGGCTTTAATTGACGCATTCAGTTTCTTAGTAGATTATAAAGGGTACGGTGTTTTGGTCCATAGAGTATTCTACCTGGAGGGGCTCAATGGTTACCAACGAAACAGAAGCCTGCATATGTGGACGCGTGTGATAAATTGTGCTATTGAGCAATTACCTTGTAGCCAATGTTCCAGTGCATTGCGGTTTGGCTTCGACCACATTTGGCCAAAAAACATACTTCCAGCCACATATTCTGCTGAGGAAGATTTTTATAAAACCTATACTCGTCAGAAATTTTCGTAAATATCTTATGGTGAGGCAGTAAAAATGCAAAAAATCTTGCACTACGCAATTAGGAACTGATGATATGTTTTTCAAAAGGCCTAGGAACGTTAACATATAAGAATATGATATTTGAGTTAGGTATTTTGAAATATCTTTGAGCTACCAAATAGTGCCAGTGTACATAATTTTATCAGCCATCCAATCTTGCAGAACAAACATTCAAAGATAGAATAGCCAGATTACTATGCAGTATTGGTACAAGGGCGGATCCAGCATTTGTGTCCGTGGGGTCACATGTTCAGGAAGATATTTGCCTCCAGTGTAGCCTTAATGGGATTTAAGCAATAAATCTAAATTTTAAAGGGACGCTTTTAATGTTTATGACTTCTTCCGTATCGACATGTACATCTTTATGGACATACAAGAGTACCAGACCAGTTAGGCGTTCTTCTGCCATAGAGGCTCGCAAACACGTCTTGAGCCTCGTGAGCGTAGAAAATGACCTCTCTGCTATCGCTATACTAACTGGATAGCAAGGTAGTGAGGATACATAAGAACTTATTGATGGTGAGATACGTTTCGGCATCGCAATTTTCAATAAGAGTAGGAATCCACCGCGGAATATTCCATCCATTCACAGCCGATATTTTCATTAGAGATTTTTTCGCGAGATCCCGTAGTGAACCGGAGCGGGAACAGATGGAATTTCCCCTTCCTCTCGAAGTTTTGACAGTTTCAAGTTCAACCGGGAGTGGTTACATGGCGCATGTTCTGCAAAATATTTGCTTTAAGCTCCTTGACAAACTTAGCTGCCTTGTTTGAATCTGAAATAACAAGACCGATCGTTTTTGTGCAATGTACTTATATATCAATGAAATCAATCATTTGATATGAAAAGTGCCGTTCATATATCTTCAATGACCTTCTCCCTCGTCATTTAAAATCAGCTGGACGTGTTCCTCCATTTATGATTTAATAATTTAACTCAATTTTCAGCACTGCGAAGACAAATTTTCAATTGAGAAGCCTGTTTTTTTAAATGAAATTGACATAAAACCTGTCACCCGCTAGTACCTCACAGACGTTAGGCGGGTACCCGCACCTCGTGATTTTTTGACATCCGTCTTCCCCTATTCCCGTTCTTCGCGAAAATTTGAGTATCGGTTCCCGGTAGTGCACTGTGCTACACCGTGGACTCGCGAAAAAATCCTTAGTGTATGGAAGGGGAATGTACACAGCCCAACGGGGAGTCATAACTTATAACCAATATTTCAACTTGTAAGAAACAGATTATTCTACCAGTTTATTAAAAGTCGTCCGTAGGCTTCCGCTTCGTCCAAAAAATTAACCTTTGGTCGTACCCTAGTTTTAACTCAGTTATATACATTAACCGGTTTGTCTGTTCAAATTATACTCTTAGATACATATTAAACTTTGACTACCCCCTCACGAATGTATCTTCGAGGGAGTCCTCTCCAGGTAAGATACTTAGTAGTCCAAGGAACGTCACTTACAGGCACTGCTTGAAATTCTAAGAGTTCATGGAAGGGAAGGACTTTTAATAGGGAGATACGAGTGCGTGTAAATAAGTACGTGACTTTTTGCGTTAAATACAAGTTTTTTGACAAAAAAACATTTTATTTCTCAACATAGACTCTTTTGAGCTCTATTCACTTCGTCCACCGTTTCGCCAATTTTTCGTCCCTTCCAAGATTTGTCGGGTCCTAAAAATAAGTATTTGTGAAATAATGCATCGTTGGAATCAAATCCCTTTCCACCGAGACATCTCTTTAGATTTGGTCACTTGGGGCTTGGCTTCCAGTATCTCCCGCACTTTCACTTTTCGATCAGTCAACACCATATCGTGAATTTTCTTAATTATTTCGGGTGTAGCGACCTCAACTGGGCGTGCAGGACATTCGGTTTCTTTCGGGCTTGTACGTCCAAAATGAAATAAAGTAAACTACTTTTCTACCATTGAAATTGATGGTGCAGACTCCTCATAGTATTTATTAAGCTCAGCCTTGGTTTGAGTGATGTGTTTTTCCGCAAATAATACTCGTAATGCTTCGTGAGTACACGAAATTCCATTTTCATCACAATTCACGGGATCGTCTGCTATCAATGGCTGACAAACAAACTAAATGAGGCAGCTTGTTCAAACTTTAACAGGAAGCAACTGACAGATGCTTGTTGACAACAGCAGTGTTACTCTTCCAGTCAAGAGCTGAGAAATTCAAAAAGGCGCGGATTTATTGACCCACCCCCGTATCTTAAATGAGATACAAGTTTCAGTCATACATTCGAGCAGTGAATACAAATAATACTTAGTGAGCGTTTGGCTAATCAGTGCCCTCGTAAGTTTGTAAAATTAGTTAGAATGTTATGTGACGTCAACAAAATGAAAGGATTCAGACTTTAAATATGGATATGCACTCACTAGTGCAATCCGAGGCTTAAAATTATTACAGATGGAAAGCTTGGCCGACAGAAGAAAACTCATATACAAATGAGTGCAAAACTATAAATGATTTACATGGTTTGTATATTAAAAAAAGAAAAAGATGCTTAAAACAAAGCATTAAAATTGGAAACATCTGATCTTTTGAGTCATTAAAATAACAACTTCATTTGATCCACTCTCATTTCTAATAGATGCTTGAGAATCGTTAAAATGAAAAACAGTTTTTAAAACGTTTCATAACCGAAAATTTTATTAGTAACAAAGACTGTTATTGTACTTACCTGTAACCATTATTGAAAGAAATAGAAGAAGAAGCTTGAGAGTTATCCCCACTAGCGTAAGAATAGGAATACATCCCTCCACCACTATAGAAAAAGCGAAAAACTGAAGAAAACGGTATTATGTTTTGTGTATACGAACCTTCATTATTGTCTATATAATTTATGTTTCACAATATTTGGATGATATTATACTAAGTGACATATAAATCCGAACACCCAGTTTAAATGGTTTTATTTTAATAAAATTTTGTATAAGTACTTAATGAAGCATAATAAGTAAATGATAAACATTTCAAAATGATTGCACTGCTTTAAAGCCCTTTGACCTTTAATAATGTGTGGATGCACCCTGATGTGCTACGCATTCTCCAACGCGCCTAGGCATGCTGATCAGGTTTTCTATGTCCTCCTGTGGTATCTCATTCCAGGCAACCACCAACTCCTCTCGAAGTGCTTCTAGAGTCTGAGGAGGACGTTGCAAATTGAGCAATCTCCTACCCATCATATCCCACACGTGCTCAATTGGGGATAAGTCGGGAGATCTTGGTGGCCATGGTCACAATGTGACATCATTATGTTGAAAGAAGTCTATTGTGACTCTTGCAACATGTGGTCGGGCATTATCTTGTTGGAAAGTTGGATCTGCCAGGGTGTCAAGATAGGGTAAAAGATGGGGTTCTAGAACTTCGTGGATATAACGCTGCGCGTTCATGTTACCTCTGATGAAGATACCTGGAACCATAAGCTATAGCACCCCAAACCATAACTCCAACAGTGTGATGAACATGTCTTTCAACAAAAAACTGTGGATTCCTCCTTTCACCACGTCGCCTTCTAACCCTGGCACGACCATCGTGCATGCCTAAACAAAATCGAGACTCGTCACTAAAGACAATACTGTTCCATTCCTGATCCCAGAGTGACCGTTGTCTGCACCACTCAAGGCGATTACGTCGGTGTTCTCGAGCTAAAGGGAGGACCCAGTGTGGCCGGTATGAAAACAAGCCAAAACTTCTCATTCGTCGGTAAACACTTCGCATGCCAATAGGTCTTCCGTGTTCTGCAAACCATTCATTTGCAATGGACCTGGTAGTGGAGAAACGGTCCCTTAAGGCCAATAATCTTAGGCGGCGATCTTCACGGTCTGTTGTTCTACGGCGGCGTCCAGTGCCCCTTGCTATTTGCGTACGGCCTTCTCGAAGCCATGCCTGACAACACCTAACCACAGTGTCTACACTTCTTTGCACTCTAACTGCAATTGCCCGAAAAGAAAGTCCAGCTTCCCGAAGTCCCACTATACGGCCCCTATCAAACTCACTAAGTTGACGAAATCGTACAGGTCTCCGTACTCTAGGCATCGTAACCGATCGTAAAGGATGTCAAGAACCAAAATCCGCCAACGTTGATTCTTTACTGCGGCTGAAATATTCATTTTTAGAGCGTTAGTGAATTAAAAAAAAGCAGTATAAAAACTGGAATGTCCAACTGATAAGGCAGAAAATTTTTTCACTTGTTATTTACAGTAAGATAAATACATTCACCAACTTTTATTAAAATAAAACCATTTAAACTGGGTGTTCGGATTTATATGTCACTTAGTATATATCTATCCGATCGGTTGACAGTCAGGATATTTGATTAAAATCAGAACGTTGGGAATCATAAATTATATAGAAAATTGAATTTTGATCCATATCTATCAATTTCAAAAATAAAGCTGGTTGTTTCATTCATGTGGAGGCAGGCTATGTTTTGTGGTATTTGACCAAACTGTGGCGCAATTTATACGTTATAGAGTCTGAGGGTGGTGGTTTTGAGTTAATCTTTTGTTCTTAATTTGGTCAGTGGTTGTCGCAGATAATGTAGGGTTTTCTACTCCAGACTGGACTTCGGAATGTTTACGGCTTGCCCCAAAATAAATGAATCACCCTGTATTAAATTGTTTCGCAACATCATGCAAATGATACATCCGAGTAAACATATTTTGAAATATTTCAAATCAAACATATAGTGTTCAGTTTTTATGAATTATTGAATAACCTTTGGACACTTGTAAGTAAATAATACTTTGAAAAAATATTCAAATATAGCAATGGTACAACATAGCTGCTAATATCACAGAAAAACCTCAAAGGAGATGTCACAATCCTAATGGCAAGTGGCTTTCGGATAAATTGGCTAACACTTTAGCATGTTGTTTCCATACTATTCTGAGAAGAAGTCTCCATGGGCGTATGATCATATTCTCAACGTTTTCCAAGCCAGGGTCGGCAAACATAATGAATACGAAAAATATGAGCTTATGAAATACCAACATATTCATGATCTCCTTGGTCATTGAGTGGAAACTTAGTAGCTACTTAATTCCAAACTTGAAGCAGCATCCTTCTATGATCCCTTTGGCTGTTCATTTTTTAAAATTAATAGCTATTTTAACGCTATTTTATTCATGAGTTTTATGTTGGCTGGTTTGTTTAGCGGCATTTTTTGTTTTTCTTAAGACATTATAGTTATGGGGGTTAGGTAGCTAAGCAAATAGCTTGTCGAGCTGCTGAACAATCGACTTGAAAGATCATGGGTTCAAATCTCCGCCTAGGAAGTTAATTTCAAACCACAGATGTTGTGTTGTCTATATTATTATTATTATTATATCATCAGGCACATCGCATTGCTGGAGCTGGTTAATTCAATAATCAGTTACCAATAGATGGCTTGTGGAGTAGTAATCTTAATCTTTCGGTAGAGTCTGTCAATAAAATATAAAACATTCCGTTTAAAAATATTTGATGGATTTGGAAATGTCTTTAATGGATTGTTACATATTTTATTACATATTCGGATAGACCCTTACAGAAGATTGATATAACATTATAATAGCGTTGTGATGATTGGTTGATGAGTTATTAGCGACTTAATGAACAAACATGCTCAACTTTGATAACCTGTAAGATCGCCGTTTTAGAAAATAGTGCTTTTATGTTCTGGTGTTAGTAACTCATGGAAACGTTAAAATGAAGTAACACACGACCTCTCATTCCATTTATAAACATTCCAAAATGGCCATCTTGAAATTTTTAACCGCCACTGTTATGCTAAAATATAGTAATTACGCGTCAATTTCGTTACTCCGAGAATCAACTTTCTAGCTTGACCCGTTGAAAAAATAACAAGTGATGGTCTTTTTGGAAAGCACTTCAAAAATACTATAGTATCAGGAAATGTGACCAGGAAATATTTTTCAGGGATATTAGAAAATGGTATAGAGAAAAAATATGAATGAAAATCTGTTAACATGCAGTAGATGGGTCAAATCAGCATTACAGTAGCTAGGTACTAACTCTAATCAACGACCAACATATAAAAATCATGTTTTTGATAAGCTTTTATTTTTTTGAATTTATTATACTTGCCTATAACTCGTAAACCCTTGATAATAGGACCATACGTCTTTTATCAGTTTTGATCAGATTGGTATGGAAGCAAACATACCAAAATTTCTGTCAAGTTGTTTGCGAGTGATCCGCCATAAAGAATGTGCCATCTCCTTTGCAAAAATATCGACGAATATAAAGCACGATAAATATTAAGAATATCTGATATAAGGCATACTAATAAAGGAAACGATGCGCCCTCCAGTTCAACCCAAAATGAAATGCTTTCATCTAAGGTCAATTTTTAAGAGAATTCAAATATGCCCAACAAAATTTTGTTAACCATGTAGAATAGTGTTGACGTATCTTTCCATTAAAATACCTGTCGGCATCATTGAAAGAAACCAGTACCTAACCGCATTCTGCTAGTTAATTTGGAAGGTGATTTCCCACATTATAACATAATAAAGATTTATGTGGATTTTACGACGAATTACGTTATTGTGGTTGTATGAATAAAGAACGTTACATATATAATCCAAACATCCTCTGTTTATATGTTTTTCTATATTTGTTGTAACAAAAGAACCTGTATAGTTTATATTCATATTTAATTTATAGATTTGAGGTGGTAAAATTGTCTTCATATTTGCTGTACAAAAGCGATTTTTTTGCTTGTTTTTTTGAAAACCTTGAAGTTCGGAAGTTTTGTATGCGGTGATAATGCATTGTACAAAACTTGTATTTCTTGAGTGTGTACATTCACGGAATACTAGCTTGTCTATAAAAAATTGAGGAACTGATGTGATAATAACTTTGTGCACGAAACAATAAGTGAAACTTGGACAATATCAATGCTAGCTAACGTGATCATACTTACGTAGTTTAAGAACAAGAATTTTATATGTTTTGGAAACGTTTCACGGATATAACATCTAAAAATGGATGATATATCAGATCGCAGTAAGTAATTTTTGACACTATCATGATTTCACATAGTTTTTTGTAACAAAATAAAGTGTTGGCCGGTTAAGATACAGCAGACAAAGCACCTTTTTGTAATGAAATTTACGAGAGGAATGAATTCAAGGCTCTCTTCAAGTACACCTAAATGTTTGCCTGAGTCATCAATTATTTAAATCTGCCATTAAATCTTATATTAAAAATAGTTTCATTTGATATAGTCGTTATGTTCGGTGGCATAAGTTCCGATAGATGCTCTCTGCTATCTGAATTCCAGGAGTCTTCATATTGTTTTATTCATAGCTAAAATAAAGTTGTGAATCAGCTGCAAGAAATTGAATGTAGCTGCGCTTTGCAATTGTGTTTAAATCAGATATGTATGAAATTGATAGAAACGGTCCCAGCGCTTAGCCTTATGGGGTTCCCGAGAAAATCAAGCATTTAGGCGGAAAGTATGTGTCGATAACGACTCGCTGAGACCTATTTCTAAGAAAGCTACTTATCAATGTCAACGAGTTATCACAGAAACCATATTTATAAAAAGTGTGTGGTTTATCGTATAAATTGCCTTGGTGAAATCTGGAAGAACTAATAGTATCCTCTGTTGATGGACACAGGCTTTGACAATGTTACCAGTTCCAGTTAGGCCGAATAATGCTCCAGGGGGTGTCATAGTATTTTCTGAAACCACATTACTTACGGTAATATGCAGGGTGTAAACGTTATGATAGTCATTATTGAAATGGGTAATAGGGGGGGGGAGGTCAAAACAAGTCAAAAAGTTCATATGACCCATGGTCCAGAAGTCAATAGATTTTTGTCTAAATGGATTAATAGTTTACAACTTTAAGTGCTTCAAGTTTTTCTAAGCTAAGAAAAAATTTGTAGTCAGTAAGTTTCTTTAAATTAAATATGACAACAGCGCGTCGGTCTTTCATCACTCTTATCGAACCGGCAATCGATTGCAAACGGTAACAGTGGTTAGTTATCGTTTTGCATAGGTAAATTACTTTATCGTTTTGTCGAGCAGAGCATCGGGCGTGTTGTTTTGTTTTTGTTCGCGTACGTCGTCATGTTTATTTACAATGTTCTCGAATCAACAGTTCGCCGACATGTTGTTAGTTTACGGTGAAGCTCGTCCGAATTCAAATCTTGCAGCTCAAATGTATCGCGACAGATTTTGCCAACGGGTACACCCAGACAGAAGGACATTTGTGCAAGTGTACAAGACTTCGAGATATAGGATGGGTTCAGCCCGCTAATATTTGCACTCGTAAAAGATAGGTTACTGTAGATCAGGAGGAACAAATTTTAAATATCGTGGAAATCAATGCAGATATCAGCACTCGGGAATTAGGTCGCCGCGTAGGACTATCGCATACCTTAGTCCATAGAATCCTACGGGAAAATTTGTTTTATCCCTACCATGTACAACGAGTGCAGGCCTTGTTACCAGAAGACTATCCTCGCAGACTAACATTCTATCAGTGGTTTTTGCACAAAAACATTGAATATATTAAATTTCCATAATACTCACACGTGGGCCCAAGAAAATCCTCATACCATTCGTGAAGGTCATTTCCAACAACGTTTTAAAATAAATATTTGGGCGGGTATTCTTGACGATCAGGTAATTGACCCTTACGAGTTACCCCCAAAGAGAGAAGGATACCTTAGCTTTCTAGCCAATAACCTACCAGAACTTTTGGAACAGACCTTAGACAACATGCCATTACAACGGAGACAGAATTTGTGGTTTCTTCACGACGGAGTACCACCACACATTTTTAGAGGCGTCATTCAGTATTTGAATGAACATTATCCAAATCGCTGGATCGGTCGAAATGCTCCTGATCCTCGAAAATAGCCAGCAAGATCTCCTGACCACAATCCGATGGATTTCTGGTATTGGGGAAAACTTAAAGGGATGGTTTATGGGGCTGGTCTAATAACAACTGAAGCACAACTTCGCGAAAAAAATTTGAATGCGGCTGAAATAATAATTGGACAACTTCGAGGACCTAGAGTAAGAAGAAACTGGGTTCGTCGTAATGAAGCTTGTGTGGAAAGTGGAGGACGACATTTTGAACACCTTCTTTAAATACAAAAAAGTGCAGTGTGGGTTTTAAAAAGAAAAAGAATGTATGTATCAAAATTATGTTCCCTATTTATAAGTGGACTTTTTTAATACATTTGATAAACTTTCACACACCAGGTGAAGCGCTGAAACAGTTACTGGTGAGTCCATTTTTTTAATTGTTTGCATTTTACGAGTACATTATCAAATAATGAAATAATACCTCAAACTCCATCTTTATTTACACTGCGTTCCGTCGTAATTTGCGTCTGGCATTGCGGCGTTGTCAGATTTTATTTTACTTTAAAGTCGCTTTTCTCTAAAAAACTGCCGTTTTGACCCCCATGTTATATAAAACTTTTTGCTTCTTTTAACCCATTTAAATAATGACTATCCTAACGTTTACACCCTGTACTAACTTCTAAAACAAAATCGTTGGTTTATACATTCTTTTTTATAATAATTTTGTTTCGTACTTTAAAAAGATAATCCTGATTGATATCTGGTATAGAATTGAAAGAGTTTTTTATCTTCAATGAGCATTAAGAACGTGAAGGTTTCTAAACAGTTCGCGTGCAGCACTGGTTGCAAAATAAGCAGGTATCTTGCTTATTTCAAGTACGCTTTATACAAATAATTGAAGTAAAATCTCACTTTCTCATCAACTCGGCATGGTACTTGCTCAGCTCAGCCAAGTATCCGTTAAAAAGACCGCTAAAATCGAAGTTAGGAATGGGAAAATTGGGTGGAACCCCACCGGAAAAGCTTCCAGAGTATCCATAGCCATAGGAATCTGATCCATCGATTCTGTTGCTGGTAGGCTCATCTGAAAATAAGAAGCCATATCAGTTGCAACAAATTTTGAATGTAAAGGAAGTAAACAAAAATGCGATTAGGGTAGTCGCAATTTTAAAAAAATGACATAAATTTTAAGATTACTTAGCCAGCTGAAAATTTCTGTAAGCTATACACCCTGAAATGACTGGGAATCCTAGATATTTTTAAGATTAAAGCTTACAATATAAAATATAATATGCCTGAAATTTGAAATGACCTAAGGTGGGTGGACCACGGGTGGACCACGGAAGGCCACGCTAACAAATAGTTATTCCTTTATTTATTGGTTATATAAAACAAATAAAATATATAAATATTACTCAGCTATGTGACTTATTATTTTTGACTTATATTATTTTCATTGAACTCTTTCGAGCGGTCTTGCAAGGAGTGATGCTCCATACAAGGGCAATTTAATAATAACTTGAAACTAACAGTATGATAAAAGTATCTGATTATATTACTCAGACTACATATAGAGGTCTTCCATTGAAATGCAATATTAAATACTGACAATAATATATCCTCATAAAAATACTCAATGAACATTACTGAAACGGTCTCGTGAAAACTAAGAATTCATTGAATATTGAAAATTATTGGCAAAATAATTCGAATGAATTTTATATCGGTATCAAATAAGTTTCCAATAAAGTTTATAATCTTGAATAATTGCTTAGGTGATGCCAAAATGCTCCAGGTGTCGTTAGAAATAAACAATTTAAAAAATCAAAAAAATTATAGTGTAAACATTTTCATCGCTTGGCAATGGCAACTACGATTGACGAATCAATTTAATTCCCACCTACAAACTTGTCAAAGGTTTATGTTTTGCACTTCTTTGATGTCATGTATCTACACCACGATATTATTTCACCAGGTATGGTACTAATTTTCGTCGATGGATATACTGTGGCCATATTTAATAAAATCAGTTTGTTATCCGGCAAACGTATTAAAAATAGAAGTTGTCGCTCATTTTTATAGCTAATTAACATTTTTTTTAATAGTTGCAAAACCTATTCAATCTACTTGACTCTATTTTTTAATATGGATGATCTTGCTATTTGTCATGTATTCAATGGATAATAAAGATAATGGTTTCATTATTTAGAACGGCGATAAAATGAAATATTAATTTTATTTTCATTTCCCGGATATGAAATACCTTTACGCGCTGGTAATCATCATTACCATATATATATATATATATATACAAAAAAATCAACTCATGTAATCAAACCAAAGAAACATGCAGTATGGATAAAAGATAAATATTTTTCACAAAATACAACAATACTTATGCTCATATGTTTACAAAAATAAACCTTTATTCCTAATATTTACAGTAAATTTTGAATTCACATCAAATTACTAGAGTTGTTTCTTCCTGAGAAAAAATTGAGGCAAGTAAATTCAATACTTCCCACGTAGTTCAAAATTTTAGGTACATTTTAATCGTCATAGAAGTAACGTCGCGTTGGAAACTTCAAGACGTATTCAAAAATTCGCCTATAATTTTTCCGTTTGCGGGTGTTACAGTGAATATTAAATTCATTTCGTGTATTACGACTAGAGTTTTTATGTCAACTCATTATCAGAGACAAAAGACAGTAGACAAAACCAGTAGAAAAGTGTAAAACAGTAAATAAGCAAAAGGCGAGGTTATCCGTGGCAGCGTGGTGGAATAATAGCATAAAAATACAAGTTAAAATTTAAACAACGGGAATGGCTATGTTTTCTAAACAAACGTACAGAGGGCAGTTATAATGAATACACGAAACAGAGAGAAAAAGTGAAAACTATAGGGAGAGACAGTAAGAAGAAATTATGGAGTGATTTTGGATATAAACTTGAGAGTGACGGCAAAGGTAACCAAAAATTATTTTATGTCTTGAAGAGAGTTCGAAATAGACAAAACATACTGGCCAGATTGAAAGAATACATTAATGATCTGTTGAATTCACAGATTGACACCGAACCAGATAATACCACGGTATCTACATCACATCAAGACACCGAAGACACAGAAGAAGAGAAGATAATAAACGAGGTAATAGAAGCATTGAAGAAACTTAAAAATGGAAAGGCGCCTGGGATAGATAAAATAACAAGGGAAATGTTGAAAAATATGGATGAAACTGGAATTAAAATACTACATTCTCTCTTCACAAAAACATACAGACAACAGAGAATACCCGAACAGTTGACAACAGGGCCGATTTTATCACTTTTTAAAAAAGGAGACAAGAAAGATTGTAATAATCGAGGAATAACGTTGCTGTCTACAGTACTCAAGGCCTATGAGCACATGACAGAGAAAAAAACTAAGAAAGTTAATAGAGCCGACATTATCTGAAACGCAAAGTTAAATATATGGAAGCTATATTGAAACCTTACGACAAAAATGAAATAGAAATTTCTGAAAGGATAGGAAAGGCAAACAACTTGTACTATACAATGAGTAAAGGATTTATCAATAAAAAAGAAGCGTCCAAGAAAACAAAAATGTCGGTGTATAATACAATACTAGTATATGGTGGGGACATTTGCAAAGAATGGGTGACAACATACCCGTAAAACAAGCTTGGGAGAGTAAGGTGGTTTAGCTCAGGTCCAGTTCTTTTCTTCTTTCAGACACTTGGACATTAAACACCATAGAAGATATACTGATGAAAAGAGGAACGGATTGGAGAGAAGCTAAGAAACTTGCTTTGAACGAAAAAGAATGGACTAAATTCATGTACTAATAATAGTAGGTTTTGCAATGTTTTGTTTAACCCTACACGCTTTAGGGTAAATGGGATTCTGATTATATATACAGGATGACTTTGAAGTTGAGTCATTAATTTTCAGATAATGATTGTAGAAGGAAGATAAACCAGAATATGTGTGTAAAATTAAAAAATAATTAAAAAAAAATGTTTACCTTGTTTTATAAAGTATCTTCCCGACAAGAATTTCAGTGCGGACCTGTATTTGATCGTGAGGTCCCCTGTGAGGTCTTAAGTTACCTGATTCACGAGCCCGTTGTACTACATTAACAAAAGGCACGAGGGGTTGGTTGCACTCGATTGGGAAACCGATCCGCATAAACATGTGCCATTTTTTATTTCGTTTGTGCCACGCAACAGACACTATTCACACGCTAACCGACTGACACTGACTGTATGTATAACTGAACTGAATAAAATAATTTATTGTAAAAACATCGTTCCAAATTCTTTCGCTTTTTTGTTTCCGATGCGATGAACCGGTAAGGCGGATTATATCCGTTGTTGCCAAACACGAGCACATGATATTATTATTGAGACAGGCCGGTACTCAATCTTCCAAAGGGCTATAACTTTGTTACTTTAATTTTACCAGAAAAATGGTAAAGGAAAAAAACATTTCTTTTGATCTGTATATACAGGGGACTTCGAAGTTGAGTCATTTATTTTAACAGTGAGTAGATCTGATCAAAAGAAATGTTTTTTTCCTTTACCATTTTTCTGGTAAAATTAAAGTAACAAAGTTATAGCCCTTTGGAAGTTTGAGTACCGCCCTGTCTCAATAATAATAATGTGCTCGTGTTTGGCGACAACGGATATAATCCGCCGTATCGGTTCATCGCATCGGAAACAAAAAAGTGAAAGAATTTGGAACGATGTTTTTACAACTATTTCATTCATTTGTATACAGTCAGTGTCAGTGAATAGTGGTATCTGTTGCGTGGCTCAAACGAAATAAAAAATGGCACATGTTTATGCGGATCGGTTTCCCAATCGAGTGCAACCAACCCCTCGTGCCTTTGTTAATGTAGTACAACGGGCTCGTGAATCAGGTGACTTAAGACCTCACAGGAGACCTCACGATCAAATACAGGTCCGCACTGAAATACTTGTCGGGAGGATACTTTATAAAACAAGGTAAACATTTTTTTTTTATTTTTACACATATATTTTGGTTTATCTTCCTTCTACAATCATTATCTGAAAATTAATGACTCAACTTCAAAGTCACCCTGTATATATACAGTGCTTTTCTTTAATGTCCCCTCCCCTTTGATTTTTTGAACGGATCAATTCAAAAAATTAAAACAAACCATATTTTAAAGTAAAATTGACAGATGAAAATGTCAAGATGGCCGCTGGGCGTCATCTTGGAAAAAAAATTATATGGAAACGGGGGTCTTGTGGCACATCATTTTGAAGCTCCTGACCAGTACTTTATAACCCTAGAATGTAAAGTCAATACCTTTACCTACTACAAAATGGTGGTACATTAAATAATTACTTGAATACAAACCCACTAACTTGCATATCTCTACAATTAATTGTAATTTCCTGCCGTATCCACAGCAACAGCGATAAAACCTTGTTTTGTTATTTTTTGTTGACAGTGACAAGAATATGAGTACGAAAACAAGATTTCATTGTACAGTTAAAATATTCTTATTTAGTTTTCGGTTATAGTTCTAGATACTGTTTGAACTATTTTTAAAATCGTCAATTCTCGTCCATTGGAAGGAAAAATCGAAGCGATTTTTATTAATGGTGCGACGCGTAACTTTCACGAGGCCGAAAGGATTTTTAATGATCGTTTCCCGATTTGTCCTATCTGTAGAAAATATTTAAGAGGACTTGTATCTAAATCTACCGCTACTGGTAGTGTAAACAACAAAAGGCCCCCAGGTCATCCGACCATCCCGGAAGAAAATCAAGTTCAAATAATTGGTGAGATCATAGTAAATCCCCAACAGTCTAACTGAAGATGACCGTGATCGAAGAACATAATTCTGCGAGACTATGACGGAAACCATTGCACGGCATCCTACCTATATAAAAAAAAATATTTGATTTAGTGATGAATGTACATTTTTTCTCAACGGTAATCTGCATAAACAAAATTGTCGTCCAATAATCACGCCTTCCGGGAAACTCATACTCAATATCCACAAAAAATTAACGTTTGGGCTGGGATATTGGGAAATCATATTGTGGGGTCTCTACTCATCGAACAAACTTTAACCGAGGAACTGTATTTGGATATGCTGGAAAATACTATTGACCCTCTAATCATCGAAATCGTCGAAGCGGATTCTAATGAATTTGATACTGATATTATATTCCAGCAAGATGATGCTCCACCACACTACTACAGACAAGTTAGGAATTATTTAGTTAACAATTTCCCCGGTCGCTGGATTGGCCGTCGAGGTCTTGTGGAACGGCCAGCTCGCTCGCCAGAGTTGACACCTTTAGACTTTTTTATGGGGCTATTTGAAGCAAAAGGTGTACGAAGCTGAACCTGCTTCAATATTGGATATACGGCTGAGAATAACAAATATTTGTAGAAATATCGATGTTACTATGTTTGAAAATGTGCGATGCGAAATTATGGACCGTCTGTTATTGTGTCAAGAAGTTCAAGGCAACCATTTCTTCTAAACTGAACTCAACGAATGTCAATGTATTCAAGTAATTATTAAATGTACCACCATTTTGTAGTAGGTGAAGGTATTGACTTTATATTCTAGGGTTATAAAGTACTCGTCAGGAGCTTCAAAATTATGTGCCTCAAGTTTTCATATATTTTTTTCCCAAAATGGCGCCCAGCAGCCATCTTGACAGATTTAATTTTTTGAATTGATCCGTTCAAAAAATCAAAGGGGAGTGAGACATTAAAGAAAAGCACTATATATATATATATATATATGGTAGAATAGCTTATGGTAAACTTCGCCCAATAAAGACGTTTTATTATTATTATTATTATTATTATTATTATTATTATATTTATTATTATTATATATTTAATCGTCATTACATATTATAATAATAAGTGTTATATCTGATACCTGTCAGCTTTCCAAATTTTGGATCCCTTAAAGATTCTTAGACTGCGTCATAAAGGCCCAGAATATTGCCAAATGACGAAAAACCAAATTCATATTTAAAAAACTAACCCTTCCAAAGATTTTTTTAATTCCAAAAATTATCAGGAAATCGAAAAACATCATAAAAAAGACGTTTCCGTTATGTAATAATTCCACCAAAATATGAGCGGCACTTTCGCTGTTGTACAAACAGACGGACGTATACATCCACGAAAACGAGTAAGATGATTTTTTGTCATGTAAATGTTACACATCATTAGCAAAAATATACGTTAAGGATTGGGTATCATCCAAAAAACATATCTTGATATCTTGCTCTAGCTGGGTTTACAAAAAGAAGGGATAAAATTGAACTTCGTTTCCTTGATATGTGTTTGGCAAATTTTGTTTTTCAATGTTTTGTAACTAATGCTTCAAATCTCACACAGTAGATGATGAATAAATTATTATTATGATTGTAGTATATTTGTCCATCGTTATGTTGAGGCTTTTCTGAAACATATCTATTTTCCGATATTTTTTTGCCTTATGAGTAACTGGAAAATTGCAATATAAAAAACCAATATAACTGATTTTAACATTATGCTTTTTATGAATGAAATTAATTAAATGTCATTGTATGATTCATGTTTTTTCTCACTCCATATGAATGATGAATAAACATCAATAATAAATTAGTCAACACATATATCATGATGTAATTCAACGAATAGGCAAAAATCCTTACCAGGATACCCGGAATACGCAGTAGCGGCGACAACAAGTAAAAAGGTGATTTTCCGCAACATATTCACACGAAAACACGAACTCATCACATCAACAATATAAGAATCCGTTTACCTTATAGGTGTAAATATGAACATCCGAGTTAGAACGATAGAAGCCGAGCCGGTTTTCAGAGACTCGCCGATTATTAAGCTCTGTTGCCTGTTATGTAAATCTATTCGCATCCAACGAACTTGGTTTCGATGCAATGATGAAAAAATCGGTGATGCACTGTGCAGTTTAGCCAACATAATACAGTGAATGAAGATTAAATATGCTTCAAAATACTTTTTTAGAACAGACAAAAGCCTACTCGCGTTACATTTTATGCATAATCGCTTTCGTAAGTGGTCCCAGAATAAGGCCAGGATGTTTCGAACATGCGAAAAATTTGTAAGAATATAACAAAAATATTCCTCTGTTAAAATATAACATTTTCGTTCCGGTGCGGTTTTCATTCTGAACGAAAACAAAGCTCAGCGTAAGGGTTCCTTGAGTGGAGCTTTTTCGAGCTGATGAACTTTTTGTATACCGAAGCAGCCGCGTAGGCAGAAAGAGGTGGTCTAAATATTTTCCGACCTCAACATGAAGATGGCAGCACTCGTAAATAAAAGCTGGTGAATTTCGTTGTTCATCTGTTGACAGTTACTCACCAAAGTTTCAGCCATTTTGATTTTGGTGGACACGCATTTGTTATGTAACAGTCGTTTGTGGAAATGGACAAAATCGAGTATCGAAATATTTGTTTTTGAAATGCAATGAGTTGGATTCTGTGTACGGAGACTCTACACCATCATTCACCGCAGTGAAATTTTGGGCAGCTGAATTTAAACGTGGCCGTAAGAGCTTGGGAGACGATGAACGTGCGGGAAGTCCAAAAACTGCAACTACCAGCGAAAACATCGACAAAGTTCACCAAATGGTGCTAAACGACCGCCGAATTAAAGTAAGAGAGATAGCAGAGGTTATGAGTATGTCAAAAAAACGTGTCACTTATTAAATGAACATTTAGGCATGAGAAAAAAGTGTTCGAATGAACATTTCCAGCGCTCTGTTGGCGCAGTTTGGGCGCAATAAATCAGAGATTTGGCGCTGATTAATTACTGTAGATGAAGCTTGGATACACCATTATTCGTCCGAAACAAAAATACAGTCCAAACAGTGGACTGCAAAGGGGGGACCGGCTCCAAAAAAAGCAAAAACTATTTTTCTGCTGGGAAAGTGATGGCGACTGTTTTCGCAGGAGCATACTACCCATCATTACTTAACAAGCTGAAGAAGGAGCTTGGGGAAAAACGGCCACATTTGTAGAAGCTACTTCTTTTTGTTCCCTAATCTAAAAATTGCGCTCGGATGACAGAGGTTTTCGTCAAATGAAGAGGCAATCACCTTCGTGAGCAATTTTGCAGAGAAAAACGCCGAGTACTATTTGGACGCTTTACAGAGATGGGAGCATCGATGGGAGAGTTGTGTAGAGTTACAAGGAGACTATGTTGAAAAATAAAAAAGAAGTTCAGAAAAAAAGTCTTGCATCTTTGTTAGGTCGGAAACTTTCCAGACCACCCTCGTAAGGAGCTTAAAGATACTTTGTTAATCCAACTTTTGAACTGCCTAGGGTTAGGTAGATTGTTCCATAATCTCGACATGCTAGGGACAAAGAAGCGGTAGTACCGGCCAGTTCTGGATGTACGATTAGAATGGGAGGCCGAAATCAGGCCGGTCTGTCTCGCAGGCTCATCGCACGTCGGCATCTTGGAAGACAGCTCTGATGCAGTAAAAGAGAACCACTGCGCCTGCGGCCCGTCGCTACAAGAGGGTCCCGAACTGCAAGATTGGAGGCTTTCTGACCGCTGGAACGTTATTAAAAAATATTTTAGAGATTGCCAAGTGCCTGAATTAAATCTCAGGCAGATGAAAAAATGGTACTGGAACGGAAATACCGTTTTTAAATTGAATTTATAACTATGTCGACTGGACTATCGTGTCGCGCTGTCGCTGTGACTGTCCCTCTAGTGGAGGCGCTTGGGTATTAATTTTGAAATTTGCGGATTTTCAAAGCAATCTCGCGCTTTATCGAAGTTCTCGACGGCGGTGGATACGTCCCGCTGGGTGTCGTATTCTGGCTGCAAGCTATACCGCCCTTTATATACGGCGGCGTAACTCTGGTTGCCTAAGCGTCGATATGCGAAGGCGTCTCCTCGTTACTCAAGGTCCCAGTTACAAGGGCAGTAAATTGTGGCAAAACTTCATACCTCTGAGAAAATAGTGCGTCGTAGCATCCTTTGTCAATTATAGAGTCGTCTAAGGCTTTGTGACTCTCGAAAACAATTTTGATTTATAATAATGTGTCGTGGGAAGTACCAAATAAAAATCAACTTATTGACTCTATTTCTTAATAATACGTGGACGAAATCTTCTAAACGGTCAACAAAAATGTCATGACAAATTTGGGGAACCGATATTTTAGGTATCCATAGTGATGTATCAAATGAGCTGATCTAAAGTTTTCCCCAAAAGACGACTCCGAAGAAAATCAAAAAAACTCTGATCGTTTTTAAACTTTCGTACTTCGAAACATTTTTGTTTTATGTAATATTTTACTGTCCATGCCTATTGGCGAGGAAGTATTGTAATCGTGGAAAATTTAGTGGTGTTGCGGAGCAAAAAACAAAAAATATAAACCTCCCAAATCCGTTTTTTGACGTTTCACAAAATATTTTGTAGGGCTTAAACATTGGGGGTTGTAGATGGTGGATATATACGCTACTAACCCTGGTAATTCTACGCATGTATTAGACATCGATCTCAATAAGTATATATCCCTCGATTACTGCCGCCGTGGCACGCTGCCGCCCCTGACGCGTCGTGTGGTCAGGTGTAAGGGAGGGGCGACGCTGCCAGATGGACGGTACAGGGAAAGAATGTCTATGGACTAATTGTATGATGGGCTCATTTGACTGACTTGATCCGTTTATTTTCTCTGTTGTAATAACTTTTTTCTCGGAAGGTCTAACTTGTGATGAACATAATCCTTTATGAACTACAGATGGCGTTGCGTGGGAAATGCAGAAGCAACCCACTTGACGCCATTTTTTTGGTAGTAGTCAAAAACGTTTTTTGAAGGGGCTAACACTTTCAACAAATTCAATATAGGCTTTTCGACGGCTTAAAACTTTCTGATCGATTGTAGTGAAATGGGTTTTAGGATGTATCACACATTTACGAGTATCTAACAATAATTATAATAAGAGTTCGTTGAAAGTACTGATTCATTCCGCTTGATCCCATTGTTTGAATAATAAGGTGATTCCAGACCATTTAGCATGTTATAACGAACGCAGCATGAATAATATCAACATTATTTGATGAGAAAAACCTCGCTCCAGCTATTTCCAAAGTGGAACGGGTTTTTATTTTCTTTTTCCTTCTGTAGCGATCCAAACTTGCTAACTTCTAAGACAATACGATGGTGCAGTCTCAAGTTAGTACTAACATTATTAATGTTCATTTTCAGCCATTATCCATTACATTATAACTTCAACATCCTGGATCTCGGTAAACAGGCATTTTTCGTCAATGTTTGCATGAACTCAATGCTGTAGAAATATTGACACTGTTTTTCGAATCACCCTGTATGAATATTTTTGAAATCCGTATGACTAACTCGACTAGGCTATGCTGTATCCTTACGAGATGCAGTTTATCTTACTTTCAAGTTCATCGGGTTGGTATACGGTAATTTAAAGGTCATTTAAGTAAATAATAGTAAGCAATAATGATCACTCATGTAAGTCAGAGATTGTTATAAATATTCTTGGAAAACATTATATATTTTTGCCTCATTACTTTCAAAGCCTCGTCATGTGAACAGGATACATTGCGGATTTCAATTAATTTTGGAGGTATTTCCAATTCCAGTTGTTTTAATATGTTTTTTAATTGTATTTCGATATTTTCCAAAGTCACAAATGAGAATCCCAATCTTTACCGGTGTTAGCTCACGAATAAAATTTGCTTAGATCCATAAGAAGCTACATACAAAATACAGCATATAAAGTAAGAACTGATTACTACTACTGTATTACTGACTTAAAACGGATTCCACCGTCTCATAAGGAGTCGGCTGACAGTGCCGACAGAAGAGCTATAAATATTTATAAACCCACAAATATGAAGGCAAAGGAGCTCTGAACCAAGATATTTAAGAGCAATTTCAATTCAGGCTAGCTACAATCTGAAAGTCTCCAATAAATTTACTTTTTTTCCTCTAAAATGTAATCAATTTTGTGATCATAAAAACGTTTGACTTCAAGACTTTATACAGAGTGTGTAGAACAAAGTAGACTAAAAATATTTCTCTGAGAACTGAAGGACAGCCTTCAAGCAAATTTAATTTGCCTGTGGGTATAAACCTCATCAGAAATTAAAACCAAACAAATTCAAGAAAGGAAAAAATATTCTAGCTTTACAACAATTTTGAGCGTTTTTGAATTTCGTAGATGCGATTTTAGAATTATATCAAATAAAACTTCATTTTATCTTTTCTAACTGATAATTTGGGTCTATGTTTTTATTTTTGAGTAATCGGTAAAATAAATATTACAGAAACTTAAACTACTTGTACTAAAGGTTGTTTCAGCAAGTCAGGCAACCCTTCATACATAAACACATTTTCGTTTTTTTTTAATCTTGAGAACAGTTATCCAAATTATGTACAGTAAAAAATATGTGTCAGTAGATGTTCTTTATACGCAACCTGATGGTAGTCAACTAATATATCACATATTTCCAAAATTTGTATTTTTGTATCTGACCAGCATCTAGCGGAGGTTATTTGAAACTTCCCCCATTTCTTACCTTTACTTAAACGTTATCGCGCTAGATGGCAGAACTCATATTTGTCAATGCTCAAAACAGCAAAACAATGTTCAGTCAAATTCAGAGATAAACGCTTCGTCAAATTTGACAAAGCTGTCTGGGAGTTTTTGCATTTTTTTCGATTATTTTTCATAACAAAATTATTGATTGATCTCAAAATCCGCAATACCTGCATGAATGAAAATGTCTGTAGAAATAAATGAAAGGTATAGATTGTTTCCTCATATATTTTATACATAAAAGATTGAATAGTTCTTTGTCTTCTAGGGTTCAAGAAGAATTGGAAGCTCTGGAGGCTATTCTGATGGATGATATTTCCATTTCCTATAACGAAAGGTAAATAAATAAAGACTAATATGCACTAGCAACGTTCCATGTTCATTTTTCCATTTTCAGGGGCAACCCAGAGTTAATCAAAACCACAATATTTCCTTCTACTGCCAATGAAGTAGATAAACAATATGTTTGTGTTACATTAGAGGTAAAACTTCCTGAAGAGTACCCAGACTGCGAGCCAGTTGTTCAATTGAGGAATCCTAGAGGCTTAGACGATTCCACAATAAACCATTTGTATAAATCAATAAAAGAGAAATGTGTTGATAATGTTGGACAACCCGTTATATTTGAACTTATAGATGTAAGTTTGTAGTAGTAGCATGTTTTAGTAAGTGAATTCAGTCTCCATTAGGTACAACAGCGTGAATGCACCAGTTGGGTTACATTGGTGATATGTCATTTATTCATGTACTTCCAGAGATGTTCTCAAAATAAATTGTCTATTCATGATTGCAATATTCCTTCTAAATGATTCTAAATCACAACCAATCAAATTTACTTGATTGTAATTCACATTATGGATTGTTACGTTAAGCAATTAAACACACAGAACCAAAGTTCATCCAACACTTTTTTATTTTAATATATCTGTGATAATAGACAGGTGCAGTCTCTGTAATTGTAAATCAAATTGAACAGAAATTGGCTGACATGCTTTTCCTGCAGTTCAACCCAACTAGTTGCATGCATATCTCATATGACAGTCAGGAGTATGATAGTGAAAGTTTGAATAATAAAATGTTTACATACTTATTTTCAATTCTGCTCAAATGTAGGAATTGATAGTGATAAAAAGCAAAAAAATGATGAATGTTGAGTTGTTAGATACTGATTAGTAATGACTTGATTACTGATGTACTGTGAAAGCTTGAACATATACAATGATGCCACAACACACTAAAACGTCCTCTTAAAATATTATCTATGTGTTTGTTGAAAATAAGCTCTCTACCAGAAGTTGCTCCTAAATCACAGAAATGTCCACTGAAGAATCATTCATAAAATCCTGATGTATGAATGGATATTTATGATTACAAATCTGTATTATCTTAATTTCTTTGAAATATTAATGTTGCTAAATGAAACTAGGTAATTCAAATCTTCTTATTCGCAGTAGTATCCATGTGTATATGCCACTCCTTGTACCTTGAGAAGTTAGCACCCCAAGATGCAGTACCTTTCTTTTTTGATGAGTTCTGCGTTTTAGGTCTTTATCATGTCATCCCTACAATTGTAGGATGCCTTTATTGACTCCTTGATTGTCATAGTTTTCTAGAGTTCCATGACAGCGCTCTATTTTGAGGTTATGTCACAAATATCTATTTGTATCAAATTGTTCATGCTTTTGATGTATATCACCTGCTTTATCAGCCTGAAATTTCCTATGATTAAAAAAAAACAACCTCACAATAGCAGAGCGCTGACGCTGACACAGAATAGTAGAAACCTTGAAATACCCCAGCCCTTCCGAAGGAGAGAAAAGACTATGAAAATCAAGGAGGCGATAAAGGCGTCCTACAGTAGTTGTAGGAGCGACTGGCGATACGACCTTTAATGAGAGTTCTAGGTTATCATGCAAGTGGAACAATAGTTACATAGTAAAAGTTGAGGAAAAAATAAAGAAAGTTCCAATATGTTAGTGCATTCCTATTTGCTAGTAAAATAGTGCCTGTCAATTTACCGAGCTATTGTTCCATTCCTTCATAATTACCCTTTACTAAAAAAATAGTATCAAGTAGATTGACTCTATTCTTCTTATGCATTCATTGGATAGAATAAATAAAAATCTATAATATTCCCAATATCATTTCTCACTGATGCCAAAACTGTAATATTTATATCCTCCCACCTTCAATCTCCAATTTTCAGCCACTCCAAAAATTGTTTTTTTCTGTGGCTTTGACCACAAAGATTTTCTGTTCTTGGCATAGTAGTAACCTTGTGTTAAAAATCTCATCAAAACCCAGCAGCATTTTCCGAGCTATAGAGGGGTCAAGGATTAGCAGACAGACAGACAGATTGACAGAAAAGAGTGGCATGGTTTTTCGGATCTACATGTTGTATAACAAAAATTATGACAGTGTCACTTTTTCTCGATCACAGTACCTCATCAATTAGCGTGAGAAGTAAAAGCACCATATCATCAATCGAATGGTTGCCTCAATTTCGCCATCATGGCTCATACCATTTTTTTGTATACTCCAACTACCACTAAGGCCTAAGCACCCATTGGGTACCGTGAGCGATATCAGTAGTGATAGCGAAATTTAAAACTCCTAATATACTCTGATATACCTGGAAAAATTATCTGTAAGCATCTGCAACTGAACCATTTCAGCTTATACGAGAAAACCTGACTGAAAGCAATCTTCCAACATGTCAGTGTGCTGTATGTCTCTATGGATTTTGTGAAGGTGATAGCTTCACAAAAACACAGTGTTTTCACTATTTCCATTCATACTGCCTGGCGAATCATGTTAGTATAACGAAGAGGCATTTTCAGGAGGAACAAGATAAGTTACCAGCTTGGCAAAAGTCTACCAAAGGATTTCAGGTAAAGAGAATATAAGAAGGAATGAAACAAGCTTTCAAGATGATTTACTTTTTCTTATGTGCTCATCTCATAACTTAATAATTCATTCAGAATTATGTGTCCTGTGCCAATATGGGGAATTTTGAGATATTACTAGATAATCAGCTGTCATTCTACCGTAATGGATACTCGTGAAATAGGGTATAGACATCATCTCAAAGTACAAGCCTTATCCTTTCAAATGCCGTTGAGTTTTCTCAAATTTCTTCTTTTTTTTTCGCTACGGTACATTGATATTTTAATTTTTCAGATCACTATATTTGATACAGTTGTTTAGAGTTTGGATCATAATACACCAAAAACTTAATAATAAGATAGTTATGAAATGAGACGTGCCAACTAAAAAACCGATAAATCCTCAATACTTAATATATTCATAAAATATCTAAAACATATCTAAACCACAAGCCCACACCTCAAGACCGAGTTTAACGTTCTTACTTTCGGCTGAACACTTCTTGTAAATTAAAAATAAGCACTTCCCTCTGATAATGGCTGAACCGATCTAGATCAGAAAAATGGAAACTTTGAAGTGCCATATCTCATTGAAAGAAAAAGTTCTTGAGCAAACTCAACCGCATTTGAAAGGCCAAGGCTTGTACTATAACAAAACATGATGTTTTCGTTCGTCCGACTAAAAAGACTGTCACGGACAGCTGTTTCATGATTCTTGGTTACTCATCAGCATGGTCTAGGCTGGTCTTTTGTCCCTGTATGATCGAACGAAAGCATCGCAACTATCCTCGTGCTTTCCGCAGTGGTCGATTCTGGTGTGATAGATGGTGCTTTGCGCTGTCTTACTTGTACTAGATGATGACTACGGTTTTTCGGTAAAAACATACTCGTATATACCCTACTTCACTAGTATCCATCACGCTTTGACGTCTACTGAGGTGAACAGCTGATCAGTAAATGACATTTTTGTGTTAGTCTGCGACGTTCGCAATAATGAATCGGGTGTAAATCTAGCAAAACGTGTTTGTACCATTTTTTATAAATAAAAGAGCTGTTAACAAGTACAACATGGATCTGTAGCGTACCAAAAACCAAAACAAAATACGGCTTTGACGAACTGACGTTGACGGACCCGTCAGAATTATGTGTCCTGTTGCGATATGGGGAATTTTTAGATATTATTAGATAATCAGCTGTCACTCTATCGTGATGGATACTCGTGAAATAGTGTATAATTCGCCACGCTACATGATTTTAAATATAGGCAAAATGGCTGGCTATTAGATCAGGATATTTCGGAAATTAGATACAATTGAGAGGTCTGGACTACGGATTCAGATTTAGCGTATCAAAAACCTTCGGATAAGTATACTATGGTTTCTGAGTCAGGGGATCGGCCGATTTTTGTTGATTGTGATATCACTAAGATTTCATACTCGCAAAATTTTTCTACAACGGAAAAGCTTCGTTTTCTCTATAACCTGCGGCCACAGAGCAGCTGTGACGCTGATGCCTAAAGACGGTGGTGGGCACGTACATAGTAAGATTAGTTGTAAGCGTAAATAGTTGGCGATGTCATTCTACATATAATTATTTCTGCGCAGGTACTGATATAACAATTGGTCTGGGTATCCCCTTGTTGAATATGTTTAACAATGGTACTATGTAATGCTCTAGATATGAAATTTCGTATGTGCATATAACAAGCAAACTGCAGTTTTTGCTACTTATTAGCAAAATTTCAAAAAACATCGACGTCGCTAACGCCTCAAATTTTGTATTGAGTATATCTATGCCATACATAAAGTTTCCGCATCCGTTTCTTAACAATACATTTTAACTGTATTACAAATGTTCTTGCAGGCTACCTGCCCTGTGTGCCGTGAACCGATAGAATGTAATGTAGATGAATTGAAGACTGCTAATCCTCCAAAGGAATTAGAGAGTGCTCAAAAATTCGAGGTCAGCAATGACCTTCGACTATTACAGGAGAGAATGAGACAGTTGTTTAGTTACCAAAAGAGTAGAGGAGGTATAATTGATGTTGAAGCTGAGGAGAATAAATTATTGCTGATTACACAGTCTGGTGAGGAAAATGTTTCTAGTGAAGGCACTGAGGTAAGTTAAATATAAAATGTCATAACATTTGAAACATGGAGTCAACATTAAAATTAAAATTATTACATCATATCGTGATGTTTATGCCTTAAGTAGCATCTAAATGGGCAAAATTGTTTCCGCAGTATTTGTGTATAACTATGGCAACTGCAGCCCAGTCATCTTAGACATATTCAGCATATGGCCTGGCTGTATATTTCGGGCGACGAGCTACAGAAATGGGTGGGAATGGTCGACGAAATTATACCCGTTGCTGCAGCCTATAGTTGATTCCACGGCTTTAGGCTGGATCTGAATGAAACTACAGGCATTACTTTTATATATTCATCTCCCTCACAAGTTCATTGAGCAATCTGTTTCTATGCGCGAACGTATTTTTATGTAAGCTTAGAAGGACATGATCCTCCATTTGCAGTTCGACCAGGATTACAGTATGACCCTTGACAGGATTCAAGAAGGCCCAGTTGCCTTGACTTCACAATCGATGTGCGACTACTCCGTCTCTCACTAGATCCAACGGCGGGAGATCGAGCAGAGCTTCCATTGCACTCAATGGCGTTGTCCGCACTGCGCTTGTAATGCTGATGCAGGCCAAACGCTGAATTTTATTGAATTTGGCCTTAGTAGTCTCAGTTGCAATGCAAGGCCACCAAACCAAGGAGCCGTACAAGAGAGATAGATTCACTATTGTCCTGTAGAGCGAGTAAACCACTTTAAGGTTTAAGCCCCCACCTAATACCAACAACGCGTCTGCAAGCCCACAGTTAGTGCCGAGCCTTGTTAACCTTAAACACAACGTGCTCTCTCCAGTTCAGTTTACAGTACAGGAAAATTCCTAGATATTTTACTGACTGAGATAGAACTAATCTAGTCCCAAAGAAGGTCGGCAAAACAAGGCCGTCAAGCCTTCTTCTCCTAGTGAATAGGATCAGCTCGGTCTTTCCAGCGTTGACAGAAAGATCCACTTTGAAGAGGTTCGGCAACAGCGCGACCATGTGTGAGTGCCTGACACAGTGTAAAGTGTGATGGAAGGCAAGTAGTAAGACCTTGAGGATGAGTTGCGCGGAGCAACGGGCATGAGCTTCGGCAGAAGCAGCCGGATATCGACGCTCAGCCTGACGGACGTACTAACATTGTTCTTAAACCGTGTTTTATTTTAGTTCGAATTGTTCACTGTCAGTTATAAATCGGCCTCTGCCTTAGTAAATAAAGTGATATCGCAGTAACACCGTCTTCCTACCCATTAACCTGAGAGAGCTAGCTCGGGAACTATTTCAACTTCCCTACACCATGATTCCGCAACGTGCAAAGCGCCCTGCATAATCTCAGAGACTCTTCCACAAAAACGACCTCTAACTACTATGCTTACGTCGTCAGCATATGCTTGTACGTAGACACCCGCACTGCTGAACCTAACGAGAAGTTCATTCAGAACGAGGCACCACAGTACGGGTGACAGAACTCCGCCCAGTGGGCAGCCTCGAGCTACGCTGCAGCTTACCTCATTCAGCATAACTGTTGATACCCGACGCTCCAGAGTGGATAGGACCCAATCTGCTAGGATGCCTAACCAAGACATGTCTGATGGAGTCGGCTGTAGTGCAATTAAATGCATCTTCAATATCCAAAAAGGCCACAAGTGCCACTTCTCGCTGATCTAGAATCTTTTCCAGCCTTCCGACCAGATTGTGTAAGGCCAAATCAGTCGCTTTCCCAGCTTGGTATGCAAACTGATCGGAATGAATGCCACACCTCTCCAGCGGGCCATCCCTCAAAAATCTGTCAACTATCCTTTCCAAAGTCTTGAGCACAGAAGATGAAAGGGTAATCGGACGAAAATCCTTCGGATCAGTATATCTCGCTCTGCCCGGTCTAGGAATGAATACCACTTTAGTCTGCCGCCAGCTTCTAGGTGTAAAGTCCTTGGCCACATATGTTCGAAACATCTTCAACAGGTGAGGAACAACGGAACTCCATCCCTGCTGTAACATGGCCGGAAATACGCCGTCCAGATCTAACTTGGAGCAAACGAATCTGTCGCCCATACCGTCCTTTTGAAGGTTACAACCTCCCTAGCCGTGCGCCAGTCCTCCCCTGAGGGCCTGCACAACTGGATGCACTCTATGATTGACAGCGCTACTGTGGAACCGGGAAAGTGCGTATGCATCGAAAGCCTCAGAGTACCTTTCTCGGAAGTAGTACTACCTCCCAAGGGATCAGACAGGTCCTAATCTTGCTCTAATGTCTTTACATAGGATTCTGTGTATTCTAGCTGTAGCAGGAATGTCCTTTATAGACTGACAGAAGTTCCTCCAGGATTCCCTGGAAGCTCTTCTAATCTCTTTTTTGTATTCCTGCAACGCCTTCTTGTAGTCTTACCATTGGGGAGACCATCTCCTGTGCTTAACTCTTCCAAGAAGTTTGTGCACAGCTCGTTTTCTGTCCTTTAACTCCTTGGACCAGAAGGTTTTGCTTTGCCCCTACCTTGAACTTTGCGTAACGGGCAGTTTTCCTCATGCGAAGCCGTCAAGTCCCTGTTCAGAGACTACGGCTGTTTCCATATCAGGACCCCTACAAAGTCTGTATATGAGACCCCTCCAAGCTTACTATCAAGGTCTGCCCTAAAGGACGCCCAGATAGTATACAGGGTGTCCCAGAAGTCGACGTCAAGCCGAAACCAGGTGATAGGCAAAATCATAACAGCTATCAGAAAAATATTTAAAAAAATTTTATGTATGTGTTTTGAAAATTATAGGTCTTTGAAAAAAATATAGAAATTTCACACCCTACGGCAGTCTGTCAACTCCTGTTACTACAAATATTTACTTTTTTTGGATTTTATTTTTACCATGTAATGATGAATAATAAACTCGTTAACTTAGGCACAATTTTTATTTGAAGAAAAACTGATGAAAGTTTTTCAAAATTTCCTAATTAAACAGCGATTATGAAAACGCACAAGGACCCTTAAGGATAACTGTTTGCAGAACTGTGGGCGTCAAAATGCTGCTGATGATGATTTACCTTTACAGCAAATGCTCAAACTGTTTTACTTCAGCCGCAATACACGCTCGACATCTTCTTAAAAAAGATCGGGTTATTAAACGAGCGAATCCACGGTTATTAACAAACTCAGCTTCTTCCAATAGTCTTTGCTGTAGCTCAGCTACATTTTGAATCGGCTTGAAATACACTTTTTCTTTTACAGTTCCCCAGTGAAAAAAAAATCTAACGGATTCAAATCTGGTGATCGGGCTGGCCCTATCCATCTGACTGGAAAGTTTTGATCGAGATAACTCTCTCACTGAGAGTGCATAGTGCGCTGGGCAGCCATCATGCTGAAACCACATGTCCCTGTAAATACTCAGTGGCACGTCCTCCAATAAATTTTCTAAATGATTTTGCAAAAAACCTAAATAAACCTCAGCAGTCAAAGTCTCTGGGAACTCAAACGGACCGATTATTTTACCATTTAAAATTCCTGTCCAATGGTTTATCTTGAAGCGATATTGAGATTTATCTGCTCATCAAATGTGGGCTTGCTACGTGCCACTCGTGTAAGTTATGCAGGTTCATGTACCCATCTTTCTTAAATGTGGTCTCATCTGACCATAAAATTTTTTCAAAGAACCGTGGATCTTCCCTGTGTCTTTGTAACATTGTGCGACAAAAAGCAACTCGGGGCTCATAATCCCGGGGCAGAAGAGCTTGAACACGCTGTACGTGGTATGGATGGAGCACGTTTTTTTGGGCACACCTGTTTTTAGTTCTATTGCACGCACTGAAGTACTCGGGTCTTCTTCGACAGCTCCTAGCACCACGTCTTCGTGAGGAAGGAAAGATCTTACCTCACCGTGTGATTGGTTTGGTAGTTGGCCCTCTGAGAACAGTAAGCGGTGTACATTTGTGAACACTCGATGATCTGGATGACGAGCTGCATTCGGGTACCTCTCACAGTTAAGTATCGCTGCAGCACTAGCGGTGCATCTGCATTCCCCATAAATGAGGTGCATGTTAGCATATTCTTGTACGGTGTACACGAACATAGCGGCACTGCACAATCACACTATCAAAGATAGTCTATGGAAAGCAAATGTTGTTTTGAAGAGCAATTAAACAGTCCAAATCCAAATCACAAGCGATCAACAGTCCAGTTCACGAATCCAAAATTAGTAACAGTACGAAATCAACAAGCACGAACATGTAAAGATGCGCAGTAAACGAAGGAGTACTGATCGGTATCAAAGTGTGCAATAGCAAGTAAGTGATGTGCTTCATCCATACCACATACAGCATGTTCAACCTCTCCTGCCCCGGAATTATGAGCCCCGAGTTGATTTTTGTCGCACAATGTTAGAAAGACACAGGAAAGATCCACAGTTCTTTGGAAAAATTTTATGGTCGGATGAGACCACATTTAAGAAAGATGGGTACATGAACCTGCATAACTTACACGAGTAGCACGTAGCAAACCCACATTTGATGAGAGAAGATAAATCTCAATATCGCTTCAAGATAAACCATTGGACAGGAATTTTAAATGGTAAAATAATCGGTCCGTTTGAGTTCCCAGAGACTTTGACTGCTGAGGTTTATTTAGGTTTTTTGCAAAATCATTTAGAAAATTTATTGGAGGACGTGCCACTGAGTATTTACAGGGACATGTGGTTTCAGCAAGATGGCTGCCCAGCGCACTATGCACTCTCAGTGAGAGAGTATCTCGATCAAAACTTTCCAGGCAGATGGATAGGGCGGTCTGGTACAATACCGTGGCCAGCCCGGTCACCAGATTTGAATCCGTTAGATTTTTTTTACTGGGGAACTGTAAAAGAAAAAGCGTATTTCAAGCCGATTCAAAATGTAGCTGAGCTACGGCAAAGACTATTGGAAGCAGCTGAGTTTGTTAATAACCGTGGATTCGCTCGTTTAATAACCCGATCTTTTTTAAGAAGATGTCGAGCGTGTATTGCGGCTGAAGGAAAACCGTTTGAGCATTTGCTGTAAAGGTAAATCATCATCAGCAGCATTTTGACGCCCACTGTTGTGCAAACAGTTATCCTTAAGGGTCCTTGTGCGTTTTCATAATCGCTGTTTAATTAGGAAATTTTGAACAATTTTCATCAGTTTTTCTTCAAATAAAAATTGTGCATAAGTTAACGAGTAATCTTCTAAGTGTTATACCATTTTGGAATCCTTATTAAATGCGCCAACTTTTAAGGTTACTTGCTAAACTCTCGTAGTACATTTTTTTCCAGTACAGCCAGTTAAAGTTGAGCAAAGTTTTACTTTGGAATACTTGGTTGTGAAATAAGTGGCAATTTTTCCTGAACGAGAAAAGTTGGCAGTAAGGTTGAGACACCAGTTTGAAGATGCATTATTCATCATTACATTGTAAAAATAAGATCCAAAAAAAGTTAATATTTGTAGTAACAGGAGTTGACAGACTGCCGTAGGGTGTGAAATTTCTATATTTTTTTCAAAGACCTATAATTTTCAAAACACATACATAAATTTTTTTTAAATATTTTTCTGATAGCTGTTATGACTTTGCCTATCACTCGGTTTCGGTTTGACGTCGACTTCTGGGACACCCTGTATATCTGTGATCCGATAGAGAGGGTATTAGAGACACTTTCCAGTCCCTAATCTCCTGAGCTAAATTGAACGTACTCAGTGTTACGTCGATAACCTCTTCTCTGACTGAAAGTAGGCGTGTTACCTACATTCAGAACCTCAAGGTTCGATGACCCTAGGAACTCCATGAGGTCTCGCCACGTCTGTTGCTGTTCGTGAGTGGTGAGCATTGCTGTCACATCCAATCACAAGGTCGAGTCCACAATCCCTGCAATATGCAACAAGGTCCCCCAGTTCCTTAGACGGAGGAGGTTCCCTTGAATCGTAAGGAAGGTATGCCGAACATACGACCAGGTCTTTGTCAGCTCCTTCCTTCTTATATGTAATTCTAACTAAAATCGTAAGTCTCTGGATGTAAAGTCTTCAAGTTGCCAAGTATTAATGCTAGTTATTACGCAAGCTCTGGCGTATATCCCGGTAAACTGAGCCCGTTGACTGAACCGTTTCTCAGCCAGGGTTCCTGGATGAGGGCCACGTTAAGGCGGCCTCGAGAGATCTCCTGAGTTAGGGCCCTCGAAGCCGCTATGCAGTGCTGTAAGTTAATCCGAATAAAATTGATACTAGCCATGGATGTTGGGAGACATCCTCCCGAATACCGGTGTAGATGCCCTATTCGGGCGTACGGCCGTCGCCGCCACAGTCTTCCCTGTCGCAGCCGCTCTCGTCTCCGCTTCCACTGAGGAGTTCAATCTGACATCAATATAAAAAAATATATCTTAAATGTCAAACATGTCTTGTTACATAGTCAGGCCATACTAGCGATGTTGCCGTATGTTGCCGGCTGCTCTATTGCAGCTAGACACTGCATTAAAAGTATTGGCCGTTTAGAAGTGCCATTATGAAGGCACATTGCAATTTTTTTATTTCTTAAAAATCGTAATGTATAACCTTTCTATATTTGATAAGTGTTTACTTGATGCAAGATTCCTATAAAACTGTGGCCTGGCGGCCTTACCAAATGTCATATCACGGAATGGTACTATTGTTTGAAATTTGTAGAGAACGCAGATGATTCATAAGGTATGTCTAAGACTTGGAAGTTTTTTAGTTAATACGATGCGATATTTTTGATAGGTGCGTGATTTTCAATCGTATTCAGGTGAACTGAACCCAAGAATTCCATAGACAAAGGAAGTCTGAGACGTACCTCTTGAAACAGGTAGCTGTGACCCAGTCTTACCATTTATGCTCGTGATGATGCTGCATCATGTAATACTGGTGACATACTGTATATTGATTTTACATGATATTAATATGTTCATATATATCGTGTTAGGATCCTGGACCTAGCTTATCAAATCTGAATCACCCGGTTCTAGACAACGGGGTGTTGAAGAAAAACCAAAGATGTGATGTCAAAGTAAGTTCCAATGGCAGATGACCAAGGCATTCCAGATGTATTGAATTTCTCAATTCTAGTGTCATATTTAAATACTCTTTTAGATGTTTTTAATTTATTCACTAGGATAAATGTTATATATAGATGTTTTTATTTCTAGTTTACAATTTTTTATTCTATTTATTCTATTAATGTGAAACGTAAAGATGTTGAACAAGTACGACATATTTGAATGTGCGTTTGCGTTTTATTCATATTCCTCAAATCTACAAGACATGAGAAAAATTCTTCGTTTTCTCTGTTCTGGAAAACTTATGCCAAGCGCAATATATTTTTTTAGTCTCATGACCTGACCTTAGCACGTTCACGACGGGGGCATTTTTGTGGTTGTAGCTGATGAACGGTTCGTAGTCTTGACTTACCGTAACACCTTTTTTGTACAGTTCGTGACCCTAGGGACCCATAAACGTCTTGCTTATGGGGATGTTTCCCTAATTTTGAAATTGTTTATTATTCTGACAAGGTACACCTATTTGTTGCAAGAGCAGGACATAGAAGTAACAATCTGAAGCAATTTTATTCTTGGACGAAAGTTTGGTATAACTTCTTCTATATACAGGGTGGCCCATCGATGTGTGGACGAAATATTACTCATAAACAAATACATTTTGGGAAAATCTATTTACGTCATGTTATACATGACCTACATATCAAGTTGTGATTTTTTAAATGGAATGCCTCAAATTTCATTGCATATTTGGATACAACAATTCAAAAGAAGAAGATTGATATAACATACAGTGGGGTTTTGATAATTAGCTACTGAGATGTAAGGTGTTTTGTCCAGAAAAACCGTCCACTTCGGCAACCCCTCAATCCGCCGTTTTGAAATTTGGAGCGCTGAATTTTGTATCAAAAAAAAACCTACACACCTCAGCTTTTATCTTATTTGTTACTTTTTCGAATTTTCATGTTTGCTCATACAGGGTGGTCAAAAATGCGAATTGTACTTTTTCTCAAAAATTTCAAATGCATCACCCTGTATATTTGTGCAAGTTGGGATTCAATTTTTTATAAGCTTTTTTTTGATACTAGACACATAAAGGTTTTATGGCCATTGTTTCGGTTACTAGCACGTCTTTTATGGAACGACTTAATTCCCTAAAATATCGCATCACTCTTGGAAACAAATAAATTACTGATTAGTTACAAACTGTCAAAATTAGCTTTGTGAGCATTATAATAAAAACGTTTTTGAAAATGAATTCCAACCGACGGCCTTTAGTCCCGAATCAACAAAGCAGTTTATCAACTGGTTGCGAAAGCCTTAACCACTTTCTCAGATAATCAATAGTTTGCCATCTGAGGTCAGAATACTTATGCTGTGTATGATGGAATTTTCGCAAACTATTTATGTACCCACTTCAATATTTGTTTTGCATTATCTGTAGACGCCCTTTATTCGCGACAGTTAGGCGACACAGATAAATTACTAATCCGTACAAAATTTTAGATAGCACCAAGCTTTCACCTAGCTGCTTTTTCATATCATTAATGATGCAACTGTTTGCAAATAAAACATTGCCTCAGAACGTGCTGTAGGTGTTCTTCATCGAAATGTAAACCCAATATTTTGGCATATCCTGAATTTGAATGCCAATTTTAAATTTAAGAAATTAATGTTCTTATTTTGTTACGGCCAGAAAGCAAGGCTTTACACTTCGATGAACAAGAAAGCACACAAATGTGGTCAAGCGCGGAAATAATATTCAAGTCCACGGAAGCTCTAGTAATGCAATGGTTATTTAAAGCCCAACTGATAAACATGTTGTTCTTGAAGTAATCATAAACCTGGACATAAGCTGCGGGTTCCAGTATTTTAGATGAGAGAGGCAAGAGATTTATTGGCCGTAGATCGTTAAATGACGTTCGAAATTTTAGCAAAAGGCACTGAATTTATGCATAAAGGATATTTCAGGGAATGCTCAAGAAGAGAACCAGTTTGTCTCGAAATAATATATATTTCTGATTTTTAGGAAACCATTACAAAATGCCTAAATGTAAAAAAACTCAAGCATCATTCTAAGGTGGTTGTTGACATCATTGTTTGAGAATACAATGATATAAAAATAAAAAATTATCACAACATAGACATTTACGACTGCACCAAAAATGCAAAAATACACTTGGTTTCTACCAAGCTTGGATCCAGGCAATGGATATTACCCTCTAGATAATATAATAGATCCCATAGAAAACATTTACGGGGAAGAAAATCACCTCAATTTTAAAAAACGATTGCCAGAGAAAATGTTTCCCATATACATAGAAATCAAAAATTTTCTGACGAGATAATGTGCATGAGAGAAGCGCAAGCATGCAATATACCCTATTTCACTTTGACGTCTATTGAGGTGAACAACTCATCAGCAAGTGACATTTTTGTGTTAGTTGGCAATAATGAATCGGGTGTAAATCTAGTAAAACCAAGACAAAATACGGCTCTGACTTCCTGACGTTGACGGATCCGTCAGAATTATGCGTCCTGTGCCGATATGGGGAATTTTGATATATTACTAGATAATCGGCTGTCGTTCTACCGTGATGGATACTCGTGAAATACGGTGTACGTATGTTAGAAAGAGTGCGGCGATGGCAACGAGGCAAGCCGCAGCTGAGTGGGCTCGTCACTCAGATTGCTAGACAACGTGTCTCTTGTACACGTTACGACGTCAGTGATATATGATTTCTCTGTATATCCTGGATCCGTGCCTGTTCATTTACAGTATCATACAGCTGTCAAAACAAGAATTAACAATTACAAAATTGCTGTACCTTGCAAGAAGATTAACATCTGTCATGATTCAATAAGCTAAAATAATTACACTATTTTTTTAGAAAAACAGTATCATGTACTTTTTCTTTTAACAAAAGGTCCATTTTAGAACAAATGGATGATTTCATATAAAAAGTGATTTCCCCAAACACTGCTTTTGTAAGACTTAATGTGGATTGGATATCTGGTTCAAATGTAATCTATATCAAAGTTCATTAATCGAGACAGACTTGAATCATGGTTCCATACCCTCAACTGTCTCTAGACAGCAAATTGCTTCCGCTGCTGAATGCTACTGAACATATGGTTCATATGTTAACCAAAATTGTAACCAAATCCTCTTATCTTCGAACTAATTTTAATCATATTTGGGGAAATGCTCTTTCAAACAGTTCTTGCCTTTCCTAATTATAACAACAGCCCTGCAACGATAAGCAAAAAATTATAACTACGACGTCGAGGGCGGGCCTCCATAATAAGGCCTTGGAGGCGGCTGCTGCGTGGGCGGGTAAAACGGCGGGGGTGGTCCAGGCTGCACGATAGGCGCACCAGTCGCAACGGCTGCCGCAGCACTGAACAGTGGTGGAGGATGGCTGACGTATGGGAATACGGCAGGTGGGACGGAAGCGGTTGGAGGCGGTCCATTGAGGTTTGGAGGTGGGGCTGTAAGGTGGGGGGGAGGTGCCGACACTACTGGAGGAGGTCCGGTAGTGGAGAATGGCGGTGGCGCGGACACGGCAGCAGTGTATGCGCCCATCGGGGGCGGGCCGCTAGTGAATGTCTGGTATGGGAACTGCGGGATGTCTGTGGAAGGCGGCACCTGGAAGCGGATTACAATGTCAGTACTTTTACTTATTAATAATGAGATACTGTTATTTTTAGCGTATTTTGTAATGGCTACAATAGTCTGTGGTTTGGTCTTTTTATGGGCGTTTTCATCTCTGTATAAAGTCAGAAAATGTTGCACCGATTTTAATGAAATTGGGTAAAATGTGACTTGGGAGTCATATAGTAGAATGATCTGTTACAATCATGCATTGATGTTCATTAGATGAGTAATTAACAAAAAATATTAGACTCTATGAGACAGGCATTATGAGACAGTGCAGAGGTTTACTATGACAAATGAAAGAAAAACATCTGCCTAACGTTGACAGCTACTTGGTCGCATATACCATACATTACATAACATAAATATGTTTCATATTGAACATATTTTTCTTTTTCCTGTGTATCAAATACACAAAAAGTGTTAGGAACATACCTTGATGCTAACAGGTGGTGGCTGATCAGGAGATCTTTCCTGTCCATTTGAGCTCTTCACAGGTGTTGTTGCTGGTCGTGTTGGTCCAGTTTTTGGTGTCTGTGATGGTGGGCTATCTGGTGAACTACTATCTGTTTGGGAATACAGATCTAATACCTAGAAAAAATCATAAAGATTACTTATACTTTCATGTGACTCAAAAAATCAAAAACGCACATTCCAGTAATATTAAATTAATAAAACCACATCATTTTCTGAAAGTATTTGTTGCAAGCTGAATCCATTGTTCAATTTATGGAATGAAATTTAACTTACCTGATGGCAGATATCTTCTAACAGGTCCATGGTAACATCCTCTACAAACATATCCCACCATCTGAGATGCTTAGGTGTTCTGCCAATCCAGTCAACGACTTCAAATTTACTCAGTTTACCAGCTAAGTACATAAGTGCTACTGCTATGATTTCTGGCTCCCATTGCAATGCAAGTGTGGTGCAAAGACTGTCATTCACAAAAGTCCATGCCATCTGGACCATTTTCTGTAGTTTTGTCTGGAAAAACTATCAAATTTTAACAAAAAAGGCCTGGAATAGTAACATTATTGATATCACTCACCTTATCTCCCTTGAGACATTTGGCATACTTAAGCAGGTACTGATAAGGATGCTCTACTTGCAAGTCAAATTTAATAGTTTGCAATAGAATCCTCTCTAAGGTCATTACCTAAAATCCAAATAAGTTGTTATTGCTGACTTTTTGTGGATGAAAAGGTAAGAAAATAATATTTGAGGAAGTTATTTAGCATATGTTTAAGTAGCAAGGCAAAAAATATAAAGCAATATTCAATACCCCATTATAGTGACTTAGACGTTCTACATTTTGGGACCTGTTGAGTTTTGGGGCTTCTGCCCATTGAAACATTTGTTCAGGACGCCTACATGCATATTATATAAAAAAGTCAGCGAAATTAACAGAAACCACTCTTTTGAGGCATACATTCCGGTATAACCAATAGATTATACTGACTTGGATGCCCCATATCTTGGGACCCGTTGAGTTTTTGGTCTGCCCATCAATGCATTTATTCAGCGAAATTAACCGAAACTGCTCTTGCACTTGAAGCATATATATATTTGAGTATAACTAATACATTATACTGACTTGGACGCCCTATATATTGGGACCCGTTGCGTTTTGGGACCTCTGCCCATCAATGCATTTATTCAGGACGTCGAGACATATAACATATGAAAAAATTCAGCGAAATTAACTGAAACCGCTCTTTCACTTGAAGCATATGTATATTTGAGTATAACCAATACATTTTACTGACTTGGACGCCCTATATCTTGGCACCCATTGCGTTTTGGGACCTCTGCCCATCAATGCATTTGTTCAAGACGTCGAGACATATAACATATGCAAAAATTCACCGAAACCGCTGATTCAGTTGGAGTAGGACTGATTAGTCCAGTTTACTGACTCAGACAGCCTATATCTTGGGACTCGTTGTGTCCTGGGGCATGTGCTTATTACTGCATTTATTCAGGTCATCAAGACACTTAACATATGAGTAATAATACATATTGCCCGAAACCATTCTTCCATTTAAAGTATATATTCGAGTAGAACTGTAACCCCATTAACACCAACTTGGATGGCCTGTATCTTGGGACCCGTTGAGGTTGGGCTCCTGTACCCATTGCAACATTTGTTCGGGATGCCAAGACCCATAACATAAAAAATTTAACAAAAGTAACCAAAACTGCTCTTCCACTTAAAGCATATATTTGAGTATAACCAATACATTATACACAACACCTCAAATTCTATGTGCCTCGCAAAAATGGCTATGGCGCCGCCATTTTTGAATATTTTTTTGGTCAATAGCTTCATCTAGAATTATTATTTCAAAGCAATTTCTTCCACCAAGAACAATGATAAAAAGAACTAATTTTTAGGTCATTACAGTAGTCTTATTCCTCAAGCCATTTTTGAGGGTATCTTTAATGTGCTACATGATTGTAAGCCGTAATTACAAGTGTGCATTCCTGAACCAAATTTAAGTAGAAAAGTTCATATAAACATGTGCAAAAAAGTATGGTAAGATACACGATACAGAGCATCAAAGGTGACAAAAATGTACCTATTGTCAGAGGAAACATTAAAGACAAATATATATTTACAATAGAGCAACAGTCCCTAGCAAGAAACAAAGTTGAACGATCTGCTGGTTTTATTTTTTTCATCAAAAACTGAGTAAGATATACAGAAAGACCAAGAAACAAATAACTTGCACCATTAGCTTGATAAATCCAAAATATATATTTCTTTAAATCAGTGGCATTTTTTTGTCAATATTATTCGTGAGTGCTCTTAAGACACCACTCATAATTGTCTTCCGGTTGTAGTTAACTTATTGCAAAAAACATTGCTGCCAAAGATCATCAAATTCTGCACAAGGATCTTCGAGATGTTAATAAAAACAATTTTTTATTTGTTTAAACTTTGAAACCCGGTATCTTGTAAACCAATCTTGTTAGGACATATGTATATATGTAGATTTTCAAATTACCCTATCCTTTAGATATAATTTCAGTACAAAGGCTCTCTCAGAAGACAAATATTCAATATTACTGAGAATAAGCTAATATGTTAAGAAATGTTACATACCTCTTCTTTCGGATCTTCACCAAATGTTGCAAACTTCTGATCAGTTAGTAAGCTCCTAGCAGTCTTGATTATATCTTTGCACTTTTTGGGTGTTTCTTCTACTTTCCCAGCTAAGAATAAACAGCAACACGCTGTAACGTACCTTGGAAACTGCTTGAAAGAGTGGAACATGTAAAATCTGTGATAATACACTACTCCTGTAGCCATTGTATTGTATCCTAGGTCCATCTTGGAACCAGTGTTAATTATCAGCCTGGCTCCTTAAAATCGATACACTAATATCAGGTTTGAGTCCTGAATTATAAAACAGACTTACCTTCTTTACGATAACGCATTTCGGTCTTGTAGTCGATTCCATCTTGAGCTGAAGGTGTAATCCGCAATTCTTTCTTATCAAAGTACCATCCGGGCATGGTTTAAAGTTATTGCAGCGTTCAATTATATAGTAATTTTAGTTAGGAAACTAAAATATATTTTTGGAATGCAGATTCCAAAATTTTCGTTTATAAAGATTATAAATATAACCTCACTAACACTGAACACTTAAATGTCACTAAATGGGCAATGTACACGTTAAAAATACGAAGAATATGCAATCCACCTGCAACTAAATAGGGCGCGGTTGACGAGTCACCCGATCTGCAACTGTTCTTATGATTAGTCAAGCCTTCCCCCTACCTAGACTACCCTTCAGAGGGCGTGACGGGTGATGAGCCAGGCATTTAGGAATGTGTGTGGGGGGGGGGGCGCAAATTCATATCCAGGAGGTTAATTTTTGAAATAAGGTAGTTGAATAAAGAATAACTGAAAAAAGTGTGTGAGATTCTTGTACCTTCCGGGGAAGTGTGAAGTGTATCCCACAAAACTGTGCGGTCGGTGCATTCACTAGGGCAGATCTAGCATTTGTGTCAGGGGAGGCTCACACACTATTCATATCGTGAAGATATTTGTAGAATGGAAGAGCGAGAAGACCCTACCCGTGTACTCATACGGTATAACCTATAGCCATCTTAGTCTTACAATCAAATAACTTAATAAAAGTGTCAGCACTCTGACAATCGATGATAAGAATTAAAAAAATAAAATTTCATTATGGCATACGAGATTCTCAAACACTCTTCCCGACACGGGTATTACGTATCTTGAAAAGTGACATTTCGTAGATTTTTTTTGATATTTCGAGGTTTTTTTACCATATGTTAACTTAGCACATGTTGTTGTGCACATGTGAACTCGTTTTGTAGTCGTACGTGTTGCTTAAATGTCAGCGAACAGCGATCATAGCAAGCAAACGTGGACTTGATTTCTACTCATCAGGGTAACAATTACTGAGGTTCTAACTGATGGCAGAAAAGCGAATCTCTTTAACAAAAAAAAAAGAATGCCAAGCGGGTAGATTATGCGATATGAAAATTATTTGAAACAAGAAGTCAATAAAGAATAAATCATAGTTTTGAATGATTAGATTGATAAAGAAGTGCTAATCTATTTCATTTGTGCTTGTGAACTCGATGTTGTGAACGGATGTTGGATCATATGTGATGATCATCTCTTATTAGAGGATTTGAATGTAAAGTTGCACGTTCGTAACTTTTGTTTGCAGTTTGCTTAATGAATTGTGACAAGAAAAAATTATCCAGGTCATGGTGAATGGTCGGGATAGATACATACCATGGAGCATCCAGTATTGTTTTGTTTTGTATCACTTGCAATTTTGTAATGTGCGTCTAGGCAGCAAAACACAAAACTGCACAAGCTTAGGCCATGGTTGGACGTATAATCGATTTGTATAATACTAGTTGGTTAAGCTCAGTTTTGTAGTACGCTTGAGCAAGCGGTATAATTTATGAAATATCATCATAGCCTGTGTTCTATACGACTCTACATGAGATTCCCAAGTTAGACTTGCGTCCATTGCTTATTTTGCTTCATAAGCCCATGGAATTCTTTGGTTGCAAATAATTATTTCGGCTAGTCATTATTGTCGACTTTTAGTGACTAAAATTGCCTGGGTTTTCCCACCGTTCAATCTAATTCTCCAACGAGACACCAAACCTGCATCTGGGCATCAGCCTCTTGCAGTCTGTCTCCAAAACGTATGATAGCACATACAGGTATATTTCTTTCTTTCTGTGGAAAATTATGATCATTGATCATCCACGGTTTTTGGAACAATTCTTACTCCGCTATCGATATTGACACCACGTTGGAATTCGACACTAGCATTTTTAAATAGGTTGAGGGCATTAGCCCATTTCGAAGAATCATGCAGTATAACAGGGGTAACGTTTAAATTGATTTGGATTAAAAGACGCGTCGATGGCTGGTTCAAACTACTAGTAGACAAATGAGAATTTGAAGGATTGACAGGAATAGAAGATGTAGAAGGTTGATGACATAGAGGAGTTGCAGGACTTGGTATATTTACGATTTTAGAATTGTTTGAAATTTGGGTTACCATTCTTGTATTTTTATTTTTTCTCGATCTTCTTCCAGTTCGAACCCCAGTAAAATCATCACCTCCGCTGCTATTCTGAAGAGTCCTAGGACTAGAAGTCCGTCCATCGTTAGAAATATCATCTGAAGAAAATTCCATGACCGACTCTATGTTTCTTTTCTTGTCTTTTTTCTGGTCGATGAATGAGTTGTTTTTGCAGTGTTTCCACTGTATTGGTTAATTTTATGATTTTTGCGTCATTAGTTCTTCGTTTTTCTTATTTAATTCCGCAATTTGATATTCTTTGGAAAGGAGCATTTTGACCATTTCGTCCATCTCCTTTTTGGGTCCGTCTGACTATTGTAAACCGCTAATACTCGGTTTCTTATATTTTTTAATTTCTTCTCTCGAAAATCAGACTTTAACTTTGACAGCAGACTGTCGCCGCTCTTAATAAGTAGCACACATGGACTGAAAAATTGCACACTAAAAACTACCCAGTCTGAAAGATGACATCTCGTCGGTTTTTTAAGTTTTTTCAGTTTTATTACATAATAGCCGTGCGGTTTACAAATGACCCACAAGAACGCCACTGGGACGTGATTATGGCACAAATTATTATGGCGTCATCTGTCAGAAGTGAAAGTTATGTTCCATGACAGCTATCTATCTGTCAAGGTGAGCGCTTTTTTTTGTTTTGATCAGGCACTTGCGAGCGTGGTTTGACGTTGTTTGCAGTTGAAGCTGTTTGAATCCTTTGTTTAGCTGGAAATTTATGTTTTTCTATCCATTTAATAATGGAGGAGAATAAGAGCATGGATGAGGTTGGCTCAGGCCAAGAGCATTTTCATGATGCCGTCGAGTGCGTGAACGGAGATTCTAACAAAGGAGGTGGAGACTACCCAGAAGTTGACCAGGCCAACAATGGGGGTGGTAGTTTAGATGTTGGAGATGCTTTGGGAAGATTCAGGTAGTTTTATTCAAAATTACAATGTTTCAGTAATTAATCAATGTTTTTGCTAAAAACTGAGCGCGTAAATTGCATAAGAATATGAAGAGTCAGCAGTATAAACATCAAAAAGCAATCAAGTCAAACAGGGATATTTCATCTTTCTTGTGATATCATTATTATATTAACATATTGATCTAAACCATATGCAATTATAAGAACATATATTTCACAATAAATGCATTGCCTATGTGTATTTTATGTAAAAACAGGTCAGTTTGGTAACTCATGGTTTGTTCCAGAGAGTGTGCCCTAAAAGTATTGAATCTTTTTTTGTTTATGAATGTTTTCAAGAATTGGTATATGAAACTGCCTTTATTCCTGAAAAATTTTCTCCAATGAACAAATCTGGTTCTTGCAAGCATGGAAAATAGTAGAAAAAATGATAGGTCCTTTATCAAAAACTAATAAACTGGTTCTTCTTCTTTGGTTTTAATTAGTTGGGACAATGAGATAAATTTATTATAATAGAGAATTTTGAATAACAATAATATATATATATATATATATATTAATTAGAAAATCAGTTCAGCACTGCAGTGTTTTTATATTGAATAGTAGTAGCTATGGGATAGCTTTGATAGTTTGTAACGTTGTTGGTTATTCTTGAATTAAACATTTCTCCAATCACTACTGATTCACATTTTTGATCTCTCTTTACTGGAATATTCATCTCAAAAATAGTTTTATTTATTTTTTTGAAATAATTCTTTGAACTTCTTTTCAAGCACATTCAGAGGAGGTGAGCTCCATGCCAGAATGCCTGTAGCAAAATATGCTACCCACTATAAGATGAATCATAAAAAAAGGGGTCTTGCATATATTTTTAACCATGAAGTGTTCCAATGTGGTGGTTTGAAATCTAGAGCTGGCACAAATGAAGATTGTAAAAATCTTAAGGAGTGCCTTACATCTTTAGGCTTTGAAGTACATGGGTTCAAGGATTTAACTTATCAGGACATTGAAACCCGTATTAGAGAAGGTAAAGTTCTTGCTGATTATTTAAATGTAATTTTACTAACCACTGTTGGGATTTGTGGTGCTTAGCACTGCTAATGCTACTGCCTATATGTTGTAATATTGAAAGAAGAACAGGCCATCCAGTTATCAGGAAATTCTTAATTTTGGTCATTAAGGAATAAGGTCATTCAGAGTTTTTAAGACTATTGGATGTAGACAAGTTAGTTGATGTGAATATTATCATTTATGATGTTTGTTCTATCATTTAAAAAAATATCTATGATTTAAATAATTATCTTACTGTTTTCAACAATTCATTGGCCAGATATGTGATATATAGTATATGATAAAAAAGAAGTGTCATTACTATAACAATTTTGCAACTTTTATCTACAAGTAAACCATAATAAAAATACTCATGATATAGACAAGAGAAGATACAAACATGGCACTTTTGGCATATTGAAATTTAGGCAATCATCAATAATTAACTACTGGAATTACAAGAAAATCTAAACCAGTTTGAGCAAAGAATTTTTTATGATATTGAATGTAAAGTATCTTCTGCATTAATGGATGTTTATTTGTTATAAATATTTGTACTTTTTTAGGAATAAAGAGCCATGAAAGATACCTATATATTATTTTATTTGCTTGTATTCAATCATTGAAACGTTACATCATTTTCTCTGTTTTGCAGTGTCAAAAGTGGATCACTCAGACCATGACTGCCTGTTGATAGCTGTTCTTTCACATGGGGAAATGGGTATTGTTTATGCTAAGGATATGCCATACAAACCTGATTATCTGTGGACACCATTCACAGCAGATAAGTGTCCAACACTAGCAGGTTTGTAATCTTGGAACATTTCGTTTTGGTGATATCATTACTAAGATTATTACATTTCTAGGAAAGCCAAAAATATTCCTTTTACAAGCTTGCCAAGGTGACAAATTGGATGCTGGTGTCAATTTGTCTACAACAGAGACTGATGGAGAAATTTACAACACTTATAGAATACCTGTTCAGGCAGATTTCCTTATTGTCTATTCAACAGTAAAAGGTTGGTAATGTTTCTTATTATTGATTGGTTTTAGGTCGTTTTACTTCCTACGCCAATTAGAGCGGATATTGCAAATGCGAATTCCGAAAATGAGAAATTGTTTTTTGTAAGTCTGTTGGTCTGTCTGTCTGCTAATCCCAGGACCCTTCTTAACTCGAAAAGTACTGTTCAGGCTTAAATCAAATTTTAAACAAAATTACTACTATGTCAAGGACGAGAAAACTTTGTAGATCCTCAAAATCGATCCAGTGGCAGTGGAGCTATGAGCAAAAGATGAATAAATCGGCTCAAAATATTTCGAAAAATTAAATCTTATGTTTTTTGGATGTTATACGTACATCACAAAAACTCCTGTCAATCATTTCCGTCGGCCTGTCTGACGGTCTGTCCGTTAATTTTATAACCGCCTATAACTTGACAAGTACCGATCGGATTTTCATAAAATTTTTACACAATGTTGCTACTATGCCAAGGACGAAAAAGCTTTGTAGTTTTTTTCCAGTGGCGGTGGAGTAGTTGGCGCATAAAGAAACGAATAAAAACCGTTCAAACTTCATTTTTTGACGTTTCAGAGGTTCCTGCTCATTTTACGTTACGTTTTTAGTATCAGTCAAATACGTTCTATGATTAAGAAGCTTCTGATCCCGGTAAAAACGGAAAAATTAAATGATGAAACTCCTTTGTATAATGTGCTCACTCGAAATAACTTCGGCACAATCGGCGTTGCGTGCGTGACGCTGCATTGTCTTGGAGGCCACTGCCGACTGTATACAAGCACAAAGGGTTACTAACTCGAAATCGATATCGACACGGACACACCGCTACAGGGGAATATTTATATATTTTAGGAATATTTGGGTGTTAGGAGTATGTACTACGACTACCTCTACCGCCTCCTGGTCCACCACCACCACCGCCGAATCCGCCACGGAAGCCACCTCGCTAAAAAGCGTTCTGCGATGCTTTTGTAATAAGATGACTCAATTGTTTTTATATCTACACAAACCTTTTTCTTGATTTCATGATCCTTAAATGTACCTGCCCATTTCGCCTAACCTTTAATTTGTGTTATTTAGTATATGATGGTTCTCTGAATATTTCGTCAAGTACTCAAAACTTATTACGCATCTATATTCATCCGACACCGAATGACAAACCGACATAAACGAGAAACATGAACTTGCGTGATGCAGATATCTTTAAGCATCATAAGACTTGTCAACTGAAGTTTGAACATTTTGCGAGTTCAATACTTCCATCGTTTTGAAAATTGACTCAGTGGCGGCGGAACTTCGGACAAAAAATAGAAATCGCTGCCACATAGTATTGCAACGTTTCAGAGATTCCTACCCATTTTCAGACATTGTTTGGAGGCGTTGAATATTGTAGGTTGCAAGCTTCTTGCTGCAAATGGTTGTAAATTGTTGCATGCTTGGTGTCTGTGAAAGGCCTTCTATTATTAAGAAGTTGCAGATCGTAGTAATATTATGCACCTGTTAGATATAATGAGTAACAAATATTTTCCCTACATCTGCCATGAAAACACAAATATGTTTATGTAGTTTAATGTTTGATATGTAGATGTCAAAGATTCATCGTACCTAAGTGAACCTACCTAGTCACGATTCGATCCCGCCTTTTGAAACGACTTGGCCAATCCCTCTTCTTTGAAACATCCAACGAAGGCGTAGGATATATTGAGTCAATCCGAAACTCGTGCTCTTTTTAGAAATTGGGCTGGGGTAGGGTAGGTATTCTCTACCTTTTGATATTAGTATATTTATATGCTACCTTGGTAAGTCTATGCACCTATTAGATACATTTTACATGTAGATTTTCCTGTACATTTGCACTCAAGATAGAATGATATTAATATTTTCAATACTTGCACCGTAACTGCGACCGCAAATTTATCGGATGGTCGGGATGACAGAGGAGACATTTCTAGATGGCAATGTTATCAAATTGGTTGGGACTGGGGACTAATTGTACGGTTCTTTCTCTTCATAAAATTATTTTTTTTTAGTTTTTGGTCTTTGTGACATATATTTAGATATTGTGGTACCTTCATAATATGTTATTATTGATTATGGCAATCGGTTATCTTATCTAATGTACATACTCATTTACCTCTTATCAATAATAATGAAAAGTAGGTAAATTTGATGTTGATTTTGTCAGTATACTGATAAATCATATACTTATTTTGTAAATTGTAATCATATCACTCAAAAAAGTGTTTTTGATGACTCATGGATAGATTTGTCAACCCAGAGTATTCTTTCAAGAATATGCAGTAAAATCATTTATTAGGAAGCTTTAAAAGAAAAAAAAGTTATGAGCTTTTAGTATTTAATTTTAAAATATGGTAGAATAAACATTGTTACATTCTTAATATTCTTATTCATCTGGGAAATAAAAAAAGGCGTCAAGTAGTTTGACCCTGTACTTTCCACGCAATGCCAATATCCGTTCAGCACAAGTTAGACCATATCAAAATACGACAGTGCCTTAGATCTTATATCCTGGATAGAGGATAGTTGCTATGCTTTCATTTTTTGTGCCACAGAGCAGTCTACACCATGCTGATGAGTTGCTAAAAATGCACGAAACAACTGTCCATGGTTGGCTGTCTTTGATCGGACGGACGAAAGCAACATGTTCAAGTTAGACCCTCTGAGCTACGAACATGTATGACGGAGAAATTAAACGAATCCTCCACCCTCCAATTTTATCCCCTAAAGGAATTTTCAAAAATGATCAGGTTGCCCAAAAACGAAGGTTGAGCGTTATTTTTTCGTTTTCGGCATTGTTCTCCCCCGCCATTGGACCGACTTTCAAAAACTTACCGATAGACGGAATTGAGTGACATGGTTTTTCGGGATGTATATGTAGTACCCTCTCCTACCGCCCTACAACCCCACCCATTATTTACCCCTAATTTTTTCTTAAAAATCAGGATTCCCTGAAACCTTAAAAACGGAGTTTGAGCGTTATTTAATTTTTTTCGATTTTTAACATTATTCTCCGCTGTCACTGAATCGATTTCCAAAAACTACAAAGCTTTTTCGTCCATGACATTTTAGTAATCATGTGTGAAAATTTCATCCAAATCCGAGCGACAGACAGACCGATAGACGGAAATGAGTGACATGGTTTTTCGTGATGTACATGTCATATTCCATCACAAAAAAATCTGATTTTCGGAATTTTTGGCGAGTGCGAAAGTTCGTGTTCCGTGCCCGTGTTTCCTCGCTCGTAGGCGTGGGAAGTAAAATTAAGGTCAGAGTCAGGAATATTTTTGCTGTATTGTATTCATTGTTCCTGTATTATAATCGTTTTCCAAATCAAATATAGTGATATTAAAAGAGCTCTAGAAGACTCATCTCTAATTTGGTTCAGGTATTTCCACTGAAATAAAGGTTAAACTGTGTGGGGTGAATGTGGAGAATTCTAGTTTTTGGTCACTTCCCGACATAGAGATTTATTATTTGGACGACTATTAATATTATGTGAAATTTCAGCGGCACATTTTGTATGTTCAACTTCATTGGTCTATGCTAGTGATGTTGCGAATTTATAGTTTTTTGCGGAATCTTAGAAGCTCAATTCCTGCGGATGTAAATGTTGATGTGGATTTTTGGAATTTCCTTTTTGACAAACTTTGCATACAAATTAAAATAAAAATACTTTTCAATATATTCATTAAATAATCAAATACTCCGTATACTGCGAGCTTATAATAGTGCCCTGAATCGTCGGTATTCCGCGGTTATGCCGCCGGGATCTCCTGGTAATCTCGGCAACCAGTGACACAGTTGTCAGGGTCGAGCTATAGGTTTTATCATACACGTTATAAACAAAACAAAATGAAAGGCATATCTTTCAGTATAATTATCAGGCATCTAATGCAGATCAAACTTGACTCCAGATAATTATTTTAAGGAATAAAAACAACCGATGCCACGCGCTGCCCAAAAATTCAACAAGTCAAGCTACAACGCGGCAAATATATAGACAAATATGAATATTTACCTAAATACCTTTAGAAAACGAATTCATACTTCATTGCTCCATAAACAAATGCGTTATTAGTAGAAAAACTAAATTCCGTGTCTTTACATTATCTGCAATGAACACAATACAAGTCTGAATATAAGCACTTTTTTATGAGGGACAAACATATGTAGACAAATTCTTTTCAACATTAGTTTAGTACAGTTTCGTGTCAGGAGAGGATTAGTTTGTGTTCATCAAGTATTGTGGAATAAGTTGAGTGATTTTAAGACCATGCCGCGTGGTCCAGAAATTTCTTTCGATGTGAAAAATAAGATCATTGAGTTATACAAAGATCAATTATATTATTAAAACTAATTTTGTCCAAAGATCCGTTTAAAACCCCAAGACAAATAAAAGCCGACATCGAGACAAAAGGAATTATCAGTGTTTCTACGAAAACTATAAGTAGAAGATTAAATGATTTGAAGTTATTTGCACGTCGCCCGAGTAAGAAGCCGCTAATCTCGAGGCAAAACCGTAAGGACCGATTACAATTTGCACGGTGTGACAGGAAGAGGGTATGTTTCAGTGACGAATCCAAGTTCAATATGTTTGGATCAGATGGTGTTCATTACGTTAGACGTCCTAGTGGACAAAGATTGAACCCCAAGTACACTTTGCCCACTGTGAAACATGGAGGCGGGTCTGTTATGATTTGGGGGTACTTTTTGGAGTTTGGGGTGGGACCTTTACATAGAATAGATAGCATTATGGATAAGTTTGTATACACAGACATACTAAAGCATGTCATGTTACCCTATATGGAAGACAATATGCCCTTAAAATCAATCTTCCAGCAAGATAATGACCCGAAGCACACTTCATATCTCGCAAGAAATTTTTTCTGGATGAAAAAATACCTGTTCTCAAATGGCCTTCACAGTCTCCCGATATAAACCCTATTGAAAATCTATGGGAATACTTAGATAAGCAAATACGAGATAAAAATTATTCATAACAAGGATGGACTTTTTGCCGCTTCAGAGCAAAAGTGGAGACAGATTGATGAATCTTATATCAAGAAACTTCTACAATTTATGCCGAGACGATGCCAGGCGGTGATTGATAATAATGGTTATACTTGAAAATATTAACACAAACATGGTTGGTTTTCTATAATTCAATGAACCTTGCTTCTATAATTGTTTTGCTTTGTCTATATATTTTTGTCCTTCATAGTTCCAGTTTTTTCAATTAATTTTTTATTGAAGGGAGTCTAATGAATTTATTTATGTATTAAGTGAGTATTATGCTATAATGAATTATGTATACAGGTTGGTGTATTAATAAAAGAAGTTAAAAAAGAAATACATCACAATATTAATTTGTCTATATACTTTTGTCCATTACTGTATGTGGGAGTTTTACTGTGACCTGTCTAAAATCATGAAAAGAACTATATAGTCGACATTAAACACTGATGCTGCCTTTTCAGTTTGGAGTTTGTTTTACATAGATTCACCAATAAACCCTGCGTTACTGAACAACTATTCCTTCACTACAACATTGGATCGTGGTGGCAATAAAAGCCTGCATGCTACGTATGATAGTATTTTAATTTTTATTAAGATATCAATTTCTTTTTGGGTGCATCGACGCTGCTACCTTTTCGCAACCTACACTGCATCTGCATCCGCTTCGATAAATGAGGCTAAAGCTGTTTAAACTGATGTGGATATCCGCAACAACTCGTAGTCTATACCCTCTATGTGTTTAAGGTTACTATTCATGGCGCAACACCACAAAAGGTTCCTGGTTCATCCAGTCGCTGTGCGACGAACTGAAGAAAAGAGCTAAAGACCATGATCTCATGACCATCCTGACATTTGTATCCCAACGAGTGGCTGTGGATTTCGAGAGCAACGTGCCAGACAATCACAGTATGCATCGCCAGAAACAGATACCCTGCATAATGAGTATGCTCACGAGATTGATACATTTCAATCCTACCGCCATAGGAAATTGAACAGTTAGATACTTGGATTTGTAGGTTTTGTTGGCATTTTGGTGAAAATTATGGGCAAGCTGGATTTTCTCTTGGAATTTGATCATGTTCTTTTATTCCCAGAATCTGCGTGGTATGAAAATAAAATTAGGTTAATACTAAACATACCAGAAAGTTCAGTATGCTCATGTTTTTCCAGAATATATTATTTGCTCAGTTTCCAGTTTCAGGGTTCCAACCCAATAATAATGGAAGCAGCCTATTCTCATACCAGATTTATTTACATAGAATTTCTTTTGAACTGATTCTGCTGTGTTTACTCAATATCGATTCTACTAAATAAGTTTGAATCAAACCAATGTTTTACACCTGCGAAAATGAGCAATAGTAATTCTCAGCGTTATTCAAATTAATTTATCTTCTACCATTTGCATCTCTTTCTGTCTTATATCCAGGTGTTGAATGTTTAATAACGTGAGAACATTTTGCGTGACTGATTTATTGGAAGGAACAGGAACATATTTGTATTTTATTGATCTCTTTGTGAAAAAAGAACTATCTATTGCAATTTCTTCAGAGCAATATTGTGTCTTGTGCGCTTTTAGAGAAATCTTAGAATAAGCAGTAAACATATATAGCATCATATCATTGAATTTAGCTTAATATTAATTTGTATTTAGTATCTAGGAGTTCATATGGAGTTTGATCCTAGGTATATGGAATCCGAGCCAAGCAAGAATGACGGTAGTTCTATTTAAAGTTTGATCAAACAGAGATTGACAGATTACTAAAAAAAGAGAGCTAATCTAGAGGATGTATGGTATAGCACCAATATTGGTTTAAATAAGCAGTCGTTCAAAAATCTGAACAAATCGTAATCAAAGTATAAATAGTAAAAAATGGAATTTTTAAGCTCAATTATACCATTCACAAAACTTTCAACTACTGTCAATTTCGGTCAGCTCGCTTAGGAATTTGTGGTGTAGTGGGATAACTGTCATTGCCTATTCCCAGACACTGCTAATTCTAAAAAAAAAAACAGCACACGTTTGAGAATAGTTTAGGAAATGTTCTGTAGTTATTAGTATAAGTGGGTAGGTTTTAGGAAACAAAAGTGCATTTAAATACAACCACTGCCAAGTCTTTTTAAGAAAACGTGCATTTAGGCATAGCCGCTGCCACGGTAAAAAAGGCAACCGTCATTTGAAAAAGTGCGTTGGTTCAAGAAATCGTATTACAAGGTTTAGACTGCACTACGGTTTTTTCCCACAAGCAGTAAACCACCAAACCGCAAAACCGCCCGAGAAGCACACACTATGGTTGAAAACCGCGAAACTGGACACGATTTTCACACGTTGATTGGATGGATTTCAAGAGAGCTATATGTGTTTTTGCTTTGATACTAAGAAGCAGAAAAAGAAAACGTTATCAAAAATTTCGCAAATACTGGGTCCATCTACTGACTACCGAAGATTTAAGAAAGATCTCTTTTATGAACAGTATCAAGATTTGAGAAAACGTCCTCAGAAATTTTCTGCTACTATCGGAACGGACAGTTCAGTCCTTTAACCAATACGACTTTATTTTGAAAAAGAAGAACGTAATTTTACGGTTGGGACGAATGGGCCCCGACAAAAATCGTCATTCAAAATACGACTTTTATTTTTTTTTTCTAGTGTACGTGCAAAATATCTTATCTGCATAACAAATATCTGTGGATTAAATAATAGAAAACAATTTTTTTCTTTATTATGTAATAAACAAAAAAAAAAATACAAAATGGGACTCATTTGTCCCAACAGTACGGAAAAAATGGATAAAAATGTCCCACTAGTAACAAAAATACTTATAGTTAAAAATGTAACTTGAACGAAAGTAATAAACTTATAATATTTAAGTGTGACAGGATTGGAAAGTCATTGCACAAGGAAAGCTTACATCCTGAACACATAGTTTTTGTTCTTTTTTTCACTTTTCGAGAAGTACATGAATGACATCTACGACGAGATTTTCTTACAAACGGCAAATTAATGATCTCCTACGTTTACGAGATTTATTGATAAACTTGCAGGTCTGCCACTACAGCGTTTTCAAACAACGCCTGCTTTTTGTCGACCTGTGTTTATCAAATTTTCTGCTAGGTTTACTAGAAATGTAATAAACGGAACATCACGCTTATGAGCTTCTTTGAATATTATCCATGCATTTGAGGCTGATGTTAACAGTAGCTTGTAAAATGTTTTTCTCCACCATTTTGGAGACTTCCAATCAATTTCTTATAAGCTCGACATTTGATCTGACAGATCAGCATCACTCATAAATCTATTATATGCTTTTATAACTTTCGGACAGGGCACGTTAATTTTGGTTCCGTCTTTTTGGCGTCTTTCTACATATCCCATTTCGTCTTTGTGACAGTTTGAAAGAATCAATACCTCTTTAGAAAATTTCCATAGATGTGCGATAACACCCTGATCACTAAATAATGTTTGGCAATCTCCTTTTCCCATTTTTTTCTTTTCAAACTGTGGCAGGTTTTTTTATTTGACATACATGTCCCAACAGCAGCAAAATCTAAATTAGCATTTAAATTCACAGTCATAAAAAAACGATCAAAACACAACATCACGCTTGGATCATTTATAGAGCTGCATAACTTGTTTACCACTCTTTCCCCTAATGTTCCTTCTTTTTGCTCCTCGTCTTTTCCAGCATATATGTTCATATCATATACATATCCAGAGTCAGAATCGCATCTCTCCCAAATCTTAATACCTCTCTTTATTGGTTTTAACGGAAGATATTGTTTCAGCGAGGAACGACCTTTAAATTTCACCATTGACTCATCTATACTTTGAAAACTACTGTCGGTTTGAGCTTTTGGAAATGTATGTTTGAGACACGACATAGCCTCAGAAATGTAATAGTTTGTCTGAATTTTCTGTTTTTTTCAGGATGGTTGTAATACATTTTTGATGTAAGAAGAAGAAATCTGTCTCTAGAGATTGCATTTTTAATAGCCTCATTTTCAAGTGATTTTTGAGATGACTAATAATTAGACAACCAATTACCAGCATCATTTCGTGATAATCGATGGGAAGATATTGCTTTTTTGTCTTCTCTTGTAAGATGCTTAGCCTTTCGTTAGTACATTCAGCCATAAAAATAAACAAACCTCTGGGAACTAATTTCACTCGAGTTCAGATGATGTATGAGTAATATCTGCATGTAAAATACGTGTACATTCGCGGTAGGTACACGCTTTGAAGAAATAAATGAAGATCCACTAGTGCTCCAGAGAATATTTTTACTAATGGGGTTAGGCTCTACCTCAATCTCGTCAAGATCTGACGCTAAATAAGGATCTACGCTAAGAATTTCATTATCAGGCAAATCGTTTTTAGCTTTCTGTTGGTTGTTCCTTTTGCGTTTACGTGTAGTACGACGGGCAGGAAGCTCCAGATCACGTTCAGATGAAATATCCGATTCTAACTTATACTCGGAACCCTAGTCTTGAAAAGGTTCTTCAACATCCGAATCGTCAGTCAACCCATACTTATTTATTTTTCACGCAATTTCTGCAAGTGCTTTAGCAGTTAACGCTCCGTTTCTAGAAAATAAAAAGATAAAATGAGACCTATGCAAAAATAGTAACGTTTATAGTCAAAATTATATCAATTTGTATAAGTATTCCAAACGTATTCATATGGGATTTGCTGGTGACTGCATTGTGATGTCCTTACAAATGGGTATAATTTGATTATTATACTAACTATACACTATACTAACTACTGACTCTATACATTACTGTTGGGACATCTAAGTCCCACCCATAAAAAATCGATGTATTTCTTTAATTTTAAATAATTATGCATACTCCTAAATATACATAACTACTTACCTGTCCATGTTGTTTAATCACATTTGAACTAATTTAACCTGTTAGTATCGAAAGGGTTTATATCAACGACATTCCATCCTAACACTTTTAAGACTGTGTTGCTAGATGTACGACTACTGCGGAATGAACTTATATTTTCGTTCAGAATACTCGTGTCTAGCAAATCCCCACCCTTGCCCCCATTTTCAATGAATTGTTCATTCTTATTATTTGGTTAACTTTTATTGGCGCTATGTCTGTTCTAATACGGTTCAGTATTCCCCATGTCGATCACTCAAAGTCAGTACCACTGGGCATCTCTTGGATAAGCCGGTAGTTGGTGAGTGGACCATCTACAATTTAATTATCTTTGATTTGCATTGAACTCCAGGCAGAGAGGCCTTTCTATGAACTCTTACGCCTTTTTTGAGACGGGGATCATACAGCTTGTGACATTACTTCTGTTGTTAATTAACCAAGTATGTCATTGGAAAAAGAAAAAAATAGCCTCCAGTGCAATGAACTCCCTCTAAGACATAGTTGCTTTCACCAGAAGGGTTAAGACCCCTATACCTTCTGGAAAAACAGTTACAACTGTCGGGGCAAGTCAAATACCTGGGGGTAATACTATACTTCAAACTAACCTGGAACCCACAGATCAAACGCTCTGATGGCAAAACATGGGAATTAAGCCCTTCCATGATGCAGTGAACGTACATAATATTGGTAATGCCCATGATGACTTATGCATATCTGGTTCTTCATGACGGTATTCCGAAGAATGAGAGTACCGTGCGCGGTTGCCGCGTCAAATGTGTGCGCGCCAATAGTTCTTGAACCACAAATTTTGGCGCGTTTTTTTCCCGCTAGCCAGTCAGTATCAAGTCGCGGTTTTAAAATCAGTCGCGGAAAAAAACCGTCAGTTCGGGCCGCTTCCATTAGTTTACTCACGAAATCAGGCGGTTAAAATTCTCGGCGGTTTAGCCGTAGTGCGGCCTAAGCCTTGATAACAGTCATTGTAGAAAAAGGATCCTAGATTACAGCACAGAAACTACACCTAATGCCTGACTTATCTATGAAAACAAGTCTAATTACTAAAAACAACTTTGTTTAATATCACTTTCTCAAATGATTTGCGTTTAATTGTGCTACGTTTGATGACATACTGTCAATTGGATGGTGATGAAACATTTTTAAGGTGTTTGTCCATTAATGACAAATATTTATCTGAATATATTGAAGAAACTTATGAGATTTAATTTTGGATATTTTTTATATATGTAGATGACATCGACTTCTTATAGGCTGTTGCACACCTCATATTAACTATTACAAATCCTGATTAAACAATTTAAAGCCTTTACTAAATTGATTTGAGTTTTCGTGTTCTTATGAACTCCGTATCACTCAGAACTTTAAATGGAGGTGTAAATGCCATATTGTATAGAAATATCTAGGGTAAGTTTGATTTGATTATTCTGAAACTCAGATTTTGACATAATTGTCACCAAATACTGTTTTTAATTAATTGCTTGACTATCATCCAGTAAGTTGATGGTGTTTTCTGAAATGACACAATTTATTAAAGTTGTATTTTATACTAATCAATTGCTTGACTTTTCGTGTCAATTGAACCATTGTCTTTCGTATACAGTGTCTTACTGAAAGAATATATGAAATTTTACAATTATATACATATAATCATTATATTAATCTTATAGAAGTATACATTTTTGGTGGATAGCTATATTATATTTGAATGTAGTAAATCTAGTTTACTATCAAATAATGACAAATATTTGTGATATTTTTTTTGTAATTTGCATATTTTGCGCTTTTGTAGAGAATTATAAATCGGTGTCTTTACATGTATATGTAGGCTTTTTATACATACACATATACACATATATTTTGTTACAACAGCTTGTCCATATTTTTGAATAAAGTAGACAAATTAGTATTAATTTCAATTTATTTTTACTCATGCAAATCAGTGGCAATTCTTTTTTGATACTAAACTAAATTGTGTAATCTCCTGGACTGTAAAAGCTAATCAGCGAGGAGACAACGCCCAGGTTTTACGAATACACGCAAAAAGTGTGGTCTACAGGGTGTAAACGTTATGGTAGTCATTATTGAAATTGGTAATATGGGGGGTCAAAACAAGTCAAAATGTTCATATGACCCGTGGTCCAAAAGTCAATAGATTTTTGTCTAAATGGCTTTATAGTTTACAACTTTAAGTGCTTTATACCGACCACAATCTTACTAATTTTTACAATTAAATCTAAAACGTTTTTAAATTGGGTAATTAAATAGATGCCATTAAGTTTTTCTAAGTTAAACCCAAATTTGTAGTCAGTAAGTAAGTTTCATTAAATTAAATATTTAAAGCACACATGACAACAGCGCGTCGGTCATTCATTACTCTTATCGAACCGGCAATCGATCGCAAACGGTAACAGTGGTTAGTTATTGTTTGCGTACGTCGTCGGCGTGTTTATTTACAATGTTCTCGAATCAAGAGTTCGCCGACATGTTAGTTTACGGTAAAGCTCGTCAGAATTCAAATCTTGTAGCTCAAATTTATCGCGACATATTTCGCCAACGGGTTCACCCAGACAGAAGGACATTTGTGGAAGTGTACCAAAGACTTCGAGATACAGGAAGTGTTCAGCCCACTAATATTCGCACTCGGGAAAGACACGTTACTGTAGAGCAGGAGGAACAAATTTTAAATATCATGAAAATCAATGCAGATATCAGCACTCGGGAATTCGGTCGCCGCGTAGGACTATCGCATACCATAGTCCATAGAATCCTACGGGAAAATTTGCTTTATCCCTACCATTTACAACGAGTGCAGGCCTCGTTACCAGAAGACTATCCTCGCAGACTAACATTCTGTCAGTGGTTTTTGCACAAAAACATTGAAAATCCGGATTTTTGTAAAAGCAATCTAGCGACGGACGAATGTAGTTTTACGCGAGACGGGATATTAAATTTCCTTAATACTCACACATGGGCCCAAGAAAATCCTCATACCATTCGTGAAGGTCATTTCCAACAAGTTTTAAAATAAATATTTGGGCGGGTATTCTTGACGATCAGGTAATTGGCCCTTTCGAGTTACCCCAAAGTTGTCAGGAGAAGGATACCTTAGCTTTCTAGCCAATAACCTACCAGAACTTTTGGAACAGATCTTAGACAACATGCCATTACAACGTAGACAGAATTTGTGGTTTCTTTATGACGGGGCACCACCACACATTTTTGGAGGCGTCATTCAGTATTTGAATGAACATTATCGAAATCGCTGGATCGGTCGAAATGCTCCTGATCCTCGAAAATGGCCAGCAAGATCTCCTGATCTCAACCCGATGGATTTCTGTTTTTTTTTGGAGAAAAAAATTTAATGGGCTGAAATAAATGGACAACTTCGAGGACCTAGAGTAAGAAGAAACTGGGTTCGTCGTAATGAAGCTTGTGTGGAAAGTGGAGGACGACATTTTGAACACCTTTAAATACAAAAAAGTGCAGTGTGGGTTAAAACAAACAATGTGTTTATCAAAATTGTGCTCCCTATTTATAAGTGGATTTTTTTAATACGTTCAATAAACTTTCACACACCAGGTGAAGCGCTGAGACAGTTAGTGGTAAGTCCGTTTTTTTAATTGTTTGCATTTTACGACTACATTATCAAATGATGAAATAATATAATAGCCAAAAATAACAACTCCATCTTTATTTACTCTGCGTCCTGTCATTTGTTTTACTTTAAAGTCGCTTTTCTCTAAAAAAATGCCGTTTTGACCCCCATGTTATATGAAACTTTTTGCTTCTTTTAACCCCCTCTATCACCCATTTAAATAATGACTATCATAACGTTTACACCCTGTATAACTCTGAAAACAAAAGGATGGACATTCTCCTCCAATAAACTTGCTAAATTAATATTTCAATGGACCCACCTTACAACATCCAATCAACGGCGACATCGACTATACTCGGTGTTTTCCTAATAAACTTGCTAGGTTAATTTCTTCGGACTATTTTAAGGGGTTTGTCTAGTTAACTTGCTAAGTTAATTTCCCCAGGCTATTTCCATTAACCCTTTATCCCACCTATGTTATCCTGTCTTTATTTCTTCTTATAATTTGGGGAGAAGATATAACTAACCCTGTGCTCAGTTGGTAGATAATGTGACCTCAAAGTGTGATTCTTTCTACTCTTTGATACAAATGGTTGTGGTTTGAGCGCCATCTAGTTCCAAGAACTAGGAAAAAGAAATAACAAGTACTGCCTTTCGGCCTATCAAAAATTGAACTGACTGCCAGATGGTGGGTCTCTTGAGCTAAAGGAAACACAAATTCACAAGGCACACAAACATTTATTCAACAAAAAAATAAATAAAAGAAGTCCTGGGAGGGAGACAAGCAAAAGGAAATTAGTTGGTACTAACCCCCCAGCTAAATCGTTTCAAGCAAAAACTAAGATTAAAAAAAAATCCCCTTGGTAGGTGCTTGGCTATTACAGATTTGTGGGATTGATCCCCACACAAGAGAAGGGATAGCTGATATGGAGCCTCTGGAAGGAAAGGCTACCTAAATGGGAGCTCCGAAGCAAATGTAACCAAGGGTAGGAAGTCACAGATGTTACTCAGAACCAGAAGGTAGAACACTCGAACAATGAGGGTTCAAGGAAATGGGGACTGCTCCTCGTAGACGTCAGTCCTCTCAGCTCGACGGTTTAAGTGCAGCTGCAACAAGGACTAAATCCCCAAGAGGGTGAGAAAAGGGCCCCGACAACAATATTCACCAGTGGAGGCAGATTTCTATCAAAATCTCCACAACCCGGCAACACAGCACGGGGTGTGAAATTACGTCACTAAAGAAGGTTGTGGCCGCTGAACTGCTACACGAGAGCACAGGAAAAAACATTCCCAAGTCACGTTCAGTTCTCGTATTTAAGGTCGACGGAAATTATGAAAAATGCCCTTTAACGAGATGGAGAGTAGCGTTCGATTTTCTACCATAGAATTATTAGAACAAGAGAAGTGTTTTGCTATAAAAATAAAATTCAATATTTTTAAGAACTGTTACAAAATTATTATTCTACATAAGAAAAACGTTGTCAACTTTATCAAGATATAGTTAATTTTTGGTTGATCATAAACAGAAACTGTTACAACCCATTCTGTGGCATCGACTATACCCGCAGGGTTACGTAAAAAATCTATAATCAAATCCAAGCGAATGACCAAAATCTCTGTGTTACGTACCGCGGTTATAATATGGTTCAAGAAGACACACGGGTTGATGACGTCAGTTACTCGAATCGCTTGAACGCGTTGGTTTTAACCGCGGTTTTGTTGCAAGTTGTTTATTTTAAAAAAGCTCGTATATAATTTCTGATTATTTTTATTATCACTTAATAATTGGTGCTTTTTCGTCTACAATGGTGTATGGAAAGTTTAAAAAAGAAACCATTCATAATATTAATGGGAGAATGTTTTTTTTTTAGAAAAAAAATCTTAATGATGTAACCATGGCTTTGTAGCTATGATAACTCTCAATTCTCTAATCTTTTCCGCATGTCGAAGGAAAAATTTATTGATTTAACGGAAATGATGGGAAAAACCGATGAAAAAAGATATTAACAAAACCGTATACAGGTGGACATCATCCAGTGAGTTTATATGGCAATATTTTAATATTCTTGTGGTATATGGCTACACAGGATACTTTGTTAAGCATAGGAACTAGATTTAAAGTGTCCCCAACAACAGTAATGATTATAACTAATAAAGTACTCTATTTTAAGCTAAAACTGAAGTCAGTTTGTATCAAGTTTCCCAAAAATTAAGCTGAAATACAATAAAAATATCCAATTCTAACTTGTCACATTTCAAATAATATCCAGAAATATAAAACTACTCCTGAGTTGGGTAAATACCACAATTTTGCGTTGATAACTATGACATATAACAACTGATTCACGACGTCACGGATCTTATAACCAAACTGATAACCACACTCGCTTGAACGGATCGGTAAATACCAATCCAAAATGGTAAATACCATTTTCATTTGGTTATTCGCTTGAATTTGATTTATATAATGCCAAAAAACAACCGACAAAATGTCAACTTGCTGACCAGATAGTTCTTAGGGTGCAAATAGTTAATTCCGCTATTGCTCTCTATAAGCACTGTAATGACTCATCGACACTCTCAATAACCAGCTGTATGCGAGTAAAATCAATATTTGATATGTGAGAAACTTATTACTGAATATGCTGCCCATGAAGCTACCCCCAATTTCACGAGTATGCATCTCGGAACAATGACAGCTAGTTATCTAGTAATATTTCAAAATTCCTCATGTCGGTACTGGACACGTAATTCTGATGGATCCGTCAACATTAGGTAGCCAGAGCTGTATTTTGTTTTGTTCTTTGCACTCTGCAGATTCATTTTGTACTTGCTAACAGCTCTTTTATTCAGAAAAGTTCATTTGCATGCAAAAAACAAAACGCTACAATTAAGTTTTACTAGATACACGCGATTCACTATTGCCAACGTCGCAGACTAATACAAAAATGTCACTTGATGATCAGCTGTTCACCTCAGTAGACGTTAAGCGTGATGGATACTCGTGAAATAGGGTGTATTAGCTGTGCCAGATGGGTTATTCCACTTCACAGAAAAATTAGGACTGATGCATCAAACACAAAACATGTTCGCAGTGTTTCACATCTCGACGCTGATTTGTATTTTGTATTTGACATCGCAAAATAAATTTCTAGAAAATTTAACTGACTGGAAATTAAAAATAATGTAAAATGCAATAACTTTTTCGCGTTTCATGAATATTTCTGTCTAAGGCACATTTTTTCACCTGTTCCACCATTACAAATTTATTTTGAAGCTTTTGCATAAATAAATAGTCATCAATACTCCGCCGTCTCTTGTTGATTCACACAAACTACAGTAAAACACACCGGCTGCTGCTGGTCTCAAAAACCTCTTTTATCGTTGCACTTGCGGAATTTACATACGATTTTCTCCGCCGAAATGGCGGACGTTTTTGACAGATACTCAGTCGGCGCCCCCAGGACACCCCTCTGCGGGCGCCCATGTCTAGCTAGATAGTTCCGATGGAAAACGTTGGTTCCTCTACTGAGTGCGCCCATCTTCTCTAGAAACCGACTTTTCTCTTTCGCATCTTAAAACGAACTCATAAAGGTACATCTTGTTTTTCTGGCCACCAAATGAAAACTATATATTGTAGCTTTTCCCGGGGTTCTTTTGGGTGTAAATTAAAACACTGGATTCCACAAAAAGAAATGCACTAATTTATTTAACTTTATAGAACATTTATGTACACCACTATTTATGTCTGACTAATCCTTATGTCGGCATTGACTGCACTATACTCCACTCCGCTCTGCTACTCCACCGTATTCAGTACTCTGCTTCCATCTCCCGGTCGCCGAGTTAAATATAGTCACTTCGCGTCGATCTAGAAGGCGATCCACTGTCACGGTTCTCACAGACCCCGCCAAGCGGCTTGTGCGGGCGTGGTTCGCGTAAAAGCAGAGATCGACCATGAAGCTCTGGCGAGTAGGAGACTCGCCCAACAGATGGCGCCAACAGTACTATTTGTCGCAATATTTTGGATTGACTGTTTATTAATCTTCGCCTACCTCCTTGGCTTTTTCTAAAGTACAAATCAAAAAACATGAACATAACGTATAGGTACGTTTCCCTTTTGCACCACGTTGCACGTCATGTATGGAAAATATTCAACTAGAGACATATTGTGGCAGAATTGCAAAGATATGTTACATTGTTGCTGCCATGCCACGCAAAGTTTGTAGCTTTAGTATGATTTTGTGTACAATTTTGGGGATTTTTAGGATTTGGCCACAGACCGACTCTTCAAAAAGTTTTGAGGGCAGGTAAAATTTTACAAAAAGTTGACGAGCTAAAAAGTTAATTGTACCTTACCAAGTTCTCTAGTTTTAGGAATCCTGATCACAATTTCATCATATTCTTGATTAATAGAACTTGACTGTGGTTAGAAAATAATAATTTATCTATTATCCCAGTAGTATCAAGAAGAACAATATGTAAATCCTCCTGAAGCTGCCATAGTACGGTTTTTTCATTACTAACCTGAGAAATCGCCATTATTAATAGTGAAAACAAAGAAAACACCATTTTTTTATTTTCTTATTTTTATTTTATACATAATTGCCTAACAGAACTATTCCAATTAGAGGACAATATAATGGTATCTTTACTTATAATACATACATATAATGTATACATAAAACTAACTTAAAAAACAGAATTAGCTTTGATAATAGTACCTGAAATTCGACAAGATCTTACTGATAATCAAAATTAATGTCAGAACTGTCTGCAATGGAATTATAATTTTTGCATATAGAATGTAGCGAAGAATAAAATAATACATCGGTACGGGAGGTACTGCAGTAGAAAGTTAGTGTTCTTCTCGTATTTAACCGTGGAATACAGAAATTTAACTGCTGGAGAAGTTCTGGTGCATCCACTCTGTCGTGCAAAAGCTTATGAAGGAATGACAGGCCAGCAGTGAGACGTGGAACGTCTTAACTGTAGAGACTGTAGTTCAAAACGACGCAGCAGAACAAATTGAGACACCAACCTTTCTGGATATGTGCCATCGATTTTATAAACACAGTATTTAAGAAATTTTCTTTGTACCTACATTTTCTAAGATGTTTATATAATACCTACGCATAGAAAGGGTTCCATATCTAAGAAGCATACTCAAGTTTTTGTCGCACCAGTGAAATGAAAAGAGCTTCTATTGCCGTTTCGTTGGAAAAAGATCGGCAGTTACGCATTATGAAACCCAAAATCCGTGTAGCTTCGGAAGTGACGCGTGCTACATGGACAGAAAAGTCCAATCTACAGGAAAATATTACACCAAGATCTTTTGTCTCTATTGTTCTCTCCAAAACCGCGTTATTTATGGAGTAATCAAACATAATCGGGTTCATTTTACGACAATATGAACATACTTTGCATTTGGAAATATTTAAGAAGACAATATTATTGTCGCACCACTGTGTGATGGTACGCAGATCGTCGTGAAGGGAAATACAAGCTCTCCAAATTTGTAATTTTGGTGTAGATTTTCAGATCATCAGCAAATAGTAGAGATTCACACTTTAGTGAAGCGGCTAGGTTATTTATGAAGAATAAAAATAGCAAGGGACCTAGGTTTGAACCTTGCGGTACTCCAGAGGGAACAGCATAATTAGCTGAAGAATAACCATTGTAATAAGCATATTGCGTCCTGTTAGAAAGATATGAGCTTAGAAGACCGACTAACGAGTCGCTAAGGCCGAAATAATGAAGGCTATAGACAAGAAGATGATGGTTTAATTTGTCGAAAGCCTTGCTGAAATCCATGTAAATAACATCGACTTGTTGTTTATTGTCTAACGATTCTGCTATATACTGCGTAATTGTCGTTAAATTTGACGTAGTGGATCTACCTTTGATGAAACCATGCTGTGATGGTATAATTAGGCCTTTAACGTTCTCGAAGATAAAAGGGTAAACGGCCATTTCAACAGCCTTTGCAAAGTTGTTCAAATGCTTATAGCTCTATAGTTGAGTACATCAGATTTATCACCATCTTTCAGGACCGGACACACCTTTGCTATCTTCCAAACATGAGAAAAAATTCCACTTTTTAATATAGAATTGAAAATTATCAGCATCGGCTTGACGAAAACATGAGCACAATCTTTAATAATAAAACTAGGTATTTGATCTATACCAGACAAAGTTTATTTTGAAGCTTAGAGAGAGACTTGAGTACATCAGATTCCGTTAATTCCTCTAGATAAATACATGGTGTTGATGTGACGCTATCTAAAGAAAGAGGGAGTATTTCGAGGAGTAACATACACACTCTTAAAATAGTCGACAAATGCATCAATAACACCTTGTGGAGTATTAAAAATACGTTGCCATTGAACTGGATTTGGCCTGGTAATCTGCTAGAGTCTCTCTTATTCCGAATGTATGACCAGAACTTCTTCGGGTCGTTGATTATACTGTCCTCAACCGACAACAAGTATTCACTGTAAGCAACTCTAATTTGCCCCTTTATGGTTCTGCGCAATCTAGAAAATTCATAATAGTAAACGTTGCTTGTTCTCTTATATTTTCTGTACTAGTATTCCTTCAAATTTATGTTACTCATAATTTCTCCAGTATACCAAGGAGGATACCTGAATTTGCAGGTATTGGTATATTTAGGAACATAAATATCAAATATTGATATTGTATCACGTTAATTTCAGTATGTCAGTTTGACAACTGAACTTTATATTTGAAAATATTTTAGGTCGATTGAGAAGTAAGTAATTTTAAGTATAGCGTAACGAAAACACCTTTTTTACTGTATTAAGTCATATTTATTACTCTTACTCTAATTTACAACAATTTCAATACATTTATGACAAATTCATAACCAGCCTTTTATGCTTAATTTCTCGAGGTAAAAGAAGGGTTACTTGCTATACTCACTTGGCAAAAAAATTCCCTAAAATAAACCTAATATAACACTTTGCTAATAATAAATTATCGTAATTTCTACAGTTATTGGAGACAACATAGGGCTAAGCGAAATTAGTATACAAACACTTTGGCTTATTCATATATTAATTATATTGCTTGAATACCTTTCTTATTAATAAATCCTACAGTAACTGTGACTACAAATGTGCCTGCAACCTGTTGGAATGGAAGCGTACCTTTACACTGAAATCATTAAAAATAGACTAGAAAAGCAAAAGTGCTTCAAAAAACGTGTTCGAAGAGCTTTATTTAAGTAGAGTTAACTTCGAATTCCTCGGTGACATCTACAATACTACATCTCAGGACCTCATACCATCGTAACTGTTACGCCAATGTCAAAGAGAATATTACAAAAACTACATACCAATACCTGAAGATGTATATATCCCCACGTTCTCTTCAAAAACGTGCGTGAAGTTGCCTTAAATTGCCTATGGGTGGTAGTGTTATGTGCTTCAGTATTGGACATCATTAGCTCAACTACTGCACACGAAAGAAGGTAGGTCCTTTACTATCTCTTTGTTTTGCAGTTCCAGTGTCTCTATTCAAGAAAACTTTCTTGACCTTCAAATGGCTTTGAAGGTCTTGGTCCTGACGATTATCACACTCAAGATCACCGTTAGATCACCCTTTTCATACGTCAAAACCTTGTTACTTTTTGGACAACCTGTATAATCGAAAAAAGATATATCTTTGGTGGAGGTGGATAAAAGTATCGAATTTGGTAATTATCTAGTTCAGCTACACTTGTTTCTCTATCCGAATAGACACTAGGTTTGGGTTGTAAAAGATGGAAATGAGATTAAGAATGCATCCCCTGTCGCGGCGCGCGTAAGCGCGCCGATAGTACATGCATACAAATTTAATATTACTGAAAATATCATCATCACGAAAACCTATGAAGTACAACATCGTACAACCTATGAATACAAATATTCAATAAAAGCCTATTATATATATTATATAGTAAACTATTTCAGAACTTTTATATTTGCGCTCATTTTCTGTCCCATTTCTTTCATCTACGCCCACAAACTAGGATCTGAAATTTCTTTTTAATCAAAAACAGCTGGTGTAGCTAAGCTACAGAATTACCTCGAATTTGTGTAAATGTACTAACAAAACAAAACATTACATACAAAACTAGTTTGAATGGTGTTTCAAACTATACCAATGGACCATTCATTAGGTAATGTCTATGTATTTTTGCGCGATATCAGAGTCATGGTTTGGATGTAGAATGGGGTGCGTGCTTCGCCGGGGCTTCCTCTATTGCATTGTTTAACGAGGTATGTGATTCTATACACAACTTTTTTTTTCTTGGGAATTTTTTGTTGTACCATTATTTTTAGAAAAATATTGATTTGTATTTGTCAGGTATACTAATACTTTGAAAACACGCTCGAAATTGGTAAAGCTTGAGCTTCGAAAATGTACATACACACCTGTTTATTGGTTACGGGTTATTTTAGGACCTATGCATGAATTTTGAATATTATTCATACTGACAAAATATAGACACGAACCCCCATCCGGAATCTATAGAACTGTTTACGTTTACACCTATTTGACTAGCATAGGTACATTTCTCTATTTTATTGATACATTCCTTTTCCGGGACATACAAAGGAGGGTGTACAACAATACGTTTCATGTTTTCGGTCAATATACATTCTCCTCGAAAGCGTGTAAAATTGGGCGTAATTTTTTGGTCGTCATACAATCCCAATTTTTACAAAGGGTCCCTACCTGACCCCGTCGTGGCGATCAGCGTATTGATATTGTTGAAAAGGGCACGTCAGTATTCTTTTATAATACACATGAGAAACGTATATATCGTTGAGGAATGAATACAGAGAATATTTCGAAAAATAATAATAATATTTATTAGTCTTCAAAATATAAATAAACTATAACGGGTGCGCCATCTTTTATGTCGGTATGTAAACATGAAATAACTTTGAAAACGAACAACTGATTTCTATACAGGGTGACTTTGAAGTTGAGTCATTAATTTTCAGATAATGATTGTAGAAGGAAGATAAACCAAAATATGTGTGTAAAAATAAAAAAAAAATTGAAAAAAATTTGTTACCTTGTTTTATAAAGTATCC